TTTTTTTTTTTTTTTTTTTTTTTTTTTTTTCAGGAGAATGGTTCGAGTGAGGTTTTGCGCAAGTGTATGTAGTTTTTCCAGCGGGAAGGAGAAAGGGGAAGAAGGTGGTTGTTCAGTAAACTCGTAAGTCTGAAATGATGTAGAGAGGGCGAGGGGGGAAACGTACATGGTGTGTAGGATGCTACCAATGGCAGAAAAGATGGTGTGGAACAGCCCGGCGATGGCGGACACGATGCTGTTGAGACACGATGCTACGGCTGCACGTTACGATGACGACGTGGTAAGGAAAAGAAGTTGGTGATCAATACAGGGTCTCCTTATTGATGCATGAGCTAGATGAGAACACGTACCTCCCATGATGACGGATCTGGTGTGGGTTAGGCTAGGTGATGTCTGTCGTAGGTGAGGTTTTTGGAGATTCCGATTCGTTTCGGACAGTAAGATGATGCGAATGGGAGGGAGTGAGCAGTATCGTCGGGGAGAGGATGGCAGTATAAGTATCTTTTGGTTCCGATCCATCCATCCGGTGCTCTGGGGCGGAAAGGGTCCTCGAGGCCAGCTCGATGATGTCTCATGTTCCTGTGTTCAGCTCAACGCAGGAGGGCTCGAATGCGCAGTTCAGCCTGAACAAGGGCAAGGACAGGAAAAACCTTGACAACCGTCTACCTCATCATGCCTTCAGCCCAACGCTGAACCGTGCTTTGCAATCCCAGAGACCGAGGGAGAGAACACCGAGGGAAAGCTTGGGCTTGTCGGCTATCGGAGTTTTGGGCGCAGCAGCTCAGCTGGTGCAGCGTTAAACGACACAGGGACAGGAGGTCGAATGCAACAAAACAAGGTTTTTGGTGGACTGTATGACGTCCTTGTCACAGCGGAGTGACTTGGGGGGGACGGTGTCTCCCGAATCGGACAGCAGTTGCGAGCTTGCATGAACACACACACACACACGCGAGTGTGACATCGATGTTTTTTTGCTGCAAGTGAGGAGTGAGGAGAGAGAGAGCAGCTGATACGTCTCCGGTAGCGAGGCGCATACGGCTGCCGCGTGGCTGAGTCACTTTTTTTTTCGAAGCCCGGCACAGCGATTCGCTTTAAGCTGCACCGGTCTTCAGGGTCGGTTACTGGACAATATGCAGGCCTCGCTTGTGTGCTTAGCTGTGGGTCTCGAAAAGCCATATTGCACTGCCTCACGACCCGCATCACTATGTGCTCTGTATCTCTCGAGCCATCCCGCTCCCTACGTCCAAGATGAAAAAGTCGTCGAGAAGGGTCAAACACGTCACACCAAGAGTCGGAAGTGCTTGCCGAACCACCACCCCGGCTTTTCAAGCGCTGTGAATTTCCCCCAAGGGTCCAGCGTGTGTTGTAGGTCGTGATCCAACTCCAGGATGCGCCTCTTTCAAAAAGGGGCAAAAAACAAAATTGCGACGTCATCACACTTTTTCTTTTTTCTTTTCTTTTTTTCTCGGATGGGCGTTGCTGCCTTTGGAGACGTGTTGATCGCGGTTGCTGCCGACCGGGTGATGATGCAGATTTGGAGGTGGTGTCTCGATCTTGTGCAGTTTGCGTTGCACATACAGGTGTGAGTAGGTTGAAGAGGTGAGGATGCCGGTCCGGCGGTATCGCCGACTCTTCTAGCCAGATCCAAAGCGTGTCCGTACCACGCACGTGTCGAGTGCCGGGTGCTCTCATACAGGAAGCTCTCTACATCACAGACCCGATCACAACAGTGCACGTCGCACACCTTCACTTGCGTGTCTCAAAGCAATAACAGAAAAGAGGTGGTAGGCGTGTGCATGTGGTACAAATCAAATCATCTCCAGGAAAGCAGCTCCGTCCCTACCTTTTTACATCATACCAGCCATCTGACCCAACGCAGCGCCCTGTTCTGGATACTCCTGGATGAACTTCAGCTGAGCCCTGCTTGCGTTCTCGTAGGTCAGCGCGTTGATCAACTCCGGCTCCGTCCTGGCGATCTTTGCGGACCTCTCAAAGTACTCGATGGCATCCTGAATCTTGCCCTGCTGCAGACTCAACTGCGCCAACGTCGCCACCGCCACATCGCAGTCGGCATCCTTGTCCAACGCTTTGCGACAGAGCTCTTCCGCCGCCCCGATGTCCTGCTTCCACTGGAACAGCGCCAACGCCTTGTTGATCATGGGCAGCACGTTGGTCGAGCCAGTCTTGGAGGACTCGATCTCGATGGCCTTGTCAAACTTGTCCATCGCCTCCTCGAACTTCTGCTGATCCAGCAGCAGCTCGCCGTAGTAGTTGTACGCTTCCGACGACGTGTCAAAGTTTCGCAGCAGCTTGCGGAACGCCGCGGTCGAGTGACCGATGTTGCCGTTCTTGTAGTGCGCAACGGCGTACTGCACCTGCGAGAAGATGAAGGTGTCGTCGAGCGAGGTCGACTTCTCGTAGTCCTTGATGGCGGCGTCGAACTCGCCGAGGATGAAGTTGACCTGTCCGCGGTGGTAGTAGATGTCGGGGTCTTGGGCGTCGGCTTCGATGGCCTTGTCGAAGTCCTTGAACGCTTCGTCCTTGTCCGAGAGCTCCATGTGCACCGACGCCTTCTTGACCCACGACTGGACGTAGTTGGGTCGCAGCGACGTGCTGCGTTCCAGGTCGGCGAGCGCTTCCTTGGCGTTGCCGATGACGAACTTGAAGGTGCCGCGCATGTTGTACGCGTTGGCCTCGAGCTCTTGGTTGCTGAGTCCCTGCTCGATGGCCTCGTTGAATAGTGTAAATGCGTGAGGGTAGCTCTTGGCATCCAAGGCACCGTACGCCTTGAGCAGCGTCTCGTCGCCCTGACTCGGGCTTTCGGGCAAAGTGGGCTTGGGCTTGGCACGGAAAGCTTCGAGGTAGGCGGTGACAAACGTGGGCGAGGGGAGCTTTGGCTCGCGGCTCTTGAGGATGTCCTGTGCCTTGCCTGTAGCGAGCTTGCGCAGTACACGCTCCACGCTCTCGGTGGCCGTCTGGTCCTTGAATTGCCCGAGGATGGCGACGGCGGTGAAATCGGCCAACGAGTCGAACAGCAGCTCTGCTTTCTGCTCGCCGATCCCCTCCTCGCCCTCCTTGGGGTTGCCGAGCTGTTCCTTGGCGACAGCACGACGGTTGAGAGCCTTGACGTAGACGTGGTCCATCTTGAGCGCCTCGTCGCAGTCGTCTACCACCTGCTGTGGCTTGCTCAGGTTGGCGTAGCAGGCGGCGCGGTTCGAGTAGAACACGGCCATGGGGTGGGCAGCGATAGCCTTGGTGTAGTGGCCGATGGCCTTTTCAAATTGACGGTTCGAGTAGGCCTTGTTGCCAAGAGTCTTGAGGTGCTGTGACAAGCTCTCGCGCTTTGCCTGAGGCAACTTGAGGATTTCGGCTTCGGGAAGCTCGGCAAGCTGATCATCCGTCGCCTCGTCGAGCAATGGACCTGATGGGTCGGTTGGCAGACCATCAGCACGTTGCGACGAAGAGTCGGTGGTCGAAGACCCGCTAGCTGTACCGGGTGTCGCACCAGTCGTCTTCTTCTTTGTGCCCTTCTTCTTCTTCTTCTTTCCTGCAGCGCTGGCAGCGGCACCACTAGATGAGCCAGCCTTTTCTTCGTCGTCGCTGTCGGTGACAGTACCCTTTGCTTTCGCCTTGGACGACGATCGAGAATAGAAGTAGTAGCCTCCGAGGGCAAGGGTACCCGTAGCGAGAGCGATCACCAGTGTGCGGTTCTCTTCAACCCATTTTGAAAGTTTGTTCGCCGTGTTGTTGGCGGTGACCTGTGCACGGTCGGCAGCTCTTGCTGCCTGTTGTGAGGCCTGCTGTGCGTTGGGAATCGGCGCCATTGTCTCGTATGGAAGGTTCGCCAGCGCACCGTTTTATGTGTAAAGAGGGAGGTGTTGGGTGCGACGTACGACGACGGAAGGAAGGGGAGAGAGATTTGTGCGTGTGGAGTGTCCGGAAGCGAATGAACGACGCTCGATTGGCAGGCACAGAATTTCCCGGTCAGAGACGGAAAGGCTGTAGCGGCCCACAGCGAGAAGAAGCTGCGCGAAGAAATCTTGTGTGCTGCGTCTGCAAGCCTGCCAATTTCCCTGATCTGCGAGGACAGAGCGACAAAGGGTCAGCCGTCATCGTGCTGCGAAATTGTTGACGTGTTAGACCTCGGCTCTCGACCTCGCAGCCTATTTCGTGCTACTCGGGGAGGCTTCCGTGCGGAAAGAAGAATGTGTTGCTCAGCGCCGGTCATGTTGCCGACTCAGCTCCGGTGTCCAAGAGATAGCTTAGGGTCCTCATCTTTGATTTATCCAGCAGCAACATAGCTGCTCTCTCAACGACATCGGACGCTGCTCTTCATCATACATTTGAAAGGTTCCCAAGATGGTGACGTTCGGAGATATCCAAGAGGCGCACGGCCGCGTCGCGCCATACACCCACTACACGCCTCTCCTCACCAACCAGGCGATCGACACGCTCGCAACGCAAGCCCTCTTCGGCCCAGCCTCTGCTTCCCCGTCCTCCCAAGCACGCATACGCCTCGGCTTCAAAGCCGAGCATCTTCAGCGAGTAGGTGCCTTCAAGTACCGCGGCGCCACCAACTCCGTCCTCGTCCACCTCGCCGCCGCCAAAACCGAACACGAGGCATCTTCCACTTCCTCCCGAACCACCGACTTCAATCCCGAAAAGCTCGTGGTGGTGACGCACTCCAGCGGCAACCATGCAGCGGCGCTCGCGTGCGCTGCCAAGTCAGCTGGGTGTATCGCCGCCGTGGTGATGCCGGACAACGCACCCAAGCCGAAGAAGGAGGCGGTGGCGGGGTACGGTGCGAGGATCACGTTTTGCAAGCCTACGCTAGAGGCGCGTGAGTCGACAGCAAAGGCAGTGATGCAAGAGTATGAAGCGAAAGGGTATACGGTCAAGTTTGTGCATCCTTACGATGAGCCGTTGGTGATCGCTGGGCAGGGGACAATGGCGTTGGAGATGCTGGATCAGGCACCGCAGTTGGAGGCGAGGGCTGCGTGCTCCCATGCAGCCGAGGTTCAGTCGTCGAATGCAAGGACGCTTCATGGAGCGAGAAACGTTCCTCCTGCTGGTCCGAAGGCAGAAGCAGCTTGGCAGAAGAGGCCCGACACCGAGCCCGTATTCGACATAATTATCGCACCTGTCGGAGGAGGAGGCATGCTCTCTGGCGTCTCCACCGCGGTCAAAGGAGCCGACGACAGAATCATCGTCATCGGAGCTGAACCAGATCTCGTCAACGACGCTTTCCACTCCTACCAAACAGGCTCAGTCCAAATTCCACCCCAACCGCCCAAGACCATCTGCGACGGCCTTCTCACCTCGCTCTCTCCCCTTACTCTCGAACACATCCAGAACAACGTCGATGGCATCGTCACAGCTCGCGAGGAAAACGTGCTCAAAGCACTCGATCTGCACTGGACGCGTCAGAAGCAGTTTGTCGAACCAAGTGCAGCCGTCGGCCTCGCGACCGTTCTGCAAGGCTTCAACGAAGCAGCTGAGCAGCAGACCGGCGGTATCCCCGCCGATGAGACGGATCGATCGCTCTGGGGTATCCAAGATTGGGTTCGTCACGTTGCCCAAGAAAAGACGCAGCGCGGCGAGGCGCAGCCAGAGATCCGTATTGGGATCGTGTGGAGCGGAGGCAACGTCGAAGTCGGCAAAGTAGCAGCCAAGTTTGAAGAGTACGGATTGTAATTACCAAGTGGAATCTACTCTTTGGAACCGGGCGGTCGTAGCGGACCACCGACATTGCTACCGTCACCTTTACCAGAATACAGCTGACCTTCGCGATTGTCCTTGTCCTGCTTGTATTGGTCCTGAGCGATCTGTGCACTTTCCCTGCAGTTGTTAGCGGTGGCGGAGGAGGCTTCAGAGGCGGAGTCGTAGGTGATAGGTACGTCTAGGCCTACACGACGTGCGGTGAGACGGACACGCTCTTCTTCGGTCATGTCGGTTGTGGGGTTGTATCGCTGCAGAAGTTCCTGTGTTGTGCAGCCAGTCATTGAAAGTCTGGTTAGTCATGTATCGCTATTGAATGTTCCGATTCGAGTAGATGCACTCACTGAATGCAATGCCTTGTTTTGCAGGAAGACATGCAGGTTTTCGAGATTCTGCTGTTGAATCTCTGCTGCCGTCTTTGATGGCGCGATGAAGGCATGGTATCCGCCTTTGTTCGATGACGAGTCGGCGCTTTCGATATTTTGATACTGCTTCTGCAGATATGACACGAGAGGACCGGTCTTTGCCTGTATCGAGCAATGAAGGGAGGAAGAAATTGAGTCAACCAGAGACCCGTAGGTTCAGAGCTGTTAGCAGGAGGCACTTACGGTGCGTTCCGCCTCCTGTACGACGCTGTCGTACAGAGCCTTGACGGCTGACGACCTTCTTGTTGTTGCGAACATTGTCACGGTGGATGAAGTGGTTGCAGAGGGGGAAGAACTTGCCTAGATTGTCACGAGAAGGTGTTGCGTACGAGGTCAAGGGTCCTAAAGTCCGCCTTCCGAGCTTCCTGCGTTTTTGTCTCGCGCGTGTGTGTGATTTTTCACTGCGACCTTGAAGGCGAAGAAAAGATATTCCAGTCTGTCCAGTCCCCTCCTTTCTTCTCAACCACATCAATCTTCAAGACATCTCGCAGCCAGTAACACATTCACTGGCTGCACTGTTCGACACAGTAAGTCATCTCACCAAGCGCCTCCGATCGTAACCTCCCAGGTCTCTCGCACAGCACGGGCTCCGTCACCGTCGCCGCACAACCGACCCCGGAAAAACCTTGACCATCCCCAAGAACAACGAGGATGATATCTACCCCGATGGGCGGACATAAACACCCCTGCTCCTTCTCTTCTTCCTCTTAGCTCTAGTGTACAAAATTGAGCGGAGGTCGGTAGACGCCTTGTCCTCTCGGACCACGTGTATAAAAGGGGAGCAGGCATTTGTTGATATCTACATCGGATACTGAGTTTTGTTCTTTGGGTTGGTCAAGGTTTTCTCATTCCAGCTGGGTATTGGGTACTGTGACCATTGGAGGGTTATGACAAAGAAGAGTATTGTACTGACTTAGATAACGATTTCTTTGCCACTCGTGTATCCGCCGCCGCGTAGCTTGTCCCAAATGACATCGATGATGACTTCTTCTACTTGTTGCTGTTTGTGTGTGTCTTTTGTGGGTCGTAGCGCTTGTGAGAGGCTAGTATAATCGTTCAATCAAGCTCCGCATTCGACATTCGACGGAACACCACGAGCGTCTTGTCAATTGTTCTGTGTTTCGCACTGTCAGCACGAAAGCCTCGGCAGCCAACGCGTTGCAGATCCTCTCCGATTGAGAAATCTCGGAACGCGGCAGCGCCAATGCGAGTTCAGGGTCCTCCTCCTTCTCACCGAAAGTGTTGTTCTACCTGCTCCCCATCTTTTCATCCCGCCATTCTGTACCACGCTTCACGCGCGCACACTGCCACCATGAGCGCTCCGAATGAAAGTATCGTCACATCTGCCTTAGCACTACCCTCCGCCGAAAGCAGCTCGACCGCACCCCCCACGGCATCCAACACAACCCTCGTCGACGCATCGGGTGCACCATCAGCGGTGACCACAGACAAATTGACGGTCACGGACGCAGACGTTGCAGATGCTGGCGCGTTGAGGTCACAAGCTTCTGAAGCTGTTGTGACTGGACTGACACCGGATCAAGTGATGCAGGAGCTGAAGGAGAACGGATACGTGGATCAGCTGCGACGTCGGATGTACGATGCTTTCTTGGCTAACGAGAAACCTTCGATCGGCCCCACTGCTGTCGCTAACCCTGTTCAGTCCACAAGCGGTGTCTCTAGCAGTACCATCCCAGTCACTGCTGCTTCTACGATCAGCGCGTCTCCCGCTGATGACTCGCTACCAGCACCAACCCTCACTCAATCCATAGCCGCTCCTCCAACCATCATCCCACCCCACACCAACGCCCATTCTTCCTCTTTGGACATCGGAACCAAACCCCCCTTCCTCGCCCACCTCTCTGCCCTCCTTTCAGACCACATCACCTCCGACCACGGCAACCTACGTCTCCTCCTACCAAGAGAGCAGCAGAATTCCCTCCTCAACAGCCTCGATTCCGCAACCGTACACCATCCCCACAGAAACATTTTGGGCGATGCTACAATCTACGAATTGCTCGTCAAACACGTCGTCACAGCCGCGAGTGGAGAAGAAGAAGAAGAACAAGGTACGGGAGGTATGCTGGATAGAGACGAGGGTTGGGTGGGGAAAGAGGCGAATGCGAGGGTGAAGGAGGTGATCAGGGAAATGATGGTGAGATCGAGTGCGAAGGAAGGCGATGATGATGAGGGAGATGAGGATGAGGATGAAGATGAGGAAGACGAGGATGGTGAGGAACGACAAGGAGCGGACACAGCCACACAGCCACCACACAGCTCCCCACTGGACCCTACCCAACCATCATCATCAGTTTCAACCACCGACATGGAGCAAGACTAGTGTCACAACAACCATCGAATCACCGACCAACCCTTTTTCACCCTCACCCTCGCCTCGCCTCCTCCCGCGTCGCCGCAAAGCGTCGCCGTCAGCAGGGCTAAGTACTGCGAACCTAACGTCTCCACCAACTCGACATCAAGCTTGTTCCCCGCACTCAAACCCAGAGACGCCATATCCTTGGCACCAAGCTCGATCTCCAATCCTGCCCGCACCTTGGCTACGAGCAGCTGCGAGAGCTCGCTCTCATCACCATGCTCCGCCTGCTCGTCGTCTTCTTGCTCGATCTGCGCCAGTCGATCTTCCAAAATGTCGAGCAGACCAGAGACGAGCGCGGTGGTCCAGTGAGACCAAACCATCCACAACGAGTCAGAAAGGATCGAACGGAAGCGCATGTGTTCCTCTAGGTCAAAATCCGGATTGTGGGAGTCGGTGTGCAGTTCTCCCCCGGACGAGGAGCGCGCATAGAGACTTCGGTCGGTGCTTCGACGTCGGTGCAAGGAAGCGTGAGACATGCGATCGGACTCGGTGATGCCGGAACCGCGCACGGGACTGGCACCGACAGCGGCGAGGAGCGGGTCGGGTGGTACGAGGTGATGATGGTGGTTGTGACGCGTATGGGTCAGGTCCAGACCTTCCGTGTCGGAGGAACTGTTGGTGCTGGTATGCTGGTCTTCTATCGGGATAGCTCGTGCGTGGACACCGCTGGACAGACCACCATTGACGTGGGTGGGTGAAAGGTCAGAACCAGCAGCTAGAGCGCTGCGTCTCTCCTCTTCCTCCTCATCTTCGGCTGCGATCTCGAGATCCTCTTGCTCGTCCAAATCATCCTCGTCGTCGTCGCTCTCGTCCTCCGGCATCACCAGAATACTGGCTCGGACGCCGCCATCTCCTCTGATACCAAGCGGCAACACATAGGCGGCAGGAAGGCCATACCGCCAGTGACTGGGTAGGAACCACCACCCAGCCAGCCAGTACCTCAAGAATGCCAATGCTGCGCTCAACGTCCCAGCGCCGCTGCGACGGGGTGACCGCGCGGACGCTCCGCGCCATTGCGATACGGCACTGTTCTGCGCTAGCGTATGTCCATAATCGCCGTTGATTTCCACTTGCTGATCGTCAGATCGACGAGACGTAGATCGAACGAGCTTGTTCCTCGACTTTCGTCGGCTGATGCACGCCGATGCGCCTAGACGCTCCGCTCGTTCGGCGTGACGTCGCGCTTGTGCATCAAGCTCGTTGAAGGTCGCGAACTCGCGCGTCGTCCAACTCTGCGCCTTCAGCTGCGCTTTTGGAAAGCCACGTCCACCAGCAGACGTAGCGGCGGACGAAGGACGAAGCACGGTCCACAGCCGAGCCATGGTCGAGGCATCCTCAAGACACGCTTCGACCAACAGCCCGTGCGAGTCGCGAGTGATGAGAGGGGTCAAATCGAGCACGCTGTCGAACAGATGTGGCTTGTCTAGCAGAATCTTGTCCGTCGACCAGGCGATCCAGCTCGGCTCCAAGAGGACTGCTGCACTGTTACCACGCCGTTTCTCCTCATCCTCCAGTGCTGGAATATCATGAACGCCGATCTGTCCTTTGACCTGGACGATCCATCTACGCGCAAAGGATTGCAGATTTTCGTGCCTCTTGCCTGACCTACCGATGCCCAAGGCTACGAGGTCCGCTAGGTTGTATCCGAGTTGCGCGGCGTGCACAACGGGTGGAGAGGGAGAAAAAATGAGCAGACGATGACGAGGTAGCATGAGCTTCTTGATGAGGTGTGGGAGGAGGGCGCCGAGCGAGCCGCACAGAGCTGGCATGTGCGAAATAGGGTCATGAAGTAGATTGCGTGGGTCGCGACGACGCCTCATGCGCAACTGCTTCATGCGTTTGCCATCCATCTTTTGGCCATCTTGCACACTGCTGCTTCCGACGTGAGGTTTGTGCATCTCGTAGTACTTTTTGAGTGGCGAAAGATCTTTGGGATCACGTGCGAGCTCGTCAGCCAATGTTTCGAGATTGGAAAGATGAGGGACGATGGCGAGTTGCTGCGCCAACGAAGAGGCGTACTGGTCGGCGTGCCCTTCACACTGGAGGATCAGACCGACGCTCACCATGCGAGCTCCACGTTGGTCGGCTGAATCTGCAGTGTCATCGTTGAGCTGAATGTTACGGAAGCACGCTACGCCTGTGCTGCCTTTGAGAGAGGTCTGAAAGTAGATGACGTCCTTTTCGATGAGATGCCCGCCGCTAGGAAGCACTTTCCATTCGACTCCGCTGAGGTCGACTGCATGATGAGGATCGTGGCTCGTTGAATTACCCTCCTCACCGTCGTCGACGTCGATGAGCTGGACACTGTCGCGAGCTCCAGCTGGTGAGGCAGGGGGATACTGGTAGTCAATCTGATTTCCGTGGCGAGCGTGAAACCGTGCCAGAAAGATGGTGAGAACGTTTGCGGGAAGTAGGCTGAGGTTCGGCGCCGAGCTCGGTCCTGCCTCTGCTGAGGCAATCACCATATTGTTGACGAACTCCTTCCCGAGATGATGTCTGTGGTCTGTGTGCTCTGTGTGCGCGGGGTGATGGATGCAATGGTCAGGGATGGCGTAGATGGACCAGAGCAACACTGAACGGCTGACGGCTCCACGCCCTTTCCGAACTTTCATACTTCCGTGCAGCACACAGGGTCCCAAAACAGCTCAAAATTCCTCTTCTGCGTCGCGAATTCCGGTCTTGGTCTAAGCGCTTTTTGCTCTTGGCACGGAAGCCGGCGACGAATGAGACGCGAGAGATTTGATTGCAATATCACACTTTACCGCAACCTGTGTTCGCACTGCTCAATCACCGTCCCGACAAACACACAGTGGAGACCAGACGTGACCAATCTTTGTAGCCGTCACATCCGCCATCACACGTCGGCTGTATGGCCGATCCGGAGATCTACTTTTGAAGCGCATTACGTCTAGAAAGGGCCAAAATATTGACAAAAAGGCGTGAATTCGGCTGAAGGCGACTTCGGACAAGCCGAAAAGCCAAGCGCTGCGAATCGACTGTCGTTGTCAAGCCGTGATGATCGTGGGAAGGTCGTTTTAGAACATCTTGTTCATGGCCTGCAGCGAGACCTCGACACCGAGGAAAGTGGCTGCGTTGGCCGGGAAAGCACGAGCCATGGCAGGGCCGAAACCCTTGAAGAGCGCCTTCATGCCGTCCTTGGCGACCGTCTTTCGTGCGCAGTCGAGGAAACCGCTGTACGTGCCGTGAGGAGCGCCCTGGTAGCGAGACTTGATCACATCGGGAGGGATCGCGAGCGCCCACATGGCCATACCTGCCAGACCACCTGCGGTGAGCACATTCAGGAAGTTGAGCTGCTGAGGATCCTGTCCTGCGGGCGTCAACAGACGCTTGGATGCTTCGTACGCGCAGAAGTAGGCGGCCGATCCTGGACCGTCACGGGCGAGGGTGGCACCGGTACCGCGGAAGATCGACTTGAGACCGCCTTCCTTGTACAGCTGGCGAACGACGTCGACGGGACCGTTGTACGTGGGACCAGTGCTGCCACTCTGACCTTGCAATTGCAAGAGCACTTTGACACGTTCTGCTGGTCCGGCAACCATGGTGGTGGGGATCGCACTGAAGAAACCGGCAAAGGCGAGCTCGGGAATCGAAAGCTTGGGGTCGGTACGGCTCGGGGTCATGGCATACACCAGCTTCTTGCCCATATCATACGACCAGAAGGAGAGCGCAAAGATGGGGGTGACTCCGATCAGAGGTGGTCCCATACCACGGTACATGCTGTGTGCGGTAGGAAGCAGAAGGAAGCCGTCGGCGTCAGTTTTTCTCAGCCGTTTGTGGTGCGAAGATGAACGAGCGAGCTACTTACCCCTTGATACCATCCGCCTTGATCGTCTGTTTTACCACATCCAGACCACCGGTGTATTTGCCGTCGGCTGCCGTTTGCAGACGTGTCTTAGTAAGATCGAAGGGATGCCCGACGAGAACGGAGCAAACACCACCGAAACCACCGGAGAGGAAGGACTTGACCGACGAGGTGGCCTGCTTCTTCTGCTCGAACTCCTCGTCCTTGATGGCGGCCGATGATTGATCGTCAGCCATCTTGTATTATAACTTGAGGAGGAAAGAAGGGCCAGAGGCGATTGACTAGGACGAACGGAGAAGTTCGATGGAGATGCTTAATGCGTGCGTCCGAGTGGTCCAATGTGAAAAGGGCAAGGACGAGCTTGAAGCTGAGGGTCCAGATGATGATGGTGGGAAGGACAAGACAGGATGGGCGACGAAATTGCGTTCACACTTCCTTGTGCACCGGTTGCTGCTCTGACGACGATAACCGGAATTGACCAACTCCAACTTGGCGGGCGAGAGTGCGGCTGCTCGTTGTTCATTTTCGACTGACCGACCGCGACCAGGCTTGAGGATTTTCGCTACCCCGCTCTCCCCCATTTTCGCCGAAGCTCCTCGTCAGAGATGCAACACCTGTTGTGCCCGGTAGTCACAGTTTCGTCCACTTGGCGGATCGGTCAATTCTGACCTTGCCAGTTTTGCCGTGTCTCTCTCTTTCTCCGCACCGAATCTCAGCCTAGGCCTTCTTCCCGGCCTTCCCGACCTCAAAGGTCGACACCGTGATGTTGTGGCTTGCATTTTCTTCCCATTTCTTCGCGTGTCGTCGCTGATTCACCTCGCTGTCCCGCTCAAACTATTTCCGACCTTGTCCGCTTTGCTTGCAATGACGGATCGGGGCCTAATTCAAACGTAGGTGGCTCGCGGGGCCCCGAACGGCTGCAGATACGTGATCCAGAGTGAAGCATTGCCGCAGTTGCCGCTGCGCAATCTCGTAGAGGAAGTTGCTGTGCGACCGGCACTTTGAAGACTGGAGTGCCGGTCGGTCTGTATTCTTCGAAGCATCTGCAACTTCGCGTCACCGAACTCCAGAGCCAATCAGATCAGGGTCGCCTGAGAAGATCAGCGCGTGAAATTGACTTGAAGGATTTCGATCCGATCGGGATGCCCGATCCCACGTCAGATCAGATCCGCCGATAGGTTCGTTGTTTAGTGCTCCGAATGTCAAGCTCCGAATGTCAAGCATGTATGGTAACAAGGACACAGCTGTTGATTGACTAAAAGTACATTGATTTGATACGGGCGACAATGAGAGGCGGAGTGCAGGATACTGGTCTTGGAAAGCATGCCTATTCAATCGCAGCTCCCGTCAGTTGGACCGTCCAGCCATCTTTCGGAGAGGTGTGCTTCGGTGCATGGGAAGGTCGGCTTCCCAAGTCGTTGGTTGACCTCGTTGTGAATGCCGCAAAGCCACTTACGCAGAGAAGGCCCCGAACGTACAGCAGTGGCGAGCTTCAGGCTACGGTCTTCCCAGCCGCCCTCCTTGTCTTCACGCCGATATTCTTCTCCGAGCGCTTCAGCGCAAGAGTGGCAAGGGTAGATATGTGGTAGTGCACGGAAGAGGGCGAGCATCGAGCTTTGCTGCTGAGCCGAAGGATTCTCAGGGAAATACGCTGCGGAAGAATGAAGCAAAGTCCAGGCAGATCGACCGAGTTCTTCGCCGTCAGGCGGGCAAGTCGTGGACGCTGACGATGTGGCCGCGATCGCCGCAGTCGGTAGGGCCACTGCAGCAGCTCCGGTCGTCGATGCTGCTTTGCCGCTGGAGCTATCTTTCGAGCTGGTACCAGCAGATGGGATTTTTGTGCCTTTCATCGCTGCTGTGAAAGCAAGCTTTGAATTGCAAGCACGACATGGCTTGCCGTCCGGACCAAGCACTACCTGGGCCTGCTTACTCGAGGAGAGGACATTGTCGGCAGTAAACCCTTTACTCTTCTCGTTCTCGGCATCTCGGGCAGAGAGAGCTTCAGTCTGGATGGACTTGTACCCTGTCGGGGCCACTCCCCAGTCTGCGACACCATCGGGACGATCGATACGCTTGGGCTCCCAATCATCCAGCTCGTCCTCCTTTGACTGTAGTTTGAAGTACTCTTCCCGGATATCAATCCTCTTTCGATCCTTTTTCATGCGCAACTCCTCCTCCTTTGATATTGTCTGCACCTTTGTGGCGTTGTAGTCGTATCTCGTCTGCGTCAGGCTGGCCAGCCCAAAGCTAGCTCCGACCATGGTGGCCAGAAAAGGGAGACCGAAGAAAAGAAGCGGCCTCCGTCTTACCTGCGGCGCCAACCTCGCCAGCAGCGAGTTCGACTTTCGCAATGGCTTCGACTCGAACGTCGGCATCGTGAGAGGAGCGGCTAGTGCCGTGAGTCGCAAGGGGTCGTGAACAGAAGAGGTGATTGATGCTGGAGAGGTGGAGAAGGAGCAAGCCGCCACCATGTGTTCAACCAAATCTCTGTGTGCTGCGGACCATTCTGCCCGTCTTCCGAGAGAAAGAAAAACCAAAAGAAGAAGCCCAAAAAATGTGGAGCTTGAATTCTGTTTCCGCGGATGCTCCGACGACCTGCATGAACGTGTCCCACGTTGAGCGAGGCTCGGTTACGCCCTTTCTTCTCATTCTCGCTTTCGCAAGGCTTGCTCCTCAACACCATCAACCGGTCACTCGACCCCAGGTAAGCCCAAACATGCTTACACAAGTGCAGTGATGCCAGTCCTGACATCTCTGCGTCAGAGCCCGACCTATCTATATGTCAAGGTCTACTGCCTGTGTGCGCTTGTCACACTCTTTCAAGCAGCTCCGGTGTCCTCTCGCATTCCGCAGCTGGGTCAGACTCTCCAGCTCAGCAAGTATAGGCTCATTCGGACAAGGTTGGGACCCCGCATCGTTCCTGTGGAGGAAGCGCTTCCAGTGACGACTGAAAGCACGCCGGTCGTGCTACACGCCGATCCATCTCGGTCGCCAAATGAGGTCATCATCTCCAGCGACGTCTTGGGTCCGGGCGAGCAGGGATCAATCGTCAGAAGACTTTTGAGGCGCTGGTCAGGCAGGGCGAAAGATCTGGCACATGTCAAGCGTCTTCTTTCTAGGGACGCTGCCGATGTCAAGGCGTATCCGGAGCTTGACTGGGACGCAAACGTACGGAGGTCATCAGCATTGCACCCAGAAGAGATCAAGTTTTTGCGCAGAAGGCAAGATCTCTTGTCATCGCACGGAAGGGACGATCTGAAGCGCTTTCTTGAGCTGCCTGCTACGGAGCAAGTGCATCCTTGCGATGTACCGCTCATCGCACTGGGCGGTTCCGGCGGTGGCTACCGGGCGATGTACGGATTCGCTGGCGTGATCGCCGCCGCTAAGCGAGCCGAGCTGTGGGACTGCCTTTCGTGGGCCGGCGGTGTCAGTGGAAGTTGTTGGACGCTGGCTGCTTACTACACCATTGCCTGCCAAGACGCCGAGCGTCTCGTTAGGCATTACCTCGCCGTCGCAAGCGAGCTGGCTCACCCGATGAGCGTACATGCCCTCGATACGGTAGCCCGGAGTAGTCGCGGCGTCTACTTTCTGCTCGGTCCGCTTGTTCGCAAAGCGCAAGCTGGCATCGTCGGACTCGGCATCATGGATCTCTACGCTACGCTGACAACAACGTATCAGTTTCTGTCGAGGGAGCCAATAGCAAGGCTCAGCAGGGCCAGCTTCCAATTCTCGAAAGTTTGGTCGAGATCTGGGATCAGCTCCGGACACGAACCGCTGCCCATCTTCACTGCCGTTCGTGTAGCTCCCCGAGACGCGCCAGGTGTTCGACCTCGTTCCGACTCGTCTCTAAGCAAAGGCCAACCTCCGAAGCGCGCTCTCACCCAGCATCAAACTGCAGCGTCAAAAGCAGTGACGCCCAGCAAGGCTCCGAACCCATCTCCCGCGTCATCTGCGCAGCTGGCGAACGGCGTCGACAACACTGCAGATGTCTTCGCGCTGCCTGCTGCTAAGGGCTACTTTCAGTGGTTCGAGGCAACACCGCTCGAAGTCGGAAGTGCCGATGTGCAAGGCTACATACCCACTTGGGCTTGGGGCCGACCCTTCGTCTCTGGTCGCTCGCTGAATCGACGACCGGAGGGGTCACTTTCGCTTCTTCTGGGCCAATGCACGAGTGCCCCGGCAGGTCCGCTCACAGGTTACATTTCAGCGCTCTTGGCTTCCTTGCCAAAGGGCACTGTCATGTCGCGCATTCTGCATTTCCTCAATAACTTTGTTCGGATGAAGCGATGGGAACGGAGGTGGGGCAATCCGATCCGTGCGGGTGACGAACCGAACCCTTTCTACGGCCTCAATGTGTCACCCGTACCCAAGGTCAGCGACAAAAAAGCGTCGAGCCCGAGCATTCTCGGCATCGGAGTCGACATACTGCACACGCCGCGCTTGCGACACCTCTTTCAGCGTCGTCGATCCCGGCCAAGTTCGTCTCCTGCCGAATCAGCCAACGAGCAGTTGCAATCAAAACAGTCCACCGAGCAAACAGCATTGGAGAAAGTTGCCAAACGCATCCTTTGCGAGTCCGAATGGAACGAATACCAGGAGCTCTCGCTGCGCCTGACCTCGGAATCCTCGCACCTGGAGCGCTATATCGCAAACAGATGGTGCGCCAAAGAAGCAGCCTACAAGGCCTTATACCCGAAATACATGGTCTCGTGGAAAGATCTCTGCGTTCGCAAACACGTCTCTTCAAGCGACGTCGTCGGTCAGCTCGAAGAACAAGGACTGCGCACGATGAAACCGGCCTTGAGCTTTTCAGACGAATGGCGGTCCAAGCATCCCGACATTTCGTCGATACCCAAATTGCACCTCAGCCTTTCACATGATGGCGAATACGTTGTGGCCAATGTGTTGGCAGAAGAGTCTGTGGATGTATCAAACAGGCCGACAGCGCAGAACACATCGGACTGGAGCGAGCTGCGTGTTTCGCTGCCGCTACATGATTCTCGCATAGTCACACTCGAGGACGGTCCCGACTTGCAGCTAGGTAAACATGGTACAGCGATTCCAGCTGACATCCCAGCGCGGCGTACACAAAGGCCGGAAGACGACACCAGTGCGAGCAGCTCGTGGGAGTCCCAAGGACGCATCAGGCTCATGGACTCGGGCATGTCTAACAACCTTCCCAACCACATTCTCGCACGCAAAGAACGCTCCGCCGATATCATCATTGCCTTTGACGCCTCCTCCGACGTACAAGCCGGCTCGGCCATGCGACGCATTCACAACTTCGCAGACGATTGCCAACTCACGCTCACGGATCAAACGCACCTCTTCGAACCTGTCCTACCTCTACCCGAGGGACAGGGTAGGACGGTAGACCGCACGATGGAGCAGAAGTTCCTCGATCAGTATGCCAGAGTGCTGCAGGGAACACGAGAGGAGGACGGCTCGACGTTCTGGTTGATATACTGTCCACTTTTGCCGAACCCCACGAATCCCGCGTACGATCCGAGCACGTCACCTTTCAGCAACTCGTACAACCTCGTTTGGACACCAGCACAGGTCAAGACGTTGCTCACCACTTCGGAGGCGAATTTGGAGCTGTATGCGTTGCAGATGGTCAAGCAGGTCATGTGCAAAGTGTATTACGACAAGAAGACTGCTCGTCTTGCTTCACAAAGCTCCGCCGTGTCGGCTGTTTTCGCTAATCCTTCTCGCGATGCATAGGAAATCCATCTTCTTCCACATCATAACCCGCGTCTGTGTGATCAAGTATTCTTCAGCAACCAACCATCCACCCAATCCGCGCCCTGATTCTGTGGTCCCGAGTTGCTGATATGTCGCCAAAGACTTTCCAACCTTCTGACAGCCTTCTCCCTGTTCTCCCCCGTGGTGTCCGGTTTCAGCACCTCCTCGATCGTCTCATTCAACACGGGAGAGATGCCGTAGACGTCGTCGATGTAGCTCGAAGCATCAAAGTGCTTTGTGATCTTCTTAATGACCGTTCTGCCTCTGTCGTCGATGGATTCGGTTTCGGTGACGTCGGTGGATTCGTCACGGCCTGTGGTGGCGAAGATGGAGGAGAGGGCGGCTTCGGGTGTGGGAGCGTAGACGCCTTCCAGGGTGGATGGGTTGTCGGGGCGAGGGATGACGAGATCGCGTTGAGATTGGGTGGAGGATTGCGCTTCGGCGAGAGAGAGGTGCAGGGCTGCTTGTTCGCGGCTGAAGCTGGGATGGGAGGGCGAGGGTGGACGATAGGTGGAGGAGAAGTTGGACAGGACCGCGGAGGACAGCGAGGCTTCCGGTTGAGACGGTGCTGAGGATTGAGATTCCGCGTCGAGCAGAGAGAAGATGTCGTCGGATTGAGCAAGGGATGCGTTTGCCGGTGGGTGCGGAAGTTGACGCGGTGCGGTCGTATCATTTGTAATGTGGGAATGATCGTTGCGAACAGATTCGTGTAGAGGAGCGTCTAGTTGCGTGTACGTGTCGAACGACCTCATTTGAGCCAGACTCCAGCTTTGCCAGCCTGCGCTTTCCTGGCTTGCATTCCAGCTTTGTTCGAGTGTGCCTGCGTTGCCAACCACATCGCTACCACTGGTATTGTCATCGAGCCTCAACCCTCTTTGAAAGTCATCAAACAACTTCTCGCCATCTCGCTCCTCACCGACGGCACTTCCACCAGTCCGGAACATTCCCCTCTGAGCTCCACTCGATCCACTCGACACACCACTTGCTCCACCCGCACGCAGATCCTGCACGAGCCAATCTCTCAACTCACCCCCACCCGCTCCCACTGCTCCACCTTGGAAACCTTCCTTCCCTCCCGCACCCATACTCTGCATGACCGAATTCAGCTGCGAAGACGCCATGCTCGATCGTAATGCTGATGTCAGGGTCTGCGCTGCGCTGCTCCCCCCAGTGGTTGAGGACGTGGATTGAGATTGGGATTGTTCATCGCTGTTTTGTTGAGAAGAGGATGCCTTGCCTTTCCCCTTTGATTCGTTTGACATGTTGGCAGGGCGAGACCACTACGCACTGGTCGACGATAGCCCCGATGGGCCAGCAGAACTGCGACGGATTGGAAGTCAAGATTATGTCGATCAACGAATGTGATCGATGATGTATCCAAGAAGTGAGGTGGTGGTAGTTGATGGTGTTGGTGATGATACTTGGAAAGCGTCATTCCACCGCCAATCCGTGGACCCTTGAATCCGTGTATCCGCGTGAAAACTTTCCCGGATGCCGGCGTGCCGCACAATGACAGCATCCACATTCCTAACGCTGATCAACTCTGTCTTTTCACTTCACAAAAACACACACATTGAAGCACGAAGCTTGTCTAGGACGTGCAATGCAGGATCATGACTCGGAACAAAGGAAACAGTGATGCGTCTAGTGCTACTATGAAAAGAGACGGAAGCTGCGATGATGAGATGCTAGGGAAACAGAGACGGCTAAATCAACAGCGTGAACAGGACCGCAACAGGGGATGAACGGAACAGAAAGACATTGTTGATGATGATGGTTCTTGATGGGTATTTGAGATGGACAACCAAGACAGTGCTTCATAGTGGGAAGAGGTCTGGACGCGAGACTTTGGTAGGGAGGGAAAAAGATGCGCAAGCACATATGCTTGAGGAAGGTCATCGAACGGGTGGATACGATCAGAAGTTGAGTATCTGCTTAGAATCCATCGGCAATTCGGCCATCTTGCATCCTAGATGAACCTCGAGTGTCCTTAGCATCTCGACATCGCCCCTCGGTCCACCTGAAGCAGTGACGACGTTGACGCACACGCTCGGTCTGGCCATGCCACCGGCTGCAGCGCAGCTGATCTTGTCCTTGTACTCCTCAACGGAGCGTGGCATATCGTAAAACACGACGAGCGGTACCTGATGCACCTCTTTCGGGTTGACGGCCATGTCACACACCACAAGCGCCTTGCTAGGTCGGATCGTCGCGTTGTTGACGCCGCCGTACCCATTGGGTGCGGCGAAAGTGTCGCTGCTGACCATGTGGTTGTTGCCGAACTGCGATAAAGCCGATCGAAATTTGGCAAGAGTCTGCTGCCGCGTGTACGAGTTCATTTCGCGGTTGAGACCCAGCGACTCGATGCCTTTGGACGAGAGCTTGTAGATCAACGCTTCTTGCGTGGCAACGTTTGAACAGTAGATGACCGTCTGACCAAAGTCGATGTCCTCGAGCAGATCTGAAATGAGATCGAGCTTCATCTCGCTCGCCGGGTTGTGCGACACACCTTGCGCCGAGTTCGCTGCGCCCATTCCACCACCAGAGGTGACAGCGACATAAAGATAGTACTGGCGCAGCCCTTTCAACGCCGACAACATGCCATCTTTGGTAGTGCTGATGCTCGAATTGACTGGATGGGCGCCGAGCGCGTTCGTGGGCTGGGACAAGTCGCGCTGCGAGCTTGGCATCTGCGGGCCCAAGCCAGCACCGTGTGGCTCGCCCATGATGGACGAGCCGCCCGGACCGGATGGCATGGTGCTGCTGCCACCAGCCCCGCCACCTGCGCCATCACGACGAACGAGCACACGAACAGAATCACGGAGATGTATCGACTGTGCAAAGTTGAGCACATCCTGCGGCACGGTGTTGGAGAACAGCGCGACCTGCCGATCAATCGTGTTAGAGCCTACGGAGCCTCCAGGGCTCTCGTTGGCATTGTCGAACGGCGAAAAGATGGCATTGCCAGCCCTTTGAGGGAAGCCAGGACTGAGTCCGCCCGCACCTCTGGCAACAATTCGGGCTGCCGTAGGCAAGGGAAGCACCTGCAACATGGTACTCACGTGGTCAGCTAGATTTCGAGCGATGAGTTGATCCACCTCATCCAAGACGACCAGTCGAACCTCGCCGGGCTTGATAGCAGAGACGCCCGGACCTTTGCCGGGACCGTTCAAAGACGAGGCGTTGTTGGTCATGTACGTGAAAAGCTCGCTCATTTTTTGAGGCGTTCCGACAACGATGTGGGGCCATGCCTGGACCAGCGACTGTGCTTCCTGATGCACGTCGATGCTGCTGGCCGCGACCATGTGGACGCGGATGCCGAGCGGTGCGCCAAGACCCAATGCCATACGCTGTGCCTGCGTGGCCTGGTCCACGGTCGTCGACACAATGAGTGCAACTGGACCGCGATTCGAGGCAGTCTGGCCCGGACCACCGGTTTCGTTGAGCACATTGAAGACCAGCTGCAAGGATGGAATTACATAAGATGCGATCCTCTCCTGAGTCGGCGGGGCTTGCGCGATAATATCACTTCCGCGCAGCAGGAAGGGCAACGCGCGTTGCTGAATCTTGTTAGGTGGTCCGAGACCGTACTTGAGGATGGACCGGAGCAGGTCGGGGTGCAGATTGAGATGTTCCCACTTGGAGATGACGGCGTTGGGTTGCACGATTCCGCTTCCGGGCTGAAATGCGCTGCCGACACCAGCTGCACCTTCTTCGTAGCTCGTGTTGGTAGCGAAGCTCGCTGCGGCTGCGCCTCCGCCCTGATTTGGGCCTTGATTATGAGCATTACCACTCTGAGTCGATGGGTTCCATCGTCGGTCAGAGTTCTGATTTGGCCCGCTCCAGCCTCGGTTGTTGCCGGAAGGTCGCGGGCTGAAAGCGCTCGAATTAAATTGCCCACTCGGGTTGCTGCCGATGCGCGGCGACGCAGCACGGTCCAAGCCGTTAGGCGCGCCTAGCTGCGGTGTTCCGAGCATACCTCCGCTTGAGGCGAGGCCAAGGCCAGCAAGCGAGGGTGCCGAGGTCTGTCCAGCGCTGCCCAGACCGTTGCCTTGCAGCGTGAGCAAGTGAGAGACACTGCTGGCCAGGGCGCTGACCTGAGCGTTCAGGGAGCGCACGTCTTCTGCTGTGGTGCCGCTCGCCGATGCAGCGGTAACCTGAACTGAAGTTGCAGCATTATTGGAGAGACTCGCCGGCGGCAGACCTTTGGTGCGTTCGAGCAACAGCGAAACGTTGCGAGAGATGCCCGAGATCTGGCGCGAGAAATCCTTCATGCCGCTCTCGACTCGAGTCAGGCGAGCAAGCATGTCTTGGATCGTGGCCGACTCACCACCGTTGACCTCTTCAGTGTGGCTGCTCGGCTTGTCGAAGATGTAGCCTGCAGACACGGAGCGAAAAGAAGGCTGATTCGGAAAGCCCGACGCGCTGAGCGGACTGCCTACAGGAGATTGAGCAGTGGGTGGGCCTCCACTTCCGAGAGTTGCTGCTGTGGGCGAGAGCAAGCCGCCAGGTAGATTCATGTAGGAGGGCACCGCCAAGGTCGGCGTCGCTCGTCCAGCCGCCGCTGCAGCGAGGTCTGCACGATTGCTGCGGCCGAACGAGCCCGAATTGATCCCGGGAGACGTGGGATTGCTAGTATGACGCATCTGGCCGACGTGAATTTGGCCTGCAGAAGCAAAGGCAGCCCTGGCACTCGCGTCCATGGGACTGTGGATGACTTGAGCCGAAGACGATCGCTTTGAAGCGAGATCGAACCCACCAAAAGTAGCGCCAGTCTCAGGATTCTGCGACGTTTGTGGATCGACGTGATTGCCTTGGCTGCTAAATGGCCTTGAAAATGTGGAGTCGGCGATGTCGCGACTCGCGGGATGCATCCAAGAATTCGGTCGAGGTCTGCCAGATGGAAAGTTTCCTGCCTCGTGGCTGAGTGCAGAAGTTGGTCGACCAAAGGACAAGGCTGCTACCTGGTCATCCTGATCGAAAGCGTGTTGAGCATCGAGAAAGAGTCTCGGCGTGCCGAATTCGGTTTCGCCGCTGACATTGCCGTTCCGCTCGTGAGAACCGGCAGCATTCTCCTGCAGTGAAGGCGATCGATGAGGAAGGTCAGGTTGCGCCTGGACCGCCGGCAATGGTGATCCAGAATTGGCCGAGCGGAGACTGTTCACCGAGGCAGCAAGGCTGTTGGACCGACCGACGTCCGCTTGCCTCGGACCGCGAGTGCCTGAGACGCCAGCAGCTCGAGTACCTCCGATAACACCAGGTCGAAGCGCTGCATTGTTCATCGCAGAGTCGAAGGATCGAACGGCGTCCTCGGCGGTTGCGTTGCCGGCGCTCCGAGCAGAGATGGCAGAGTTGGAACGGCCAGGCGCGCCAGGCTTGTTGGGCAAAGGATGAGCGCCGGCGCGTGGAGTCTCTTCCCTGTTCGATGCGTTGGCCTGAGACTTGCCTGCGTCGTTGCTGCTCTGTCGGTCCGCTCCCGATGCGACAGGCCCCGTTGGAGCTGCGTTCGTGGACCAGATGCTGTTGCCTGGAAGAAAAGGTGAGACCGACATGGTGAAACTCGGTGATGAGCAGATGGGCGAGCTTGACTACAAGCTTCCTCTGAGTGTTCTGCACAGCTTGGTGGGCATTCGATGGTTGAGGCTGTGACGCTGAAAGAGGCAGCGTCGTGATGGCCGAGGCAAGCAGCTCAGTACGATGTATCGTTCTTCAATCCTTGTTCGTCAGGTTTTTCGTAGATTCGCCGCCGAATTTCGAACACCGAGTTCAGTGTCGCGGCGCGATTCGTTGCAGAAGGACCTTGTTCCGACGAGTTCTCAGACGATGGCACGAGAGCGCCGAAAGGGTGTTGGTGTGAGGCGAACTTGATTTGCGACAAGCGGAAGGCTGGCGCTCGAGCTCAATTCTAGCCGAGCCAAAAAAGAGTCGACTGCTTGTGCGTAGACGGACACGTCTTCGACCGGCTGAATTCCGACTCGAACCAACACTTTCTCCCCAGTGCACTGGAGCGCACTCTCGGACCCCGTTTCTTTCTTCGATTTAGGGGTCCAATCAGCGACCAACAGCGAAGCGCCGCCGAGCCAGCACGGCACAGCGCTCTCTATGCAAGTGTGTACCAGCGTAATGCATCACATGCACGGTCGATCCGCACCAGTCGAGGCTTGTTTCCGATGCACGATCCACTGGTAGCCATTCAAGGCAATTGACAAACAGCAACGCACGTCGCCTCCAAGCGACTCCATCCCGTCTCACACTCGTCTCCAGGCGCATTAAAGAAAATTTGCAATATGAGCGGCAGTGCGGCATGTGCTGTACCCATGCCTATGAGCATGTCAGCGGCTCATTCGTCCATCCCCAGGGCCGATTTGTCGGAAACAGAGCCACGGTGAATGCCTCGGCCCTTTTTGGAAGCATGCCTCAGCCTCAAGATTTACGGTCCCAGCCGTGAAGATGAGCAATGCGGGCGAATGCTTAGCATTAGAAAGCTATAGTACAAATGATGTCAGGTGCTATTGACCCTACTCGAGTCCTGTTGTATGGCGCGGGGCAATCAAAAGAATTTGACCCAGATGATGAAGAGGAAGAGGAAGCCAACCGCACCTACAGGCGCCCATTTGCGCAAGAGGGCGTCAATGTTGATCTGTCGCGCTGCTTTGCGGTATTTGAGCGATTCGTCTCTCAACGAGGATGACATGGTCGACATCTGATCTAAGCTGTCACCTCGCCAAAGCAGATCCTCCATGTTCTTTGTCATGATGCGCGTGACATCCTGCAGATCTTCGTTGAGCCGATCCAGGTTTGACGACGCTGCCGACTGTGCTGTGCGAGAGTCCTCGTAGAGCCGCTTTGTTCGCTGCATGAAGGTATCAAAGCTAACAAAAGCGTATGGCCTCAGCGTCCTCTGTTCCACCTGATTACCGTAGCTGCGCTCGAACTCCTTGGAGAGCTCGTCCAGGTACGAGAATGCGAGCTTGCGCGGATACGACTTTTCGGCAATGGTGAGGTAGACGACAGACGATGGCATGGCAGGCGGTGGCGAGATGAGATAGTGCAGGGTGTACTTGCCGCTCTCGATACTGCAGCGCTGCTCTGACGACGGTGTGATGCGGCGGAAGATGAGCTTGGCCTGCTGCTTGTGCTCCGAGAGGTCGGTCTCGGTCTTGCCGTCATCGACACTCTGTGCCAATGGCAAGCCATCCGAGACCCTCGCGATCTGTGTCGAAAGCGGCATACTTGGTGCCGTGATATAATGACTGGGCTGAAGGTATGCTTTTGAGGCCTTGTTGTCCGTATCGACCTGATCCTTGTTGAGTCCAAAAGCTGCTTTCGCTTTACGATGCTGGAAGAGGCTTCTTGCTGATCAGAGATCGTCTACGAGGACCAAATAGCGCAAGCGCGATGATGCGGTGTACGTGATGTGAGTCGCTTCGTCAAAGGTTAGGCTAGTTGAATGTGGTGATGGGAGCGAGAGTTGAAAGCGCGAATACTGTACTACTCACTGGAAGAAAGTGCGACAAGAAGCAAGCGGTCAAGCCATGCAAACAGCCACGCAGCGCCGTTTGCCTGCTGTGCCAGCCAGCTCTCAGCTACGTGGAGGAGCAGCAGGTGGAATTTTCCCACCCATGACAGGATAGATAATCAGATCTAACAGCTCCATCTTACACCCTGGCTTTGTGTGGTCGACGAACAAATTACCAAAATCCAAACAGCAACAACATCAACCAGCAGCTGGCGGCAGCTGACAGGTATTCAGACAGCCGGCAGGCCAGCCACAGACCCGCGGGCGGTCGTCTGGGATTTCCCCACCTGTCTGCCAAACGAAACGCACGCACAGTCAGTACAGTGCAGACGCCGAGTCGCTGCTGTGTTGCGTCCGTTCTACAAAACCCGAGACTCTGCACGAAGCATGGCAACACATCCACAATCTAGCCATCAAAGCACCCTCCGCGTCCATCCCTCCTTCATCAACGTCTGCTCCCACACATTGACGTATCAACACCGCGTCAGGGGCCACAGGCCGCCCTTTCACCACACAATCGCCTCATCCGCAACCTTTCTCCCCATCCAGCTACGATAGCACACTAGTCCCTCTTTTGTTCGAGTCGCTCTTGCCAAACCGTTCCGTTTCACATTCTCGAGTACCCGGCCCTTCAAAATCCGCATCGCATACCTCGACACCGGCCATCGCAATTACTTCGCAGTGTCGGCTTGACATTCAGCACCATGATGGACGACGCCAACGACATGTCGGGGCAGGACCCCGGCACACACCTCACGCTCGAGCTGAGAGGCACCCGCTTCACCATTGAACGCGAAACCATGATGAATCTGCCCGAATCGGTACTGCTGTGTCTTTTTCCCAACGGCTTGATCCTCACGCGTCAGCCTCGTGTACCGTCGATCTTGGACCAGGACGGCGAAGAGGACGAAGAGGAGCTCTATCTAGTCGACTTTGATCCACAGTGCCTCTCCTACGTCCTCAGCTTCTTCAAAACAGCGCAAGACGAGTTCTACGGCACCAACGAGCTTTCCGGAAAGTACAGACCTAGCTCCAGCTACGGTAATAACTCCGGACTGTACCACTACGCCCAGGCATCGGGCGAAGGCTCCGACCCCAACCAAGGTGGCATGTCGCAGATTCCGCTGATGAACAAGCAGCCCATCATTGTCTTGCGCGAGGAGCTTGAGTACTTTGCCATCCCGCCAAAGAAGGCTGCAGCTGCTAGCGTCGGCGTTCAGCCAGCCAGTGTCGACTCTGAAACCTTCGAGGGCACCGATCCCGCCTCGGGTCACCCAACGGCAGCGCTGTTCCGACTCAAATACGCCTGTGGAGATGCTTTGCTCGACCGCAAGCAGATCTTTACGGCACTGCAGCGCAACGTCAACAAGGAGAACAACTTGGCAGAGCAGCACCTCATCGATATGCTGTGCATGAGCGGCTTTGATCGCGAAGACACATGGGGCTTTCGAGCGCTCGAGCCGAATCGCTGCTGCATCACCTCCATTGCGCTCGTCCTGCTCAAAACCGGCATCACACACGCCGGGGAGCTGGAAGCAGAAGGTATCTTGACTGACTCGACGAATGCGGCCGAGTACCACGATCCCACAGGCCAGACGAGCATGATGAACAACATCCGCGTCGACCACCAGCAGTTTGCAACAGCACAAAAGCTGCTCCTCTTCTGGCGCAAGCCCGCAAGAAAATGCTGGTGGGACGGCATCGACATTGTGCTGCCCGCTTCAAGTGCAGACGCTCCTCAGGCTGTACAGCCAGAGGACCTGAATGATGCAAGTCTGACCGCCAAGGAGGTGGAGTTGTTCAAATCCGGAAAGGGCAGAAAAGTACGAGTCTGGGCACGCAGAGTATGGACATTAGAGCTCAGTCTCATCTGATTCCTGGCAAATGCACTACTCCCGCTCGCGTGGACCAGAGATTCGACTCAAAAACGCCGCCCACGGGCGCACGTTGCAAGCATTAGCCGTTCAGGCTCAGGCTCTATACCCATTCACTTTTTCGACGCTCCTCTTATAGCTGAATATGGACTATCATTTACGCTGACAGCTTCGCTGGCAACATTTGTGGAGGCACTTTGATTGAATCGCTTGCTACTTGAAGTGTGAACCTCCTCCAACAAGGCTCCTTCTGTGTCCGCAGAGTGCCGCGTATACGCTCATGGTTGACCCTCGCCGACCGGCGCCGAGATTGAACCGTACGAGATTTTTTAAAAGAGGTCGCATCACGTGATGTGCTCTTTTTGCAGCCTATTTCCGACTTTCTTCTCGACGTCCTCACCTTGCTTGTCATATCACCATATCTCCAGGGGATACGACACCGAGAAGTCATCTCGAGCAGCAGTACCTTCGCAATGGCGTCACGATCAACTAGTCTGGCGCGTCAGGCCCTGACTACTGCAGCGGCGGCATCACGCGTTCAAAGGCGTGCTGCACTTCCGGTGGCCCGAAGCTTCAGTTCCTCATCTCACCGATCGAATGCGTCCACCTCGTCTTCCGTCACCTTAGATCAGCTGCGCAACACATCACAAGCGCTCTCGCATAGCGAAGGTATCTCAGCGACAGCATCTGAGGTCGACGCCGCTCCCGCCACACAGGAAGAAGAGCAATTTGTCCTGCCCAACTGCTTACTCCCCACAGAATCGCTCCCACCGACACATGGCATTCATGTCGCAACGCTACACCTTCGTTCGTACGAAGACGGTCGATACAACCTTGATCTGTTCGCCGACTTTGCTCGTCGAGCAGCCTTTGCCATAGGCATTCCCGCCAGCGGCGTGGCGCACCTACCCACACGCACGTCGCTCTGGACCGTACCACGATCGCCATTTGTGCACAAGAAATCGCAGGAGAATTTTTGGAGGAAGACGCATTCGAGAGCAATCAAGCTGTACGATGCAAATGATCAGGTGGTCGACCGCTGGTTGCACTTTCTGAGGATTCACGCGCTTCCAGGTGTAGGGCAGAAGGCCGAGCTGTTCAGGTATCATGAAGTGGGTGTCGGTGAAAAGCTGATGGAGGAGGCGAAGGCGTTGCAACGTTCGACGGCTTCTTCTGCAGATGGCAAGGATGCATCGACTGTTTCTGCGCCGGAGGGATCGACGGCGGAAAGCATTAAGAAGATCGCAGATGGGATTGTCGAAAAGGAGATGGCACAGGAGGGATCTTCGGAGCAAAAGTGAAGGCGGACCCGGACCGAATCGAGCGATCGACGCGAAATGCGTAACATCGTTGCAAACCTTTGGCATTCTGCAGCATACGTTGCATTGACCAATGTCATTTGCCAGTAGAGCCACGTTTTTAGCGCGGAGAACAGCGTGATGGTCATGAGGGTTGCAATTTTTCAGCGGCTTGATCGCAACGCCTTCCTGCAGCGGAACAGCTGCCGGGGCCATCGATGACCGTGGACGCTGCCAGCTTCATGGAGAAGTCTGAATCAAATGCCGAATCACGCCCACCCACTGTCGATTCATCCCTGGTCAGCACTGAGAGCCTCACACGGCTCGTCGTCACTTACGAGATCGACGGAGACCCGGCTCTGCATGGGCGGCGGCCTATTGTGCTCTGATCGCATGATCACAACAATAACCCACTGCTCATGTCTCTGCCGATCCTGAGATCCTCGCTCACAGATACGCATCTTGGTCATGTCTACAAAAGCTATGTTGGGATCACGCAGAGTTCGGAAGACGTCGAAGAAGTGTGAATTGCTGTCTGAGCAAGCATCGCAGCGTAGGACCGGTCAATACCGACGCACGGCATGACACAACGCAGGCTCGTCCGTCACCTTGCCTCGCAGAATGCCATCTTGAGTCAGCCGGCAGGGGGAGGGAATAGGAGAGACGGAATCTACGCCCGACTGCATGGAAGCAGCCACAGTCCGCCATCCCGCCACTGTGTGTTGGTCTCGATGTAGCCGAAAAATTTCAATTGCAGATCAATAGGAAAATTGCAGCCTTTTCGCGTGGTGCGCGTCGGTGAGCAAAAAGGAACACTCTGACCTCTCGTGCCAAGCTAGCTTGAAGCATTCACGTCGCTTTTGCTCTGACGCTGGTAGCCACCAGCGACTCAAATGAAGAGCAGAGTCACAGCTTGGAGGGTGGAATGAGAGAATACCGACATTTGACATGGACGGTGCAAGTGGTGCTCGAAGCAAAGTTCAATACCCTTTTGTCCCTTTCCAAGAATAAAAGTGGCAGCAGAGGGCGCATTGCAAAAAAGAGCGTGCGGCGTGAATGCGACGCGGCGTGACGGGCGTGTGAGGTGTTGTTCTCAATGCAAACTCCGCACGCAGGGCGCAATTTGCAACTGTCAGATTCATCATCATCTTGCCGGAGGCTTGCCTCTTTTGCTCGCTACCATCACCGCTTCTCACCAGTAGCAGGAACCGTCGCGCTGGACGCTGTCATCTCGCCTGTCACTTCCTTCAAGACCGACACTTGCCAACTGCTGCGAAGCTTGTCCGTTGACCTCGACCATCGAGCCGGCATCTGGAACTGTCGAGCAATACCGTATACTCAGCCGGAGCATCCCGAAGAAGCTCGACGTTCGGCCACATTTCTGCATACAGAAACAAGCTGTCCCGACACTGATGCATCGCATGGAACGAGCTCACTGTCGTCGCTGTTCGCACCCTCCCGATCTTGTTGCTTGTTCGCTTCGGCAAGTCCGATGAGGCCTGGTCAAGTTTGATACGCTGCATTCGGTAGTCTGCCGGAGAGCAAGTAGGAGAAGAATGCAGCCGTCATCTTCCGAAGCTGCGACAAGCAGCTACTCGTCAGGCTGCTTGGATCCTACAGGCTCATCTCGAACGTGCTTCGACCACGAGCTGCGATCAGATCAATCAGCTTTGACCGCGCGAGTCGTCATAGCCGATGGTAGCGAATTCCTGCTCGAGCCTCTTCCACGCCGGACCTCCCCCTCAGCATGCGGATCAACGACCACGGATCGAAGGCGTATTTCAGCCTTCACACCATCATCGACCACGCAAACGCTGTCCTCGCCGCCTCCTCGGCCCATGTCCACCACGGCTTCCACTCCGCCTCGGTCCAGACAAGGAGATCGTCCATACCGTCCGCCACCTTCGAGTAGCGCTCGCTTCTACGAGCGCCAACAACAGCGTTGGATGCTTCCAGAGCCAGATGCGCTTCCACACACGCCAGAACGACGGACGCCAGAACAACAGCATGAGTCCAGCTCGATTCACCCACTCTTGGCGTCGCCTACTCGAACACCTGCACGTCATTCACCCGCGTCCACCGCTCTGGCCAGCCCACCTTCCGCCTCTCCATCGCATACATGTTCATCGAATGGCCGAATCCATGACCTAGAATCGCGTTCACCTTCGGGATCAAATGCTTCAGCTACTTCACGCCTGAGAGCTGCCAGCGTCAGCACACTGGCTCCACCTGAGCTAACGACACGTGCTCGCTCAGGCAGCGCAGGCAGTTTCACACGCAGTCGCATATCCAATGGCTACCACTCTACCACGGACGATGAGTTTGTCGAAAGAGTTTCTCCAGGGTCCATGGGGGCACTTCCATATGATCGCAGGGAGCGAAAAGGGCATCTCGACAGCGCAGCGTTGGCCTCGCGGCCCTGTTACGATCATACTCTTTATTCGCCTAAGGACATGCCGCAGCAACCGTCCTTTCAGCACCACAAGCTCGAAGACTCTGGCGACGCTGACTGGGATGCAGAGCTCGGCATTTCTGAAGCCGACCATGCAGAACCTTTGCGTTTGCCCGCATTGCAACAAACGGAGGCGGCGTCGAATATGTCAGAGCCCATCGCTGACGCTCCATCAGCTTCTGTCACAGCAAACAACAGCCTCAGCAATCTGGCTTCGATGCAGGGGCAGACTCATATACAAAGCATCAACACCGCCGACCTCAGAGGCCTCCGTGTGACCTCAGCCGTCAGCGAAAACTGGGACGACGACTTCCTCTTCCAGAATGACGATGACTCGACCAATCATGACCAGCACGTCAGTCGTAGCAGTCAGCCGAAAAGAACAGGAGAGACTTGGAGCCCAGCAGACACATCTGTCTCTAGAGCATTGCACTCATCCGCCAAGCAGAACGCAGATAGCGACGAAGAAGTGGAGAACTGGGACGATGCATTCTCGTGGAACGCAGATTCGATGATCTTGCCATCCAACTCGACATCTTCGTCATTGTACGGCTTGATGACGCGGTCAGACGTCCAAGCGGGTGGCACGCCCGCATCGGACTCGCGCGCAAACAGAGGCTTGCCGGCAGATCGGTCACAGAGTCCAAGCCGACATGTCGACTTTCAGCACGGACGAGCCACAACCAGCGCCACGGACCGTCTCTCTGACCTTTCGTCAACGAGTCACATCACAGACTTGTCAGCCTTTTTGGCTTCCCAGTCCGACCTGGAATCGTCCCGACCGAGGCTATCTCATGAAGGCGATGTCCTCATTGCTCCCGGCTCTCCGCGTTCAAGGCAACACCGCGCACTCGGACCCGTCGGCAGCTTGCAGAGGGAAGTTCGTACCCTGCGTGGTCGCAGCGATGGCAGCGGGGACGACACCGAGACTGAGACACCAGTCCATGAAGCTGTTGCAACCGTTTCGGCGCGCCCGGCTCGCCGATCGTTGGGCTCAGCGCTTGGCTTCGACGTTCGCCGCAAAGGCGTCACAAAAGAAACCCCATCAAGCAAGGCATCTCCGTCGCGCGCTGCGCCCCGGAATCAGGACGAGACGAATGCCGCAGGAGTAAAATACCATGCCGGGCCTCAGTCCAAGTCGAAGCTTGGCGCATTGCAGAGATTCAGCTTTTCTCGCTCTCGTCTCAGTGTCGCCAACATGTCCAGCAGCAGCATCAACGAAGTGCCCGAAGTGGATGACGGTATGCAGCAACTTTATCTCGGCCACGCCAATCAGAGTCAGGCATCCATCGTAAGCCGCACGTCCACTTCCTCGAACCGCTCTCGTCGCCGTTCCAGTCCTTCCAGTCTGGAGAAGAGCTACACCGCGCTCCGCAGCACCAGCTTTCGGCGAATGCTTGGACGTGGCGAGAAGAAAATGGGGATCACCGGCCCTTCCGCTTCTCCCACGCGTGTTCCTACGCCGCTGTCGCCACCGCGGCGCGGAGCCGACCTTTCCCAAGCCACACTGCCCATCGTGAGCCCTCCGAGAGACGTTCCATCCAAACACGCAATCGAACAATCGACTTCACCGCCATCTGTCTGGGCAGAGCTTCGTCGCTCGCTCGAAGTAACACCAACACGGAACAGTGATCGGAAGAACCGAACAGGAGGTTCCAACTTCCAGCGAGATTCACAGGGAGGAACTTTATCTGCACAATCTGGCAGCCCGCGCATTTCTTTCGTGGACCTGACGCTTGATGCCACGCGCGACAGAACATCGATGCCGCCCCTTCAGCTCCCGGTTGAGGGATTCAGCCCAAGTCCGGGTCGGCTGCCTCGCGTTTTGGGATCTCAAGTCGAAGCGCCCGCCCGCAACGTTGGTCTGCGACGTGACTTCTCCAGCTCTAACACGTTGCGTGCCGGTCCTGCCTCAATACCCGGCCTCGCATCGACACCGAGCCAGGTTGGATCGTCGAAGGACGTCTCAAAGGCTCCACATTCATTTGGCGGCGAGAAAATGCTGAGAGGCCAGGACGGACGCAGCTCGGCGGGAAGGTCAGTGTCGGCGTCCACCGCTCACAGTCAAACCAGCACCGAATCACTGTACGGATTTCGCATGCGAAAGCAGTTTTCAGTGTCGAGTGGAGCCGACGCTCTTGACTCGGAGACCTCGTACGGCACGAGCGTCGGCAGCTCTCCCGGATTCACCCGCCACAGGTCTTCGGCATCTTACTGTAAGGCTGACGCTTCCACCGCAAGTGCCCTCGAGGATTCGACATGGCTGACTTCCGCTGATGTAGCAGACGAGCACGGCTCATCATCAAAGCGCGATGTTCCCTATAATCGGTCCGGTAGCATGCAAGAATCACCAATCGCACCGCCACAAACGCTCAATGGGGCCCCCTCAGTTCCGCATCTACCAGAAGCTCGGAAGCAGCATACTCCTGACACGTCCTTCTCCCTCTCCCAGGACTATCAGCCGACGCATACAACCCTCGTGCGGCCAGACGCGCCGCCCGCGATTCATAGCCGAGGATCAGGAAGCACTGTGGAGCAATACCCAGGCCAACCACGCGAACCGATCGCGAATTCGAGCGTCGCGAGCGCGTCTTCGTCCGGCCAAGCTATGACATCGACCGCGGCTTCCTCGTCGCCAAGAAGGAGCGCTAGCCGTCGCAACAGCCTGAGCGATCTCAAGATTCCGAGCCGCATCAGCAAGGCACAGACAGGTATTCGCAACAACATGAACCTGGTACGCGATTTTGCCAAGGGCATCGAGGAGCTGAAGGTTCTCAAAGCAAGCTACATGGATCACAAGATGAGGACTCAGCTTGTGAGCTCGGATGTCGAAGAAAAAGTTCGAAACTGGCTCGAGTGCGCCGACGTACTCATCGGACTTGGAGAAGGGCGCACCGAATCCGACTCGACCGCAAGGGTCGATACCGTGTCTCATACTCCTCTCTCCGGACAGGTCGCCGGCCGGCGCACGACATTTTCTAATGCCTCCGAGCGCGCAGGACCCGCATCGCCATTGGACGACGTGGCGTCGCGAGCAATGCTGTCATCTGGTGCAAGAAGCATCAGCGGCACCAGTCAGGGAACGTCCTCCACTGTCGACGATGGGCGAAGCGTCGAGGTGCACCGGGAGATCGACATCCTGTCGACCATCTTGGGCGGTCAGACACTGTCTGCAGCTCCTCCTGGTGCGCCTCGGTCGCACGCCCGATTTCAGTCAGAGACATATTCTCGTGATGATCTCCTGTATCGAAACACCGCTTACTCGATAGCATCTTCGCGAGCACATGCTATAGCTTCTCGGGCATCTTTGGTAGAAGAGACGAAGTCGGGATTACCCGGTTGGGAGACTTCCGACGAGCTGCAGAGCCGCACAGAGGGCCGAAGCAAGACAACGGACCGACCGTACAACACTGCTCCGGTCCTCAGCGGCCCGAACGTAGCTCTTGGAGAAGTTATTGCGTCTGACGGTGTCGATGTTGGCGACGTCAACCGCAGCGCAAAACGTCGACTTCGAAGGGCAAGTCGGGCCGGACTTCAAGGTCTCAGGGAGCTTCTCAAAGTGTTCAAAGGCACTTCCGCGGACGGGGAAGGCGCTGACACTTCCAAATCGACTGGTATCGCTGAGCTGGGTGCTGTTGCACATGACATCCAGCAGCCAGCTAGAGTGTCGATCGACGGACGTCCATCGACGCCGACAGCATCAAAGCAGAAGCGCAAATCACTCAATCTGAAGCGACGTTCATTCCTTCGCTCCAGGACGTCGTTGGACAGTGTCTCTGCGAAAGGTGCGGAGGCGTTGACGGCAGCAGAGGTCACGCCGCCTTTGCCATTGTCTCCAGAGGAGGTGGGTACCATGCAGCCATCATCTCACAAGATCGACCGTCGAAAGCCAGAGCCGTCCCCGGCCAAGTCGTCGCTCAACACCACGTGGGAAGCAGAATCCGCCGATCATTCTCGAGAGGCAATTGAGCCCAAACGGCCCGCGTCGGCAGCAAAGAAGGAGATAAGACGTATCTCGTTCCAGTCAGCGCTTGGTGGCGGCAATGCGAAGCGTCAATCTGTCGACTTGCCAGCAGTGGGCCAGCTGGGCTCAAGGCCGATCGACGCTCTAAGTCGACAATCCTTGGATGCACGACCGGGCCAGCCGGAGCCTCCCTCGGTCCAACAATATCCGCCAAAGCACCGCCGTCCAAGTCTGGCGGCTCGACCCGCCGGATCCGCTCCCTTCTCCCCTCCTGACCCACGCCGTGCAAGCACGTCCGTCGACACGCTCCACCTACACAATCAGTACGCGCTTCAACAACGTGCACCGCCACGCACCGCGCCGAGCCGTTCGTACAGCTCGACGGAATCGGATGCCCCGGTAGTGCAGAAGCTAGCGTTGCGACCGGAGGCCATGCCAGGACTGCTGGTGTACGTGCAAGCGACGAAGCAGCATTTGCAAGCGGCTATTGACGAGATCAATCCGACGGTTGCGAAGCCCTCGCCTGTGCGTGAGAGGGCCATCTAGGTTCCGGAAAAGGTTAGACACGCAACGATCATTCTTTCTTGTTTCCCCGACGGAAGGATGCGAGTCGAATACAGTCGTTCTTATCGCAAGCGTTCGGATTGTCGTGTGGGGACGTGCACTGGGACAAGTGAGCGCACGGCTCGTTGCGAGACTTGATTCTCGGGCAGGCACGCGTTCCATCGAAAACGAAGCAGTGGGACAACATTCCGCGCCTTGTAGAACGTCTTTTCTCGACCGAAGGAGTGGTATGAGGATTTAGGGTCAAACAGTGGAACAGGGGATGCTGGGACGAATGCGGTATGGGACAAATTGAGATCGGCCGGGTCTTGGTGCCACAAACACGGTTCTTCTTAATCCAGAAGAAAACGAGAGAGAGATCTCTTTGCTTGTGTGGATGTGCAAAGTGAGACAACGACATTCCACTTGGCTTGAGACGCTAATCTCGTTCTGGGATAGCGTACTTGGTCCGGAAGAGGTCTGAAGAAGCGTTAAATCCAAAAGAAGGGTCTTTGGAGGGGAAACAGCACGCGACCGAAACCTGGGAGCGTGGCGCGTCGCGTAAATTAACCTTTCGAAACCTTGTTCTATTTTTACGGACGAAAGGAGGATCTGCTTCCTTTCACTAAGAAGTCAGACAATCCTCGCTTCCCAGATAAGACCGGGTTTCCTCTGACACCTCGGTTGGGAAGTAGTATGAAGATAGACTCGGAGAGGTTGGACAGCCTTGCTGCAGCTACGGATTGGTCCTCAAGCTGTGACTGCAATTAAGCGAGAGCACGAAGACCGAATTCAATTAGATACAACTCCTGACAGCGAGCGAGGTCTGGGAAAAGAGAGAATTCAGGGAAATAATTTCTCTTATTTATTTGTTGGTGGGCAAGAGGAAGTAAAAGTGACGATCGAGACTTGCAGGAGTCGAGAAGGGGGAGAGACCCTTAGACCCCGTCCTTGAGGCTCGCTTGTGAGCAAACAGGCATGTCAAAGCGTCGACGTGCATGACACAACCATGATAGTCTCGTCGGTCTGGGAAAGATTGCCTAGTTGACCGACCGAGGAAAGAATGCGAAATGAGTAGGTTATCGCTTCGATATGCAATGCAATGCACTGCTGTGCAGATGCAAACATTTGTCGCTCACTGTACAGTCGATCAGTGGGAGGCACGTTACGATCAGGCTTCCTGTTTCGGTCTCCGAGGGTAGATGCCGAAGGCGTGGGCGTGCTCGATTGGCGGACTTCAGTGCAGTTCTGCGTGATCAAAGTTCGCCGACTTGGCTAGAATTCGTGTCATGATGAGCCATTGTTTGCACGGCCAATATATCGCATCGATGGTCGCCGACACAATCGATTGCCTTTCATGAGAGCGGGATGAGGTTCTTCCGAGCGGACTCTGACTTTGCCAAATAGACACGCTCACCGATCGTTACCATCAGCCCGGCCATGACGTCTTGGCACTCAATTGAAAGGAACAGTAACACGTCGGAGGAGCATTCCTGACCAAGATTCGAATGTGGGAACGCTCGGAGCTGACAAAGCTGCCTGGGAGCGTGGAGAGCTGACACTGTATCGCGGATTGAAGGAGGATCGAATCTTCGGGGTCGGAAGGACACCTGCAAGGCAGCCAGCTCGGCTGCTGATCGGGGCGTGGGATCGTTTCTCGCCTACGCACGCTGTTCTTGACGGCTCCTGTACCCTTAGTGGCCAGCAGACTAAAGGAGGGAAAGCTCAGGAGGCGGGAGACCTCAGAACCCGTTCATGCCCTCATTTTCAAGGGTCCGACGGACAAACATTCGAGCTCCAGTGCATCGAGAACATCAGCGGCACATTGATACTCGAAATAGGGCGAGATGGATAGACGAGTGAAAAGGTCCAAAGCGACTGCACGATCCTGTCTTCCACGTGCGGAAGGTGTGCATCTGCTTGAAGTCTCGAGATGCGTTTCTGTCGATCGAACAGCGCATCGTCTGCAGCGGACGGAATTTCGCTTCGTCCCGACCGCAACGAGCTTGGTTGCCAAGCCGAGCCGTAAAAGTGTAAGCAAATTATTAAAAGACAACTTGCGGGATCGTTGCTGAGATCGTTGCTCTGTATCGCGGCTTGCGCACCTCCGACACTCATCGAGAGGAGAAAGAGACAGATGGGCAACCCGGCCATAATTGCCTCAAGCTCGCAAGATTGGGAATCTCAGAACGCCTTACATTGGCGGGAAAGCAAAGGCGACGCGGTCATGGACGATACGCGCCACCCGCTGGCTAAGCGAGGCAGCGGCTAGCTTCACCTCCTTGCGTCTGTAGGCACCCGTGGTTACGGTTCACTGAGATGCGGTTCTCGTCGAGTGACTGGACTGTAGCGCTACGTGCAGCGCTAGGACTCTCTGGGACGAGTGCGTTCCACACCTGACGACACGATGCAGTATTGGAGTCCAGTGACAGCTAGCGTGGTGCGGAATTGTACCTATCAACAGAGGCGGGGCTTCTCGCTTATGTGCCAGCGGCTGGAAGGCTCGCGATCTGTCACGGAATGTCGCCTGCTGCTGTGGGACCGACAGCTACAGCCAATCTCGCATGCATCGACCAGACGATTCGGTAAGGCATCCGAAAACGTGCTCGAGTGGTACCGCACAGCTCTCCATTCGAGGCACCCGAAAGCGGTCAGATGCGAAGAGAGGATCCTCTTGCAACCAGATTCCTGTGCCACAGACTCATTTGAACTCAGCAGCTCGGTCCTTGAGATGTGCCGATTTGGTGCAGTGAGGCAGACGGTCGTCCCGTCTTTCGGACAGGCCCGTTGGCGTCACACAGGGCGAGATCACAAGAGATTGATGAGTCGGCAATATTCCTGTCTGCTCTCACGAATGCAGCTAGCGAGACGACTGGAGTCAGAGACGAACCCACTCAGATGTCGGATCTACGGTGTAGTGTTCAGTGTGACTCTGCTGCTTTGCTCGGTCGGCTCGGCATTCACAAGTGACCGTCCATGGCTTACAAGAAACGTGAAATGCAAGTGACGCCTAGAAGGAGGCGTTTGTGACGTATTAATGCCGCGACCCTCGGAATGGCTGCCTAGCTACACGGCAGTACAGAAGATCAGGGGGTGGCTTGCTACGTTGACAGGCGATGATACAGATGCGGGGCTCTCATTAGATTGCCAATCACACACTGCTGTAACTACCGAGCTCGTTGTGTGCACTCCGCTGCGCCGAGGGTTGGGAGAAAGGAGGCGGGGACCTCACCGCAATCTCGTACCTCATCGAAACAGCGGCCGGCGAGGGAGATACGGGGGGCCTGTCAGGCATCTAATGGCCATGCTCGCTTAGCTTCAAGCCGGTCTCAGATTCGTGCTCGTCCCAAACTCATCGGCAGTCCAAGCTGAGGTTACGGGCCAGCCTGTTCTTGATTCTTCGTGAGACACCTTCGTTTCCACTCTTACAGAACGCGTTCTGATTCAGCAACGGGTAGTCTTTCCTCGCAAGGCTAGGGTCAGGTTCATCATGCCGTGTCCTCGTCCCCTTTGCTCTGCTCACGGAACATTTTCCCTCCGATGGAATCCTCTGCCGTGCGCCCGATCAGCCCCTACAATTACCGAGGCTGGGTGTGAGTCGAAGGGCATGGGAATGTGCGGGCGCGCGCGCGATGAAAGATGGAAGCGAGGCAAGGCAGCAAATGAAACTGCGACCGACGCTTGAGCACGACCGTTGACATCTCAGCTACGAGGGAGCTGGCGCGCCACGCGTGCGCGTTTGCACCCTCGAATTTCGATTCGCCAGTTCTGAATCCAGTGTCGGTCTCTGGCCGACGCCGAACATGTCTCTTTGCTTTTTCTATTTTTTACAACACTACTTATTCATCTTTCAATTTCGAAAATGGAAAAATGGGACTTTAGCTGGAACGAGGAGAGAGGATTGCAGGGCGCAGATGATGAAGCGAGACTGCGCAGGGTGATCTCAGAATGCTTTCCCCGGACAGAATCCTACATGAACAGGCACAGAGCGAGAAAGAAATCCGAACGCGATTCCAGCACTTTGCCTTCAGCGTCGCGGATGCCCTCGCTAACTGGGACCTGCCAGGTTCACACGCCTTTGACGGCGCTTCCGCCAATTTCAGACGGCGATACTCTCAGACTTCGGTGCTTCCATCGCCCCTGCTATGTGACTACTTGTCGTTCCTGTCGCAGCCGACCGAAAACCCTGCGTCGTGTCGAGACGTGCTGCTGCTGCTTCTGACTCTGTGCGCAATCCCTTTCGCCGACGCTGCTCGCAGGGGACGGCTGCCCTCGTTGTTCTTGCGCTGGAAGTGTAACTTGACAGCCGACTCGCTCGCGCCAACCTCGTCGACGTCCGTCAAAGTACATATTGGCTACGCCCTTCCGTCCATCGTCCTCTTCGTCATCCCTCCGTCTCCGTTGCGACATCTTCTCCATCTGACCTTCCGTTCGGCGTTGGTGTCTGCCCACCACGCGCAACGCGGTCGTCGCATCCTATCTTCATCCCTGCATCTTCCTTCGCGGTTCATTCCTTCATCTGCATCAGCCCACCATCACGCCCTCGGCTCCTCGTCGGCGCTTTGTCTAATAACGCAAGCACGCGCTCTTCGGTTGCCTTCACTGTCAAACCTTCGAATCGCATTGCAAGGCATACAACTGCATCGCATATCGCAGCATAGCATAGCCTCCTTCCTCGTTCCCTAGCATTGTCCAGTCCCAGAGGCTCCTTTGCGTCCCATCAGCTTGCTACCATCTTCGCTTCGCTTCACCGTGTCACGTCACCTCTATCTCTTGTCTTTCTCCACTTCTCCGCACCACGCATTCCAATAGCCCTTTCATGATCACATCCCCATAGTCCTCACGCAGCTCCCGCATCGCAGTCTTCATCTCACAGCATCCATCTCATGCGCCCATTGTCCCCGTCGTAGTCCGCTGTTTCACATACTCGACGCATCCTGCCCCGCAGACGTCTCGCGCACCTACGGCTGCAAGCTGTTCACCATCACGTCCGGTAGTTCCCGAGCCTGCAGCGCGCATTCTTTCCTCATGTCTAGACCAAGCCTGGGCCTCCGCTCCATCTCGGAGCAAGCTCCGCTCTACGACCCTTCCTCCGCTCCTCACTCGGGCTCGCGTTTGCGCGGCTCGCAAGCGACCAGCGGTGCTCACACATCTACTGGCTCGCAGCTGCCCTACTCACCACTGCTTCCTCTCCCACCAGCTTCGATGTCCAAGCTGGCCCCTCGTCTTCCCGATGTACTCGACGTCGAGCAGATCGAGAACCAGGAGCCAATCTCCAAGCTCACTCAGCATGATAGACTCGCAGTCCCCGGCGCCCTCGCCGCCAGGCGACTGACACGACGGGGCGTGTCCGACGGCTTTGGCATCCCTACCCACGACGTCCAGCGCAGCCGCAGCTCCGCCATGATGACCAGCTTTCCTTCAAGCCTCGGCCCGAAGGCTGCTCTCCGACTCGACATTCCTGCGGCATCCGAGCGCTCTGCTCAGCAGCCTGCGAGCAAATCTGCCGGCATGATCCGAAGCTACTCGCTTCCCGTTGCGACACAGGAAGAGCACGACGAGCAGCAGCGCATCATGGCCCTCGGTCTCTCGCCTATTGGTCGATATGGCGGCAACACGTCTTGGTGGCAGTACGGATGGCCATCGCCAGGCGGACTCAACTATCGACACGTTCATCGAAGCCCCGCGGTGCCCGAGTTCCCTGGCCAACGTCGACGATCTTCGCAGTCGAAGCTGTCGACCGTCATGACCCCCATCCATGCCGAATCGGCTGGTGCTGCCGCGTCTCCGCAAGCGACGCCCTCTGCATCGTCGCCGGCCGTCTCAAGGCCCAGTAGTCGATCAAGCAAGACGCACTCGAGCTGCTCACCCAAAATGAAGGCCAAGCACTTGCCGGGCATCCACCAGCATGCTTTCCAAACTTCAGCTACCCGCTCGGCTTCCTCCTCGCCCAAGATGGGCCGCTCGCCACTTTCTACAATGTCGATCAACCTGCCCGCAGCTGATCAGCAGCAAGAATACGTCGACCCGCAAGAAGACGACAGTGATGACGTCTACGACGACGACGAGGCCGATGTCGCCGCGACGCCTCCTGAAGCAGCCTTTGACATCGAGATGGATGCCCTCAACCAGCGCTTTGCCGAGTGGTCGCGATCACAGGCAATGGCGACTCCGTCCGCATCCGCTCCCCGTCCCGTCGATCAGGACGACTACTTCAACTTGGTCCACGACGATCAACCGGGCAACGCTTCCCTGGGCGTCGGTGGCGGCAGCGACACCTCGGACGAAGCCCGCACTCCGCGAGCCTCGTCTCCTCGACCACTCTCCAAGGGCGCGCTCTACTGTCACGATCAGAGTCGTGCGCTGCAGCACCGTGTCGACGACGACGACAGCCAGAGCCTTGCCCGAACGGACAGGTGGTCCGGGTCGTTTGACTTTATTCATCCCGATCACCTAGCCTAAACTCCCTTATAGTAGCGCTCGTCACTCCTAAATGCCCTTGCTAATGCTCGCCTCTGCCTTTCTTTTTTCGGCTCGTAACTTCGTCGCCCCACAACCATGCTCGGCTTCATTGCTTTTTCATGCCGTCTTCACACACACCGTGCCTCCTTTCAGACTGTCATCGATGAATCGCTCTTTGAGCATTACAAAAATTGAGCCCACGACCGTCCCTCCCCCGAATCTGAGATCCGCGTTAGAGATTGGACCCGCTGAGCACGCTCTCGCTCTCCTCGAGCACGTTATCGAGCGGCATGCCCGGCTGGTACGGCTGAGCGAACCTTGTCGGGGCGTCGTCTTCCTCCTCTTCCGCCTTGCGCGATCCGAGCAAGCCGTTCCTGCTCCACGTGTACTCCCGCTGTTGGGCGGTGAGCTGTTCGACGTCGCCGGTGTCGGTGAAGGGTTGGTAGGGGATGAGGGGGCTGTCGACGCTGGGGTGGTCTTTGGGGTCGAAGTTGCTGGCTGCGTCTTCCGGGTAGATCTCGTCTGGATCGCGCGTTGAGTCTAGCGATTGGCGTTGGGCGAGCGGTGGTGTCGCGTGAACGTCGTTGAGCTCGGGTCGCTGATCGGCGGTGCCGTTCGGGGGTGGGGTAGCAGGTGCGGTGGGGAGAGATTTCTCTCCCAGCTCGACGACGGGTTTCCTCTTGATAACGGGGATCCCGCTAGCCTGCCCTGCTCCCGTTCTTCCACCAAATCGACTAGCAACATCAGCAACCCTTCCCGCAACCGGGTCTTTCGCAAAAACATCCCTGTACCCATTTGCCTTCCCACCTTCGCCCCTCTCACTCGCACCCTCCGACGTTGATCTTTCCACCTTCCTCAAACTCACCTCGCCCACCTCTTCCGCCCCTCCCTGCGCGCCAACCCCTTTGCTCGCGCGAACAGCCTCGATCGGACTCAGCCCCGCACGCAGCGACTCGACCAGCTTCTTCGTGTCGATCTGAGCCGCCGGTCGTGCAGATGCCTCCTTGCGCGACTTGAGAGCTGCACGCGCCGCGGCGACCGGATCGATGGCCGGTGCTGGTTGAGGCAGCACTGCTGGTCGAGGTGGTGATGGCGAGGTTCGAAGGTGGGAGACATCGCGTAGCGATGCGTCTCGCATGGGGATGTCGGCCGAGTTGTCCGCCATGCGGAGCGTCGTGTCGGGAGGATGCTCGACGGGTGAAGAAGGTCTAGAATCGGCCCTGCTCGATGCGTCAGCGTCGTGGTTCGCAGCAGTGGTCGCTATGTGCGTAGGCGTGGACGACCGCAGATCGCCACCTTCTCCGCCGTTGAACGATCCAGATCCGACCGACAACCTCGTGGTTCCTGCGTTACTCGGCTCGACAACGGACAATTGACTGATCTCATCCGACCTCAGTCCCAATGAGGTCTTCCTTGCCCCGGCAATTGGTGCATCCTGGCCGCTCATCCTACTTCCATTCGCTCTGACTAGAATGTCGATCCAGGCGTCATCCTTCTCCGTCGGCCTTTTCCCATCACCCCTCAACTCGCCTCGATTCATCTTCCCATTTGTTTCATCCTCCTCTCCCTGCTCCTCTCCAACACTCCTCGTCTCGAAGTCAGCACTCGTAAAGCTTCGATCTACATCCACGTCCCCTCGCTGCTGCATCTTGGTCGCACCAAGTTCATCCGTCTGCTTGAGCGCAGGACTCGAAGCACCTCTTCTCGCCGTTTTAACCGCTCGAATACTCTTGGCTCGCAGAGAAGACATAAGCTTGCTGGTACCCGTCTGATGACCTTCGCTTCTGAATTGCGTGTGACCGACCTGGTCGTTGCCGAACGTCGTATCGTTCGTCCTGTCTTGCTGGCCGACGGCCAAGGCGCTCGCCGGACGCTCTCGATCGACACTGGTCCTGTTGCTCTTGAGCGTGGTTTGAGATGCGTTCTTCGACCCGCTCCTCTTCAGTTGATCGCTCAACATGATCCTCTTTGTCGATCCACCCGGTCCAGGCCTGAATACATCCTCTACATTTCCACCCGACACATCCTCAGTCCCCACCTTGTCCTTGTCCTTCTTTCTGAACGCGATCAGTTTCCTAATCACCGCCCTACCCTTCCCCTTACCTTTGCCGACACTCTCCAAGTCCGCCCTATACTGTGCAGGCACCACCTCCTGGATGACAAACCAAGCCGCATCCACCCTTTCATCCTTGGCCCCGCTTTCCTCTCGTACCTGGAATTTCGTCGGAAGACTCGACCCGGTGCTCGAGGATCCAACGCTGCTCCTGTTCGGTCGAGATTTGTACTGGACCACCACAAAATTGGCATTCCTGTGCGTCAGCTCGTCACGATTGCTCCATCCGTTGCCCAAGAGGTAGTCCGCCCAAACCTCGGCAAAGGTTTCGTCCATTCGACTGATCGGATGACCATCATCGACGCCTCCATCTGCTCGCGCCATCGTCGGGCTCGCAACCACATATGGAGTGGTATCGTACTCGAAGCGCGGCAACTTGTCCTGTCTCGACTTCAGCTTCGCATTCAGCTGATCTCTTTCGTTCGGCCAGTTTCTCACATCTTGCGCCAAGGCATCGTCGAAGCCGAGAACGTCGGCCAGCGTCCCGTCCTCCTCTCCTTGGAAACCGGCTTTGGAGAAATCGTTCCAGTGGATCGTCTCCCTCTTGACGGTCCGATTACGTCGCGCGGACTCGTTGAGATCAAAGGCTAATTTGGACGACTGCGTAGCAGCGAACCCATCCTCCATGAAGTCACCCCATTGCTTGCTCACCAGCGAAGAATGCGCAGCCAATGCATCGTCTCCTTCCAATTTGTTCAAACCACCTCTCCTCCCCTGAACCCCCCCGCCCCTCAAATTCACCAGTTTCCTGAACTTATCCGACAATTGCGGATCCTTTCCTACCCCTTCTTCGCCGCCCATACAGTCCCTCCACTCTCCACACTCCTCCGCTACATCAATCTCGCACGCAGTCTGAATCAGATCCACACTGTACAGCCTGACGCACCTCTCGATCTGCGTCACTGGGACCATCTTGCCGCCCCTTACCTCGGTCATCTCCAACATGCTCGGATACCCAGCCACGTGCTGCCCCAACCTCGGAGGCAATGTCGTCGTCGTACCCTGGAAGCGGATGTATGCCAAAAGTAAGTGCTCGGTGGCATTGCTTGCTCGAACGTAGGCATCGTACGTCCTTGCAAAAGTCTCGTCTTCCGGAAGGCCAAAGAGCAAGGGTCCGAAAAGCTTGCAAAGTTTTCCCGGCATCATACCATTCTTGAGCGAGTAGCTCGCGGTGGACGAGAGCAGTGAGAACAACGAGCATAGCAACCGGACGTTTTCCGGACCCAAGTGAGATAGAAAGCTGCTAAAGGCGGTCGCGGGGAAACGCTGGTCACGCTCCTGCTCTCGCCATGCGTTGTAAGCTTCAAAGTCGAGAAAGCCGCGTTGTTGGACGTAGACCATTTCCTCGCGTGGTTCGCCCTTCTTGGCTCCTGGTACGGGAACGGGGACAGCCAGCACGCGACCCAAGCGCGCCAAAGCCCATTTGATGACCGCCGCCAGATCGTGGGGATTGGCATATCGAACCTCTTCCAAGAACGCTGGCGGCGGCGCTCGTTGTCCGGCAGTCGAGGGCGAGAAGAGCTTGATCAGCGAGGCGACGTTGACCGGGGAGAGATCGAGTGCCATGGAGGAGAAGATTAGCGGATTGTCGAGACCACGACTTCGAATCTGCTCGGCGCATGTCTCTAGCAGAGCATGGACGCGTGCTGCGGTCAGGTGGTCGTGCCAAGCTTCGGTGGTGTAGCCGTAAACGTAAGGTAGCTTGGTTGCTGCTGCACCCGAGCCGGTGGAAGAGGATGTGTCGAACGAGTTTGCAGAGTTGGGACGACCAAGGTGAGATGTGGAAGGTACGGTGAGGAGCGAGCCTCCCGACGCGAGGCGACGATTGCCCGGGAGTGTGGAAGCATTGGGGGATAAAGGATGCGATCCGATCGTCGAGTACGACGACGCAGCAGCCGTCGAGAATTTGCTGCCGTTTTGCGAATACATCTGGCCAAACTCTTTCATGTTAGCCGTCGTAGGAGGAGCAGGTGACGATGAAGCAGGGATAGATCGATCGCCGTTGGATGCATTTCGCTGTCGAGCCGGGGAAACAAAACCTTCATTGGTGTCTTTTGGTGGAGGAGGAGGAAGATCATCCTTGGTGGGTACGTTGGGTAGTGAATGCGCATCCGCTGTGCTGGGAGTAGGTGAGGAAAGTCCTAAACGATCAATGTCTGCCGAGCTGACTGCACCGAAATACTCTTTGGAAGAGACGAGACGGCCTAGATCTTTCGCTTTGGACCTTCGAGAGAAGAGGCCAGGCATCGTGAGCAGATGCCGTGGCGATGCTCTCGCTGAGCTGCCGTGGTGGATCTAATAGTAAGAGATGGTGTTGCGCAGCGGTGTATAGCGTTTGCACAGGTCCCTTTGTGCCTGCTGCGCGCCTGGTCAGACTGTTGGCTGCAGCGAGTGGAATTGAGGACGGTCGTCGAGGCTCGCGTGCGGGATTGATTCGCTGTGAGTTGGTCCAAAGCAATTGAGAGAGACGGCGCAGACGCTTGATGGCCTAGGTCGAGCTTGACGTGGTATGGTACGAACGAAGCGCAAAGGAGCGATATTCTGGGTATCGATAGAGAGTGTGACCGCTGTTGTTGGCCAGGCGAGGTCAGTAAGTGAGTGAACTTGAGGAAACTTCCGCCTGTGGTGTTGAACGAAGCAGATGCTGTATTGGGGTATGTGGTATATCGACGTTTGAGTGTGGGTATCAGTTCAGATGCAAGCAAGGCAGAATGGATAGCGGCAAGGAGGTTGGGTGGGCAGCAGGCTCGCGTTTTATTTTAGCGGACCTCTATTGTCGGATACGCCGCGGTACAGGTCTCAGGCGCAATTTCGCAGTGTGCTGCCATCCGTTGCACGGGACAAAGGTGTTGGTCTCTTTCTCACGCACACGCCGGTGCTGCAGCACGCATGACACGCATGGCACTCACTCACCTCACACACGCACAATAAATCTGTACCCGAAATACACAACCGAGCCTCGCTCGCAGTACTCTGAGGCACACTCAGAGTTGTGATTTGGACCGCTTCAGCCGCCGTCTGCAAAAGAGTCGGCTGTCACTTCGGATCACATCGGTTGAGCTCGACACTCTCTTCACACAGTGTACGACTAGCAGTTCAGACGATGCGCACCGTACCGTCAAAAGACACGTCTTCGACATATGGGCCAATACGACTCAAGCTCATCGTCGCCTACATTGTCCACACATTCTATACCGAACATTTGAATCCTCTTCCATTCTACAGCATTCGACATCGTGTCTTAGTGATGACAATCGAGCAAAGAAGCCTATCTATAACTCAAATCGGCGCGTCAACACGCTCTCGTACTAAGCATGTGGTTTGGATGAATGTTCTATGGCTAAAATACGAGCAACTTGAGACGCTCGATGCAGCAGACAAGCAGGGAGCTGACTCGACGTCGCTCCATTGCTGGTCTGCTCGGCTATTTACATTGAATGTGGAATGGTGCTATTAGATGCCGTCAGTGAATTAAAGCATGAGAGGTGTCGACGACCGTTTACTGCGCCTTGGCCTTCTCTCCCTCAGCAGCCAGCTTCTTCTTCTCGGCCTGACGAGCGCGTGCGCGCTTGTACGACAAGTCGGTGCCCAGCAAGCTGTCCCACCAGCGGAACGAGGTCGAGTAGCAGCCTACAAACGCCTGGTGGTGGTAGTCGTGGTGGTCGGCGCCCGCCCAGAAGGGCACCCAATTGTGCATCGAGATGGGGAAGTCGTAGCCCGAGTGAGCGTCAATGGCCTGGAACAGACGCAGTACGATCCAAATGTAGACGGTCAAGATGTGCAGATCCTTGGTGAAAGCGCACAGAGCGAAGGGACCGCCGATCGTGCCCATACCGAGGATCAAGACTTCGAGAGGGTGAGCGTACTCTGCGGCGAGACCAAAGGGAGCCGAGTACTCGTGGTGCTTCTTGTGGATGTGCTTGTACAGAGGACCCCAGTGGAGCGCGCGGTGGGCCCAGTAGTGGAATGCGTCCTCAAACAGGAAGAACAGACCGATCTGCCATGCGATCTTGGTCCAGTGTGGGAAGGGAACCTCGTGGGTGGCGAGGCCAAAGTATTCGCAGATAGGGTGGAACGACCAGATCTGTGGCAACTCGACGGTGAAGTGCGAGAGCAGCACGTACTTGGTGCACTTCCACTGCTGTTCGGGCGTAGGGATCTTCTCGTCCTGCAGCTTGTACTTGCGCATGCTAGGCATCGAGTCGATGATGATCCAGGGGATGGCACGACCAAAGTAGACCAGCTCGTGCAGCACGAACGACATGATACCTGTCGCGAGCACGGGGTTGCCCCAGTAGAGGTACCAGTTGGCCCATGCCCTCTCGAACACATTGAGAGAGGCAATGTCGGTGTTCTTGTACAGCTCGGAGGCCAGGTGTGTGGTGGTCGGGTTCAAGAGCGAACCGACCGTCGCGTTGAACTGCTGCGAAACAAAGTCCATCGTGAATCAGGCACCGCTACCAAACCTCTTGCGCGATGTAGTGGATGCTTATACGGAGGTGGGATGGACGCACAAGGCGCGGATGTGGTCCGAAGGGGAGGAGGGGATGATCGTTGGTGGTCGGGAGGTAAGCGTCACAGGAAGAGCCTAAAGAAGCTTGTGCGCTGACGGACCTGGCAATCCAAACCCTAGCAAGAGTCTTAGGAAGATCAGGCCACAAGGCGTTCACGCTCCTTCACGCAAGGAAAACACGCACACGCAGTTCAAATTTCATCAAGCCGCGGTCTGCTGCGCTGACTGCGATTAACCTTATGCTTAACGAAAGTAATTTCGAGAACGTGTTACTTTGGTCGGTGCTGCGCCTTTGTGCCCGTCTGCTGCCTTGTCGATCCATCTCGCTCTTCCAATTCTTCAAAATTTGTTTTTATGTTCCATTTTAAATATAATAAATCTGCGTGAATTTTGGAGCAGGTGAGTGGCCGACTGCTTAGCTGAGCTCGCTGCGAGATGATTTGCCGCCACCAAACGCGTTCGCTCACTGCACGTCGGTCGTGAAAAAAATCGGGTGATGTTGTGTTTTCAGATGTGCTGTTCCTGCAAGGGTGTGGCTTTTTTTGCCACACGCTGCACCCTCGCTACGACCCTCATTCGTCAAAATCTTGAACCTCGATTTCCTCCATTTGGCCAGGCTGTGTGTCGCCCTCGGCCACCGCAGGGTCCATTTTCGGTCTAACATTTTCATTTTTACTCGACGGCCTTCAATGTCCTCAATAGGCGCGCAAGGGCTGTGAATTGCTCCTTCCTCTCTGCGACGGCTCAGTAGGCTGATCTTCATGTAACTGTCGAAAGAGGGACTAAATCATGGGTTTGATAGCCGTGATAATGTTACAAAAGATGGAAGGCAGAGATGCCACCATCAGGCGCTTTGAATGACATAGTTGACAATCGAGCCCAAGCTGTTGACGTCCATACGCGCTTCGTCGAGAAGCCCAGAGAGCTCCGGTTGATCCTTGAGCCAAGCCAGCTCCGCTGCGAATGGAACTGGCGGGAGTGCAGTTGCACCAGCAGGAGCATTGGACGTTGCGGACGCGACCGACGCCTTTGCAGGACGAGCTGCATGCATATCAGCGCCATGAGCTTCCGGCGCTTGTGGCCAGATCCTGTCCTTCAACAGACGTGCCTCAATCTCCTCGATATCAAGCCCTTCGTAGCCAAGTGCCTTGATCTGAACGGCGACAAGATGCAGGATGTCGAGCGTGTGGCCGGTGATGGGCAGGACGATCTCTTCCTCCACCACCTGCGCCAGTGGCTTTGATAGGGGAGCCAACGGTGCTTCCACTTTCTCGAGTTCCTGGAGCAGTTCGGAGATGGCCGGGTCGACAGCACCGTCTTCGGCTTCGGGCGCAGGGGTCGCGTTCGCGATTGTATGTGCGCCGGAGGCTATGTCATGCTCAGCGGCACCAGATGGCGTAGCTGTCCCTGCCGCTTCCTCGGTCGTGTCACGCCACATGAAAGGTCCGCGACGAGAAGCAGCGGTCGGTTCTGGCGTCGCTTCCGTCTCTTTCGCCTTGCGCAGCGCTGCCGCCAGTCTCAGGCTCTTCTCTGCTTCTGCGATCTGCTGATCCTGCTCGTCGTCGACTTCGTCCAGCAGCATGGCATGGTGAATCGCACCACCCACAAACTCGCCGACGCTGCGAATGTAGGCGTTTCCGGCGACTCCTGCGTATACCACATCTGACAAGCTCTGACTCGCGGCTTGCCGCTCTGCTAGTGATATCTCGCCATTGCCAGCCTTTGCGAGAGCGACAGATCGCCTGAGGATCTCCCTCGCATGCGTCTGACCGTGTTGCTCCTGTCTAAGTTCGGCCTTGATAGCTTCAATGCCTTGCTCTCCTAGCAAAGCCGTGGAGAAGGCGTCCGATGACGGGATTGCTGCTTGACGTTTGCTGTCGTCATTTGCAGCCTTCCCTTTGGCCATGGTCTTGGCCGGTGCGGACGATCCTCCGCCCTCAACGCGCGGCACTAGAGCACCCAACGGCCCGAGGTCGGTGATATCGAGAAGACGTGTCAAAGTGGGTCGGAAGTAGCTCCAGTCCTCGAGAGTCTCGCGTTCTTTCTCGCGCTCCTTGTCCTTTTGCTTCTTCGGCCTCTTGTCGTTCTTGAGAGCTTCGGTGTAGGCAGGATTGTCCCATGAGTGAAGCAAGCTATACGCGTCTCGATCCTGCAGCGACTTGCTAGGCAAGCTAGGAGCGTAGAACGGCAGATTGCGGAAGTGAGGGGGGAGCGCCTCAACGTCGTGGCTGAAATTGCTACGCTGTGGCTCGGCTTCGGGTGCGATGGCTGTATAAAGTGGGTCGGGCGCACCAGGACGCGCAGGCGGTAACGTCGAAAGCGGATCCTTGTCGCCCTTTTCTCTGGTATCACCTTTGCCATCTTCATCGTCGTCTTCGCCGTCATCTGCTGCGGCCTTGTCCTTCGCCTTCTCCTTTTCCTTTGAGCGCTCCTGCTCTCTATCCTGGTCTTTGCTCTGATCGTCTGCACTGCTGCTAGTGACGTAGTCGCCCGGGACGAAAGGAATGGGATGAAGCGACTCGATGATCGGCATCAACACGTTTCGACCGCTGCGATGCAGCGTCAGGAAAGCCTGCAGGTCGTCAATGTCGTCGGGATTGATCGAGCCATCGTCGTCGAAGGAATAGTGGGCATTTGCTGGTTGGAGCTGGGTCTGCGACAGTTCGGCGATGAGCTGAGCGGCGGCAGCAGCAGAGCCAGCTGGGTCGAGGGGGGCACCAATGGCATCGGTTGATATGCCTGCGGATTGGGTTCCAGCAAGCGGCGTCGCTGAGCCTGCCAAACCTGTGCGTGCGAGCAGACGTTTCGGAGTTCCAAGAGCACCGAGACGTTGCTTGTGTTTGACATGTTTGGAAGCCCTGCTTGTCCCACCTGTTGCAGTCACGGTTGCTCCCATCGGACTTGCCAGCGCCTGTAGAGGCGTGCCCGTCACTGCTGCTAGTCGTCTCCTCAACGCACTGGGACTGGCCTGTCGCTGTCCCATGGGTGTTGATGGAGTTCCGCCGGGCTGAGACGAGCCGAAACGTCGACCACTGATGCCGGCAACCCCGTCTACCGTGACAGAGCGCTCTCGATTCATGCCAGCGCGCATGCCACCATCCTCATCCGAGGCGTCGTCGTCATCATCATCGTCGAGATCCATGTCACCCTCAACCTTGACGCCAGCGCCGGGCTGCACCGAGTCTTCGCGTGTCAGCGTCCCACCCGTCAAGCCAAGCGCAATCGCAGCTCGTTGCCGTGCTTGGGACGTGCTTCTCGCAGCCTCCATGATTGCCTCAATACCTGCGCTAAAGGCAAAGCGCGATCCCCGAGCAGCCGAACGTGTCGTCATATCCTCGGCGTCTTCTTGGTTGGTGAGTTGTTGCATATTTGCATCGTCTACTGACTGCTGCTGGAAAGCTGTGGATGCACGAAGCTGCCTTCGACCGGGACCATCGCTCGTGGAAGACGGCCCGTCCAGGACGCCAGCAGAGGTGGTAGCCGCTGCCTCTCTCGCCAGCCTCTTCTGCCGCCGGAGCTCGTCGCCCTTGACACCCGCACGACCGTTGTCGTTGACAGCCATACCTTCTCGCTCTATCGCGCGGTTACCCCAAGCGCCAATACGCTTGGCTTCGTTGTAGTAGAGCGTGCCCTCCGGATTGAACGTCATCGCATTTGAGATGACCAGCTGGAAGTCAGCCTTGACCTGGTCAATGTGGCTGTAGAGACGCTGGTCGACCTTGCTCTGCATGGTGCCGAAGTCCATGGGCGTCTTGATGACGTCGGCATAGCCGGGTACCTCGTCTGGGTTGACGGGCTCGCAGAAGAACTTGTAGCTGTCGCGACGTTGAAGGTTCTCGATGAGCTTGGGCAGCGCTTCGTACAGGCCTTTGGATCGCAGTCGCTTGATGGGTCGGCGAGAAATCTGGCCGTTGCCTGACGAAGTAGTCTTGAAGGCGCCGTTACTTCCACGACTGCGCGGGTTCAATGCTGCATCACCGTTGGCAGCAGAGCTGCTCCCTCCCCCGTGGTCTCCGCTTTGCATTTCTCCAACATCTTCTTCGTCTTCCTCCATTTCTTCTCCATCGTGGTCGTCGCCACCGTTCTCGTGCTGTTCATCGTCTTCTTCATCGTCTTCTCCTTCTCCGTCGTCGTCGTCATCGCCGTCATCGTCGTTGTCTTCTTGCTCAGACGCATCGACGGTGCCTATCTGGTGATCGTCATCTTCGTCGTCCTCGTTCTGCTCCTCGTCTTCCTGATCCTCGGCGAAGTGAGGAGCAAAGCGAGGAGGAGTTGCTTGCGATTCGGCGATGGACGGCTTCCTCTTGAGCGATATGCGAATGCCGAGCGGGTTGCCCTGTCGATTGCGATTGAGCGAAGGGGACTGCTGCTCCGGCTGTTGCAAGTCGGATGATGACGGACGTGGTCGACCTAGCTTGATCTGGAGCGTGCGTCGCTTCGCTGGAGGTTCGTCGGGATGCGAACCGACATCTCTGGCATGCTGCGCCATGCCTTCCGACCGCTTGGAGCCTGATGAGCGCACCCTTCTGAGCAATCGCTTTGCCTGACGCTTTGCAGAGAGTCGGCGTCGGCGTCGATTCTTTTCCGTTGCTGGATCCTCTTTACAACGCAAGGGCCACACCAGCTGCGGTTCTTCCGGTGTAGTGGATACCGCTCTTGCTTGGGCTTGCTTGAGGTCTCAAGTCACCTGGTCGACTAGTTTGCGCTGCTCGTGTGCGTTGGGACGAATAATATCGAAAATCGGAAAGAGATGAAGTGTGCCGTCTGCCAAATTTGGGCTGAGTCGCCAAGGCATTTTTTGGTGTGCTTTCTCGTACGAAAGGAGTTCCTACGACCCTATTCGCCATGGTTCTTCTGTGCTTATACTTGAGCTTTGCACAATCGATGACACGCAAAGTGGTACTGAGAACTCAACAAAAGGGACACAACTGACTTGTGAGATGGGTATTTTGATGTGCAATTAAGTGAAAGATAGAGAACGACAGCAAGGCAGAGAGACTATGCTCTCACACCTCTTTGTAGATCTTGATCGTCTTGTCCGCACCACCAGTGATGAGGCGCGTCCCTGTCTGATCAAACGTCGAGCAGAACACGCCTGCCTCTGCATCCAGTGAGCCTGGCTGCGGGACATCCTCCGCAACCTGGAACGGCACTCCCGTGGCGTAATCAAAGAACTTGAGACTTCCATCATCTCCTCCACTGAACAGCACACCGTCTGCGTTGACGCTGAGCGTATTGACGATTGTGTCGTGGGCCATATTGTTGACGAGAGTTCCTTCGGGACATCTCCATGTTTTGATGTTGTTTCCACCTGCGCTGCCCGAGGCGAAGGTGTATTGCGTGGGATGGATAGCGAGTGCGCGGACACTCTTCTTGTGGTGGGTGAGCGTGGTGATCGACTTGCCTGCTGCGAGATCCCAGAGCTTGACGGTGGCATCCATAGAGCCAGAGATGATCTGCGGCTCCGAATCTTGACAGGCAACCGAGGCGACAGTACCGCGATGTCCGGTCAGCGTGTGGATAGCAGCTCTGGTGCGCATATCCCAGACCCGGACTGACGAGTCCCTGCCTCCCGTCACGACTACGTCTAGCGTCGGGTGGAGCGCCAACGAGTAGATACCGGAGAGGTGTCCGCGGTACTGTCGGATTACGCGATTCGTCTCCAAATCCCAGCACTTGATCACCCTGTCTTCGCCCGCCGAGAAGAGGTACGGATGCCTAGCGGATACAGCGATGCCTCGAACGGTCGAGATGTGTCCAGTAAGCGACAGTTTGAGCTCGCCCGATGCGAGATCCCAGATCTTGATCATGCGATCACCAGCACCCGTGGCAAACCACTTGTTGTCCGGCTCTACAGCGACGCAGCGCACCCACCCGAGGTGGCCAGAGATGACACGCGAGAGCTTCCAGTTGGGGTGATAGGCGGGTTTGGCTTTGCGATTCGCCATCTCTTTCTTCTGTATGAGCGCTTGCGACAGTAGGCCCGACGAACCGCCTCTGTGAAGTGCGAGCGCCGACGACATTGGAGAGGAAGATGATGTTGCTGCTGCGCCGGTCGAATGGCCATTGCTTCGTATGGTAAGAGCTTGGCTGGACGAAGAAGGAGCGCTGGGCCCGACCGATGTTGTCAAAGACGAGGCACCTCCATCCATTTGATCTATGAGTCTCGAAAGGTGCGTTTCGTCTCCTCTCCGTTTGCTTGCTCTGACCGCCGCTGCTGATGAGGCATTTGTCGCTCCGGGACGCATTGGGCCAGCGGCAGCTTGTTGCTGGGCAAGGATGGCGGCGGGAAGAACCTTGGCATCCGCATACTCGGAGCTGATCTTGGAAGCAAGATGGATCTTGGCTGGTTCAAGAGCGGAAATGTCGCCAAAGTTGTCGGAATCATACTCGTCATCGATGTGGAAGAGGAGCCTTGCTCGCTTGGAAGATCGAGCAAACAAATCGGAGAGTGGAGGCAAGCCGACTTGCTGAGCGCCGACAGACGGCTGTGACGGGCCAGCTACCGGGCTTGCGGAGGACGATGATGTCGCCGCCATGATTGGTGAAAGACGGCTGCGGTTGGATGCAGGCTGAAACAGAATAGGCGTCGAATAGTCGATGGAAGGAAGACCTGAAAGTGACTGCGAAGGATGTACAACCTGAATTCGGCTTTCGGCACTTTGCACGAGAGCAAATTCGAACGCGTGTAAGTGCTCAGTCTTCTGACCCTGGTAGCCAGTCGCATTCAATTTCAACAAACTATGTTCTGTTTGTATGTCACCTTTGTTTTGAATACGACTCGATGATGGCACCCGACACAGTCCACATCCGCGGTTCGTTGCTTCCACCACCTCTCCAATCGACATCCATCTTCAAGTCACACCTGCTGGGTATCTGCGCGACCTCACTTCGTCCATTCGCACCACTCCGATACCAAACACGAGTAGGAACACGTGCATCACGCTCGATCGAATCACGCTGATAGGACCCACCACACACGCGAGAGGCTTCGCCGCTCGATTCCACATATCGTCGCAGGAGCAGTCGCCAACGAATCGCGTTCACACCGCGGTGATCAGAGACTTTCCGTAACCCGCAAGGCGCACGTAGCATACTCCACAATGTCTTCTAAAGACCTCTCACTCGAGGAGCTCAAGGATGTGCAAAAGCAGCTCTCCAAGCTCGCAACCTCGTCCGACTCGGAAGCCATCCTCTCGCTGTTTGCCAAGCTGAAATCCGGCCTATCGGCACCGACGGAAGATGTCATCCGTCAAAGTAAGATCGGAGTGGCGGTGGGAAAGATGCGGTCGCACTCGGACAAAAAGGTCGCAGACCAAGCAAAGTCGTTGGTCAAAGACTGGAAGGCCATCGTGGACAAGCAAAGGGCGCAGTCGTCTACAACCAGCAGCAAAGCGTCCTCTTCCACTGCATCGCCTGCTCCTACATCCTCCAAAACAGACAGTGCCGCCAACGGAAACGGCACAGCGTCGGCGTCACCATCATCCACACCTTCAGCAGCAACCAAACCAGCGTCCTCCACCACCAAAATCGACTTCGAGATTCTCAACGACAAGGTACGCAATGCATGTCTCAAGCTCCTCTACCAATCGCTCGAAATCGGCAAGGAGACACACGGCTGGAACGACTCTCAGATCTTTGATGCGGCCGTCTCGGTCGAAGCAGCCATCCTCTCCAACCAAGGCAAAGGCTCCGTCACCGCCGACTACCGAAACAAAGTGCGTAGCCTTTCGCTCAACATCAAGGACAAGAACAACCCGGATCTTCGCGCACGCGTCGTCGAAGGCGACATCGCAGCGGACAAGCTCGTCACCATGACCAACGAGGAGCTGGCGAGCGATAAGCGGAAACGAGAGATCGAAGAGCTGCAGATGCAGAATCTCTTCAAGGCCAAAGGAGCGGCTGCGCAGGAGGCGGAAACCGACGCGTTCCAGTGCGGAAGGTGCAAGCAGAGGAAGACGAGGTATTATCAGATGCAGACAAGGTCGGCCGACGAACCGATGACGACGTTTGTCACTTGCACCAATTGCAACCACAAGTGGAAGTTCTGTTGAGCACAAGCAAGGTCAAATCTTTCGTCGTCTGGGGTTTGCTCGATTGGAGCTCTTTTGTATTAGTAGGTAAAAGGACAAAAAAGGACCAGACCCGGTGATCTGTCTATCGTGCATTCTGTTGTTCCGTGTGCGGATGTGGATGTGGGCGAGGAAACGGTCAGTGCTTTTCTGATGGGACGATACAACGCTCAGCATCAGCGTGAAGGCAGCACTGTCGCTCATCGGTCTTGATCACACCCTGTGCTTCACACGCCACTGTTACAGTGAAACGATGACTTGGTATTGACGAAGCAGGCTCGATGCTGAGCCGTAAAGAGAGCCATGAAGGAGCGCGGGAAGGGGGAGAAGTGTACACGAAGGAACAAGACAGAGCGATGATTGTAAGAGAAACCCTTTTGAAAGGTCATTTTGCCTCAAACGGCGGTGGGTTGGGGGTGAGCAGCCTCGAGATCCTTCTCGCTGCTGGCGGGCGAGTACTTGCTCTCCTTGGCTGCGACGGCGTGGCTGACCTCAGCACCGTCCTCGGGCCTGATAAAGTCGTGAAGCAGCGGCAAAACCAGGACCTCTTCTCCGACCTGCGTCAGGTCGATACCCAAGTCCTCGTCCTCCTCGCTGGCCCTGAAGTGGCAACCGGGGATGCGGTCGATAGCGAAGAGCAGGATCATGGTGACGACGAACGACCAGCCGAAGCCGGAAGCCGAGTCGGCGAGCTGGTAGGCGAGCTGGATCCAGTTCTTGTTGATCCAACCACCGGGGATGGGGGTGGAACCGTCGAACGAGGCGACGCGCGAATCGGCAAAGATACCGGTGAGCAGGTTGCCCACAATACCACCTACACCGTGAGCGGCGAAGATGTCCAAGGCATCGTCGTAACCGAGGAGGTTCTTCAGACCCGTAGCAAAGTTGCAGGCGGTACCGCCGAGAACACCAAAGGCAACAGCCGCCGGGGTTCCAACATAACCACTAGCCGGGGTGATGGCAACCAGACCCGAGATGGCACCGGAGCAGAAGCCGACAGCCGACCACTTCCTCTCCAGCCTCCAGTCCCAGAACATCCAAGTCAAGCCACCCACAGCGGTAGCCACCTGGGTCACCATCATGGCCTGCACCGCCCTCAAGTTGGCGCCCAAGGCCGAACCACCGTTGAAGCCGAACCAACCGAACCACAGGAAGACGGTACCCAAAATGACGTACGCCACGTTGTGGGGTCGGTAGGCGAGCTGCTCGGTTCCGTAGCCCTTGCGCTTTCCGAGGAAGATCGAGATGGCGAGCGCTGCGGTTCCGGAGGAGATGTGGACGGGTGTACCACCGGCGAAGTCGAGACCGCCCATGACGTTGGCCCAGCCCTTGCCAACGTTCCAGGTCCAGTAGGCGATGGGGTTGTAGACGATGGTGGACCAGCAGAAGGCGAAGATGAGGACAGGGCCGAGACGTGCTCGGTCAGCGAAGGCACCGCAGGCGATGACGGGTGTGATGGCGGCGAACATGAGCTGGTAGATGCAGTACAGCAATTGTGGGATGACGTTTCCTCCGGTGGAAGCTTGGATGTCGACATTCATAAGTCCAAAGTTGTCGAGATTCTGTAGAGCGCAACCCCAAGCCGAACGCAAAACCAGGAACTCGTCAGAAAATCTCATTCCTTGCATCCCTGCAAAGCATCTGCCGAGAGAAACTTACACCAATGAACTTGTTGCTCGAACCGGTCGAGAAAGCCAGCGAGAAACCCCAGAAGAACCACTCGAAAGTGACGACGGACAGCACAGTCATGGACATCCAGATCATCGACAGAGCCGACTTCTTCCTAAGCAGACCTGCGTAGAAGAAACCGAGACCGGGAATCATGATGAAGACCAATGCGGTGGAGACAATGATCCACGCCATGTTGCCGAGGTTGTAGATAGTCTCGGTTTGGACGCCATCGACATCGTAGGTGGCGATGAGGTCGCCGCTGGTCGTGTATGTGGCGTTAACCATCTTTGTGTTTTTAGACCGGCAGTGCCGTGGGAGAGGGAGGAGGGGACGGAGGGAGAGGAAAGCTGTTGTACAAGCTTTTGCTCGGATGGGAGCGGGCTGAGGCACCGAGCGGAGCGCCTTGGTGGTATGTGGTAGAGAGGACACAAAGAGGAGGAGAAATAGGGAGGGTACGGGTTCCGGAATGAACGACGAGGATTATATAGTTGGCTTACAGCAAGAGTGGGTGGATGCGCCACGAGAGCATCGGACCGGGAATCGATGAGATGGGGGCGGACAGGGCCTGGGCGAACGTCCATTGAACCACGAGACTTGCTCTGTTGCGCAAACGAGCGTGGGGACAAACAAGAGCGAAGGCCTTGATCAGAGATCAAAAGGCAGCCCGGTTCAGGAACCGACGACGGCGAGCGGCATCAGATCACACATGATGGGAGGCACTGTGGAAGAAGAGGGTGCATTTGCGCTCCGACAGAACACAGATGCTGGGCAAGCTGTCCTGCATTGCGCGGAACGGCGAAAGGCCCTGCATTCAATGTCGACAACGCTTGTTGATAGGAGCAACACGGAAGATTTGAAACGCTCCCTCAGTCCGCCTGTTCCGTCGAGCTGCGTTGATCGCCCCACCCTGAGAAGCCGGTACGCCTTTCATTGTCTCGTTTCGCTCATCAACGACGAAGCTTGATTGAGCCCCACTCGAGTCCTTTGCCAAGAGCATCTCATTTAACAAATCGTGCTGGTGAGAAGGAGCCGCTTCATTCAAGCCAAGACAAGGGTGGGAACTGCAGAGCAGACCGAGTTCTTACGCGAGGAGGCAGCCAAGATGGCTGAGCAGTTGCTCTCTCTCGGCGGGGTAGCCAGCTTACGAGACGAAATAAGCAGAGCTCAATGGGCCGCAAAAGGCAGCCGAGAGAGCAAAGGGAAGGGAAAGGGATCGTCAGAAGATAGAGGTGGCAGACGAACGAAAGGGTTCTCGGAGGGAGCGTGATAGCTCGGCAAAGCAGGACAGGAAACGCGCACAAGCGGACGTGGGATTTCTGCAATGTTTTCCTTATCTTTGGCGCTCCGAGATTATTTGGGATTTTCGTTCCTGATTTCAGAGTTGGCCGTGTTTGGTCACCAACGCCGCGCACGCTCGTCTCTCTGCCCCTCTCTGTGCGTGAGCCTGGATGCGCAAAACCGTTCCTCGAGGCGAGCTTCGCTTGCATCCTTTGTCTGGACCCTTTGCGTTGCTAGCACGGAACTGCTGCGAGAAGCACGCACGTTGCGCGATGAAATCATTTCAAAATCAAAGCGTCGACGGCACGAAGCAAAGGTGGTGGCCGTCGTCTATGAACCCAGGTCGAGTACGCTTCGAATCGTGTGAAAATGCAGAAGCCACCTCTCTCTTTTACTTGATCGCTGCCTTGTCATCAGCTCGGAACCACTCGGCAGCAACCCCCACTCGATGGCATGTCTTGGCACGAATGGGTGGTGTGGTGCATATGCATCGACATGTTGGCGTAACTGTCTACCATCTCCAAGCAAGTGCAAGACTGGGACAAGCATCTTGGCAACACATCAAGCGAGACCAATGGTACCATGCCTTATCACGGAGCAGCCTGCAAGAGCCTGTTACAGTACCGCTGTTTCCCCGGCAAGAACCAATCTATGATTCTTGTTCCTGAGGACCGCCTTCAAGCACCGCACGATAAGCAGGTGAGCCTTTTTTTTTACCGAAAACAGAAAGCCACATTTTTCTCAATCAAGCCGCGTGGGGCAGCCAGGACCCTCCTTTTTTGACTTTGTTTCACCGAAGAGATAAGGGAAATTGGCGTGCCCAGATGGACACACACGACTACGGTTTGTAATTTCACCGAGCGCTCGAGAGGGTGCACCAAAGTGATTTGCCCTGCTTACATCTCTTTCTCCGGCGGTTCGAGTCGATGGGGAAAATGATAAGCTGCTGCCGATAATTTGACTCTCCGCCTACAACCCATCAAAGCGCCAACGACACGCAACAGTCACGGTGATACCTACCATAACCTCGGACGCAAAGCCAGATATATAGTCAACACCAACCTCCGTTGCTCGTCAGTTTTTCCTTCTGAACCGGCCTGATGAGAGAAGACTCCGCTTGATGCGTCGTCGAGATCAAAGCTCGTGCTCAAGTCGATCGAAAGCGAGCGACTCGTGGGCGTGGGTCGGCAGAGTCTCAGCTGCGCCGGACTGAGTGTGGGCAGATCAAAATCATATCTGGAACCAATCAGAATGCGTCCTTTCTCTCTCAGTTCAATCAAAATGCCATCCTTTTTGGGTCTAACACCCACTACCCTAAAAAAGAATATCGGCGATCGAACGTTTTGTCGCATGCCGATCCATCAGGTCGCACTTGCTCACCCGTCACTGTCGTCACACGCTTGATCATGTTACAGAAGATAACGCAGTCACATACTCTTGCTTCATTGCTTCTCACGTCGCAATCCATGCATGCTGTCAGAAACTCTCTGCATTGAATGAATGGAGATCCCAGCGATTGACAATCACAACCACTCCTTGGGGAAGTCCTTCAACGAAGGTCGATCGGCCCTCAAATAATGACGCTTCTTATCCTGCCTGATCATCGGAGACCTCAGATCCAACGGCAATTCATCCACCTCCTTGGTCCTCACATTCGCTTCCTTCACCAGCGCATCCAACGTTTCCGAGCACCACTTCATGTTCTGCCTTTCGTTGGGAAACAGTTCGCACGAGATCTTGATCTCTCCCTGATCCGGCTTTGCTGCATCGTTCGATCGTGGGTGGAATCTGCTTCCGGCCAACAGCAGAAGCTTGTGTTTGGATTTCGCGTCTTTGACGGCACCGGTCTTGACGAGGTCGTCGACGTTGACGTTGAGCACCACTTTGCGCGATACCGGGTGGTTCTCTCCCTGGTAGTGCTGGAAACGGAACTGAAGGCATTGCGATGCCTTAGGTGGCGTGTAGGTCTGACGGAAGGAGGAGAGTTTGGGGATCTCGAACTCGACCGTGCGCATCACTTGAAGCATCTCGCGCTTGCGACGAAGGATCAGGTGTCCCAGAGTCGGTACGTCATCGTAGTTGAACTTGGGCATCTTTCGGAGCGACATGGGATCGTTGATGTTGCGCTGCTTCCTTGGCTTTGCGGATGCTCGTGCAGAGACGGAGAAGGCCCTGACCATCGTGGACGACGAGGCTGAGGAGGAAGAGGATGCGACATTTGCAACGTTGCTTGCCGTCCGCAAAGACGATCCGAGATTTGTGGCGAAGGACATGACGAGGCGCTGACAGACAAGAGCAGCTCTTGTGAGGAGTATGTCGGACTGTGTGGTGTTGCTGTGACTTGAAGCTCCAGGTACGACGATGTGTGAGCACCAGCAGCGTTTCAGCGGAGATGGTGTTGGAAAGAGTTGAAAATTGCAAAGCGAAGTCCGAGAAGAAATGCTGCAGCCCGCTTGCTCTGCTTTTTGTCCGTCACGTGCCGACGACAGTCTAACACCCCTGACGAGCATCTCAGAAAGCATCGACTGCTCCGCGGTGGACCCTGGAAAAGATTTCAGAAGAAAGTCTTAACTGGCGCATCTGCAGCTTGGCTTCGCTTTGCATCTCTCTCACACCGAGCATCCCCACAACACCATCAAGTCGGCACCCCCCAATATGCAGCCAACACCCGTCCTCGCTGCCTCCGAGGCGCCATCGGACACATCTCAGGCCACGCTAGACTCGACCATCACTCACTCCTCTAGACCAGTCGAATCACTTCCACCTGCGACTGTCTCGAACGGCACCAGCAACCAAGAGCAGTACCTCGTCGTCCTCTCCGGTCTCATCGGCAGCGGCAAGTCCACCTTTGCACGCGCACTCTGCCAACACTACCCAAACTGGCGTCGTTGCAACCAAGACGAGCTAGGAGATCGACACGCGGTGCTCTACGCTGCCCGAACAGCCCTGCTCGCCGGCCATCACGTTGTCATCGACAGGACCAACATCGATGCCAAGCAGCGAAGGACGTGGCTCGAGCTTGCACGTGAACTCTCCACTCCCTCTGCGTCCATCGAAACGGGCGCACCGCCGATCCAGCCCAGAAACATCGTCACCGTCTCACTGACCCTGACCATCTCCACCGTAGTCGCTCAGGAACGTCTGCAGATCAGAGTCGGACACGAAACCATCAAGACGCCCGAAGAAGCGCTGGGGATTTTGCCGCACTTTTTGAGGTCGTACCAAAAGGCGACGGTGGAAGAGGGTTTCAACTACGTGTTGACCTACCCGGCCGCAAAGATGTCGATGGAACCGAGCGCGGATGAGGTCAAGGCGATACTGTGGGATCAGTTGCAAGGGCAGACGAGAGCGTCGGGCGTGATGCCGGACAGGCCGCCGCCGAGGGCGGGCGGCGGAGGGAGAGGGAGAGGAGCAGCGAGAGGGAGGGGTGGAAGAGGCGCTTCGGCTGTATATGCTCCTCACCACCAGCATCAACACTATCCTTATCCGCAAAAACAACCACCACCGTCATTGCAAGACCCAGGGCAAGGCCCCGCCGCCACTCTCAACGCAGTACACCAGCAGATGCCACCACCATCCTTTGCAGCAGCAGCAGCAGCCGCTCCCTTGCCAACGGAGGCTTTGCAGGTTGAAAGTGTTGCGCAACTCCCTCCACTCTAGTTTCTCGGTGCAGTTTCTCGGTCGCACATCTTCGAATATACCCCACTCTGCATCGCCAAGCTTGCTCTGTTTCGGCCTATAGTGTAACATTACGGTTATGAGCCAGTCTTGGTAAATGGCTCTTGCTTTTCCGCCGATCTGTCTTCAGACTGATCGTCTAGCTTGGCTTTGGACTCCAAATCGCGTGCCAGATCGTCCAACTTGCTGCTATCCTCCTTGATGGTAGGATTGGCAATTGGAACGACTTTCTTGTTCGACTGCGCGTCGGTACCGCGGTTACCTTTTGTCTCTGGCGCCGTGCTGACCTGCTTGTCACCGTCCAGCTTCCTATACCCATCTGCTTTGAGCTTCATCAACTCTGCCTCCCACTCTTCTCCCACGAGCCTGACCAGCTCGGCGACACCATCATCCGCCTTGCCTTGGTAAAACACATCCCTCGTCTTGCCCTTGCCACCATACGTCAATCCATCGAAGTCGAACCCGGTCTCGTTGTACATGCCTGCACCCATGCCTCCGCCTGCATATCCGTCTGAACTCGCCAGCTCTCCGACGCGCTCCAAGTTGATCAACACCCTCGGACAGGTCTCTGGGACGGCATCGATGAGGCTGGCAAAGGGTTGGACTTGGAGACTTGTTCCCATGACGATGAGCAAGTCTGCGGATTTGAGATCGGGAATGCAGCGGAAGAACCTTGCCGGTAGGGATTCCCCAAAGAAGACGATGTCTGGTTTGACCAGCCCACCTTCCTGCTTGCCTCTCTTTCTGCCGGGACACTTTGGGCGGGGACACCTAGCTATGCTACCGCTCATGACTTTTTCTCGAATCCAATCATCCTCCACCCTCTGCTTGCACACTATACACGTCGATGTAGCGAAACTCCCATGTGCCTCGACGACCTTGTCCGCCTCCACACCAGCAATCCTCTCGAGCGTATCGACGTTCTGCGTAAACACCCGTTTGAGCTTCCCCTTCTGCTGCAGAAGCGTGAGGAAGTAGTGTGCGAGTGCTGGTTTGAAGTTTCCCGGGTAGAGGTGTTTGGCGAGGGTGAAGAAGGGTTGTGGATGCTTTTGAAAGTAGCCAATGTCGAAGATGGCTTCGGCGTAGGGAAGGTTGTACGCGGCGAGGTTTGAGTAGAGGCCGGTGGTGGGGGAGCGGAAGTCGGGGATGGGGGGTGAGGCTGAGGTCGAGATTCCGGCGCCGGCGAGCACGACAACGTTGCGGGTGCTGGGCGAGGCGAGGAGAGAGGCTACGCCGGATAGGGTGGGACCGTGTGGGGATGGGAAGAAGCGGTTCTCAGTGGGAACAGGTGAGGCGGACGGGCTGGTTGAGCTCGACGATGACTTGGAGTCCTTTATGTCCGACATGGTGGCTGCAGTCACGACCAAGGATTGTAGAGCGAGCTCCTGATGGTGAACATGAGGGTCCCGGTGGGACCGTATCACTGCATAACGAGTGTCGTGTGGAGGCGGCTGGGCGGACACCGTGCACCGTGCGTGGTGAACCACTTTTTTTGCGACCTCGATTTCGTGACGGCATTTCTCGTTTCCTGATTCTGCGGTTTCCACTTTTCAGCTGCGTATTCGCGGCATATTTCCGAACCCAAATTAGTGTGGGGCGGGAAGATGAAGAGGTCACCAAGTCGTGCTTGGCAAGCACACTCAAGTTACCGCATTTCCAAGGGTTACCGTTGGTCGCATTCAAGTCGTCATCGAACGATCATGCCTAATCCAATATAGCTCGCTTGACCTACGTTTACTATACCCCTCTACAGAGACGTTGATCCGTTTCTTTAAAGCCGTGCGATCAAGATGCTGTGGAAGACGCCACCATACTCATATCGCAACGGGTGGTTGAGGTCACGTTGTGTGGGTTGAGCTCGTCCGTGTGAAAAAGACGAGAGTGGATGAAAGTAGTATAAAGTGGAGCAGCGTCATTTGATCCGACTCTCGAACTGCACCGTCGGGTTGGTAAATCTTCTCAGCACCTTGGCCACCGAACTCCTTTCAACTGACTCTTGCCACATCCGCCCCCCTCTTACAACCTTCCTCCTGCAATACCAAAACGGACAATCGAAAACATGGCAAATCTCGTCACCGCAAACGATCCACGCAAAGTCGTCGTCATCACGGGCTGCTCTTCCGGGCTGGGTCGATCGATGGCCATCGAATTCGACGCTCAAAAAGACTACCGAGTCTTTGCGACCGCACGCAACTTTGAGTCACTCCGCGACCTCCCCCCCGGTATCGAACGCGTTCAGCTCGACGTCACCTCGCCCGAATCCATCAAGGCGGCGTTCCAGTCCATCGCCCGGACCACACACGATCGCATCGACGTGCTCATCAACAACGCAGGCGTCAACCTCGCCGTCGGTCCCCTCATCGAGACTCCCATCGACGACATTCGCAAAACGTTTGAAGCCAACCTATTTGGTCTCGTCGCAGTCACCCAGGCTGCTGCACCCTACATGATCCGACAGCGATCCGGCACCATCATCAACATCGGTTCGGTGGCTGCCATCGCCTGTATGCCTTTCGGCGGTCCTTACAGCGCCTCCAAATCCGCCGTCCACGCCCTCTCCGACACGCTGCGTCTCGAACTATCCCCCTTCAACATCAACGTCGTCGTCGTCGTTCCAGGTGCCATTAAATCCAACATCGCAGTTAACACCCTCAAAAACCGCTCCAGCTCGGAACCTGCTTCGGACGGAGATCTAGGCTACCTCCCCGCGGATTCGCTGTACAAGCACGTCGAAGATCTCGTCAAGTTCCGTGCAGAGTACAGCCAGCAAGGCGAACCTACTCCGAGCGAAGTCTTTGCAAAGAACGTCAGACGATGGGTGACCGCAACTCGTCCGGGTGCGTACCTGTTCACGGGCAAGAAGAGCTCGACCGTGTGGTTCGCGTGGTACCTGCCCTATAGGCTCAAGGACTATCTCTTGGGAAAGTTGTTCCAGATCCGCAGGATTGGAGAGGACGCTCACAAGAACAAGAACATCTGAGCCAAAAATAAAATAAAACGAACACCACAAGTATCTCTCATCGGCCTTTGTCTTCAATCAAGTTGTGTCTCTACACCATTGCACGAAGGCATGTGCATTTTCGGCATGTTGCCGATCTAAGAAGCCGCCTGAATCGGCAGCCAAAGCGTCCTCCCCTGATCCGCAACCAGAAACACATCCTCCTCCGCCGCATCCTTCTCCAACAACCCCATCCCATCCCTGACCCTACGAAACTTCAACCGTTGCATCTTGCACGCCTTTCTCAACTGCCTAACGTCGCCCTTTGTCTGCTCGTCGTTCCTCACAAACGTGCCGTAATGCACCGCCAGACTGACCATCCTTCCTGCTTCCTTTTCCCGATCGTCTTTCTCCTTGTGGAAGATACCGTGACACTCGACGGCGTCGTAGGGATCCATGTGGATGCTCGAAGTGAGTGTGCTGCTGACCCTGGGGAACGGGGAGAAGGCTCGCGGGAAGGGATCCCATGATCTGAAGTAGCTCAAGCTCGAGCCGACCGAGATAGGGAGCAGGAGCAGGTCGAACGGTTGGAAGCGTTTTGCGATCTCGGCGAAAGCGGGACATGCCGGGTACTTGCTGCGCTTGTGAGGGTTGTCGTGGTGATACTTCAGACCCGTATCTCCGGCGAAGAACGAACAGAACCGTTGCTCATCGTGCTTCCACTCGACCACCCAACTAGCCCATAGACTAGCATCTTTATCACCTGCTCCCCTTCCACTCCCATGCTGAGCAGGCGTACACCAGATCTTCACCTCTCCTGCGTCTCCTTCTCCTGCAGACACCTGTGCATGATCCCACCAATCCAGCTCGCTAACCTGCTCCGACTTCCATCCAAACCCCCCACCACCCGTCAACTTGTCCTTCACTCCCAGCGGTACAAACGCATGAATCTGATCGCCACGCACGTGTCGCAGCTGTCTGAAGGTGTGATAGTCGAGATGGTCGTAGTGCGAGTGGGAGATGACGACAAAGTCGATGGGTGGCAGGTCGTCGACGTTGCACGGTGCTGGGGTGAAACGCTGCGGACCGGCTGATTGGGATGGTGAGCAGCGTTCGGAGAAGATCGGATCGAAGAGGATGTTGATGGATCGAGGTCGGGTGGAATCGTCGCTTGGGCGGGAGGATAGCGGTGGTAGTTGGAGGAGGGTTGTGGCGTGACCTAGCCAAGTGACTCTGGCCGCTGGTTTGTCGGGATTCTTGGGGTCTTGCCAATCTCTGGTCGGCTGTGTTTGCGAATCGTAACCTGCGTCGGCTTCCTTCTCGCCGGAATCTTGCTTTGCACGATTCTCGCTATCTTCCTTTCTCGGGCCGTCCACCTCCTTTTCCGACTTTCCTTTCGACCAGCCCCAGTCTGGCTGCACAACCTCAACCTGATCCCAATCATTACCCAACTCTGCATCTTCCCATTGCGCCTCATCGCGCTCTCTGTGAATCTTCGAATCTGACTTGAATCCACTGGCTCTCTTGCTCCCCCTCCCCGACCCCTCGATATAGCTATCCGGCAAACCCCATTTCAGGCCTCCACCCAGTAAGCCCTTGATTCCAGGTTTGCGGAAACTCTCCGACCATGGATTTTGGAAAGTCAGCCGATCCAGGATGTGACTCTCCTTTTCTTGACTCTGCCTTTCCTCTTCTTGTTTCTGCTGCTGCTCGTTGTTGTTGGGGCGGGAAGAAGTGCTTTGACGCGGAGACGTGAGTTGGCCGAAAGCGGTGGACGTTGCGCGTGTCACCTGCGAAAGCGCGGTCGGGACCCAATGAGAAGGCAGGTCTTCCGGATCGACTGTGTGAGAGTCGGCGATGGGATCGGACGATCGACAGTTCACAGTGATCCTGTATGGTGATCTGGTAGAGGTCGGTTTGGTCGATCCGTCGTGTGCAGCGTGCGAAGTGTCTTCTGTCGTAGTCTGCGCAGTTGGCTGCTCTTCAGATGAAGAAGAGGAGCGTGAGGAGGAGACAGAGTCGGCGCCATCGACGCTATCTCTACCCTCGAGCGTTTCAGATACGGTTCGGTGGTGTCGTTCGTGTGGTGGTAGATGTGCTGGATGATGATGGTGCTCTGTGGTCGACATTGTGGACGTGTATCTATGGAGATATGCTGGGGTTCTTGTAGGAGGAGCACAGGAGGGGAGTGTATGAAAAGAACTCTAAAGGCAGGTGGATGGAAGGATGACGATACTCTACGTTCAATGGATGGCACGAACTTTGATGTCGAGCCTGATCCAAGGGGCTCAGTGTGGCTTTTTGTCTTGGCATTCTTTGATCTTGCATAACAGCAGCCTGTCACGGTGCCTGCCAAGCAGGATCGACAAGGCATCCCAATCTCGCTCTCCCGCTCAGCTGTCAAACATGCATTTCCGCGTCATGGCGCAGAATCTCGTTCCACAACCTAACATCTCTTTCAAATTTGGAGAAGAATTGGACCCTTGATTCCCTTTCGCTTTGTCCTTGCATCCTTCTTCACAGCGTCCGACAACGACGACGACGAGATGCCCTCGCCTCCTCCAGCACCCTTCGTCGTCGACCACGAGCGCATAGCAGATCTCGCACACACTACCTATGCCACCACACTGCCACCACGAGGCGGAAAACCCGGCGTCAAATCGAACGGTCGAATCGAACACACCGTCCTCGCTGCTTTCGTCCTCTCTTACCCCTCTCCCACTGGCGAATCTCACGACGAATACTCGCTAATCTCTCTCGGGACGGGACTCAAATGCCTGCCGTATTCATCGCTCTCCGTGAATGGGGATGTGTTGCATGATCAGCACGCCGAGGTACTCGCGAGGAGGGGGGCGAGACTGTGGTTGTTGCAGAGATTGCAGCACGAGGTGCAGTGTGACGAGATCGGGTTGAGACTGTTCGAAGTGGGTGCTCAGGAGGAGTCGAGGAGGTGGAAGCTGAAGCAGTATGTGAGGATGCACCTGTACATATCCACATTGCCCTGTGGAGATGCCAGTGGCAGGCTGTTGGAGTATCAACGTGCAGCACAGGATCACGTCGCTGGCAAACCCAACACCCTCACTCCAGCCCAACTACTCCAGCTACACACTCACACACCACCCCCTCCCCAACATACATCGTTGAACATCCTCAAAGACGAAGAAAGCGTCGTTCGTCGCGGCAGAGCATCCTCATCCAACCAGCCTTCCAGCACAACCCTCCGCACCAAACCGGGTCGTCCCGACGCCCCCGCCTCCATTTGCATGTCCTGTTCCGACAAACTCGCCCTCTGGAACCACCCGCACATTGGTCTACAAGGAAGCCTGCTTTCGGCTGTACTCGAGCCGATCCGCATTCTTTCCGTGACGATCTGCGATCATCCTACCAAACACATTTTGCCTCCTTTCTCGAATTCCCCTTCAGACCCGGCGATCGAAACTCAAAGGGAAGAGCTGAAACGCCTGCTTGCAGCAGACTGCCTTCGTGCGCTCCAACGAGCACGTCCACCTTGCGATCCCGACCCGATCATCGTAGGGTGGTCAACTACGCCCTTCCCGGACAGCAAAGAATCCAAACTCGAACACGCCTGGTCTACCTTCCTCACCACCCACACAGATTCACCACACATATCGATGTTCAAGGAATTCGAACCTGTCAGCTGTCCAAACTCTGTATTGTTCGTACGAGATCCGACGCTGGGAACGGCAAAAGGGACGGTGGAGAACCTTGCAAGTGGGACGAAGATGGGTGCGTCTACAAAGCGTGTTGGGCGAGGGGAGGCGTTGAAACCTGCCGCTAGGTCGGTGTTGTGTCGAATGAATTGGTTCAGGTCGTTTGTGGCTGGGTATGGCGCCATTTGTGGAGTCGAAGCGGTTTCAAACGGAGACATCTTGTATGGAGATGCGAAGGAAGGGGCGTTCGGCGACGGGACGAAGGTGTACAGGAGGAGGAAAGCGGCGTTGCTAGGTGGGACGGAAGATGCAGAAAAGCATGTGGAGAGGTTCTTAGCGAGTGCAAGGGAAGGCACGGCGGTCAAGGCGGTGTTTGAAGCAGACCAGGGGAAAGAGAGAATCGCGGTGCAAGATACGGCTGGTGTTGAGGTCGCGCAGGACGATGCGGCGAAGACTGACTTCAAGGCTTGGCTGAGGACTCCAGCTGTCTTCTCACAATTCGATCTTCATGGGCGCCATTTTGAACAAATCACACTTGAAACGCCTTCAGAGATGTCAACATCACAACACACATCCGCACCAACCAAGTACACGCAACTGTGAAACTAGAAACTTGCAATTCGACATCGATTCAATTGTGAGAAGGACCTGCTTGCTGCGTGCTGCTGGAATTGGCACGGTGTCTTTTCACGTCCCTTTCTCCAGTCTCTTGACTGTCTCGAGCACGTCGAGATGACTCGGCCTGGCTTTCTTGGATTTCTGTGTCCTTCGACTTCCCCGTGTCGAGCTTGATGATTGGTGGGAGAATGATGCGTGACGTCTTCACGCCCGAGCTGGAGGGAAACGAGTTCGGGTTGTTGTCCCGCGGAAGGCGTCCAGACCAGGAGCAGCACCCGTACTCGTCGAACCGGTAGTATCCAAGCCAAGGCATGGTTTCGACAAGTGAAAAAACGTCCTGTTCGTCCCAAGGATCGTGTCGATACATCGCCTTCTTCCCTTCATCTCCTGTGCTGGTGGGACCTTTAGTGAAGCCCGTATGCTGTACATCGTGGCGCTCTGCATGACGGATAAAGTCTTCGTAGACAGACTCGGATCGAGTGTCACGGGTTTCCTTTGCAACTATGCGGACCTCCGTCGGCTCGAGGCCATTTTTTTCGCGGGAAGCATTCCATACGTCCAGCAGCTTTTGCTTCCCTGCCTGAAGTCCCCGCCAGAAATAATCGTGTTCTTCGAGATAGGATCTCCAGCCATCGTATTCGTCGCCTGCTTCTTGCAGACCCATGTCCATGCTATCTGCCCAGAGCAACTTGTTAGGATCATCATTGCCGCTGGCTGTCCTGAATAAAGTCGAAAGCGCCTCAGTGGCAACGGATGTCTCTTTCCTCGAGTGAGGAGCAAGCACGTTTCTTCGGATTAGCTCCTGGATTAGGTCGTACGGCTGATGCATTTCGTACTGTTGGACTCCAAAGACCAAGAGCTTCAGCTTCGGCAAACTACACGAATTTGCGGCTAGAAGGCCAATCGCCGCGAGGAAGATATCTTGAATGACCTGCCATGGATCTCCGTCCGACTTATTTGACTTTCGTGTCCAGTACGCCTTGCGGTCGGTCAGGTAGTCTTTTAGACGAGCCAGCACGCTTGTACTGCTGTCAGAAAACTCTAGGTGCTCGAGTGTTGAGCATGGTGATCGTCCTGCTTTGATAGCGTCTTGCATCGTACGATCACGTCGAGTGGCCTTGAGATCACCTGTCAAGAAACCATAGAATTCCAGAGGCATTGGAACGTTGTCAAGTTCAAGGTGCGTGAGTCGGGAAAGAGGTGCGTAGGAAGTCACTTCCCTCAGCGACAGGGGCCCGGGCGCTAGGTTTCCTCGATAGGCCCATTTGAGCCCGAGGGGGCGGCATCTGGTCGTCCTTGAGAGAAAATGGACAAACGGATGGTTCGTGGGGCTTATCCAAGTGCGACCATATGAATCCCCGTAGCCATACCCAAATTCTTCTTCGGCATCAGTCGCCACGATTGAGAGGTAGCGCACACGATGAGCGAGACTGGCCAAATTATGAACATCACATCTGCATTCGACCTTCGGGTCATCAAAGTAGTGTCGGAAGGTTTCATCGATATGAAGAGCTCGAATCCAGCCCGCTAGTTCGCGTTGTCTGAGTTGAGACGATTCGTCTCGGCTGAAGAAGAATGCCGGGAGAAATGCACCATACGGGTAGTCATCGTCGAACTCGCCCTGAAGAAAAAGCCACCGGTTGAGTGCTGGCAGGGCCGAGAGCTTGAGTCTTTTGCAGGTCAAACCCAGTGCAAGAATGTCTGAGTTGTGCGTCGTCACGTCGGGCAGCGAATATTCATGAAGGGGGCTCTCACGAGCTTGAGGGAGCACAGATGGGCGGAGGTAGCTTATAATGTGCTCCCATATCTCCGTTGGAAGACGAAGCCAATCTAAAGAAGCATGGATCGATTCCTTGCCTACATCTACAAGGATGTTGTCCGTGGGAGGCTTGTCTTCATGGCGAGTGCTGGGTTTGTCTGGCTCCGATTCTTGCATTTTGTCAGATGGAAAATTTTAAGCGGCGAGACGTCCAAGAGTCGAGGATCTGCGAACCCGACCGCAAAGACTTACCAGGTGGGAGGGGAGGAGAGGTGAGCCGGGAGGGGAAACATATTTATACATTTGGGGCTTTGGCCTGCCCGAGCGCCTGGGAAGCGTCTCATAGGGCCCGAGCTCAGCCCGTTACAGATTGCACGCACATGCAACAAAGGGCTCTCAGCTGCAGCAATTTTTCCCTGCTTGAACTCGTGGCATTACAATCTGTGATCTTAGAAAATCCGTTGGACTCGCACATATCGCTCTTCGTTCGAACGAAATGAGATGGTCCGAGGAACGATGGCGGCGACTGTAACTCCCAGTCTGCCAACGCGAAAAATCTCCGGAAACGTGTCAATTCGCGTCGTCGTCATCCCGCTTCGAAAGGTCGAGACACTCGGAAATCCTGTCTGCTCGAATGCCGCCGTCTCTGCGAGAGTGACCAGCAGGCTAGGAGACGACCATGCTCTACAATTTTGTGTCGCACGAAGCCCTCGCCAACTCTTTCGGAGAGCTCGCATGTTCAACCCACACGACGGACGCACGCCTAAATTTCGTCCTGTCTGATTGATTAGATTCGGGACACGTGTGGGCGCAGGGCGAGCACCGCTTAATTTTGTGCTCCGTGAATTTCCTTCATCGACGTGCTCGACGTTCACCATGCAATTCTCCGGCCTGACCTTCACTCGCGATCTTGGATCGACTTGCGGACGAAACCAGTCAACTTCGATTGATTGTTGCGTGGCTTTGTTCGACGGCACAACGTACGGAAGAAGCTGTCTCTCGTTGTGAATTATCTTCGCGAGCTCGAAAGTCACAAAAACCCGCGTGCAGCGGTGTGCTTCATTCAATTCGTTGTCGCTTTTCGCTGGATGCTGCCCGAGCTGAGGTCCGCGGAACAGCTCGTCGCTCCAATCTTTGTCCATCTTCTTCTTCCCGTAGCTTGTTGAGCGTGTCTTGATCCAATCTGACCAAGGGAGGTACAATGGTGCGCTCCGTCAAATCGCCTGCTTTCGAAACAGCGGCACTCGGTCTGCTGTCCCTGGGGAGTTCACCGGTCCAATAGAAGCAGTCAAACTTTCCCAGCTGGCGATATGGAAGCCAGGGTCTCGACTCGACCAAAGAAAATATGTCCGGATCAGCCCAGATTCCAGCGTTATGTGTCGAAGTGCCGCGCGTTTGACCTCCCTGCGAAGTGTAGAAATCTTCAAACCACGCACGACTTTCCGGATGGCCGCAAGTACAATCCTCTGCACCCTTGTTGCTATAATATCGGGAATCTCGCGAAGCTACGATTCGGATTTCTGTGCTCACCGGGACCGCCCCTTCAACTGTTTGAGGACGACTACCATCCCAAAGACGTCTGAGAGCCAACTTGCCTTCATGAACCCGTCTCCAGTAAGAATCCGACCAAGAAATCTGATGTTGCCATTTGCTATCTATGGGTTCACCATCTTGAAGGCCAGTCGCGAGGCTCTCCATTTGGCCACCACGAGTAGCCTGGCTGAAAGAGGATGACACTGAAGAGGAAGCGTAGCCTTTTGTGCCAGTCGCTTGGGAGGGAAGCTTTCCGGTCATATCCTCGATTGAGTTGCCACGCGCAAGGTTGTCGATTGAGTCTGCTGACAGATAATTGGGATTATTGCACACTTCGAGAATTAAGAGCCTCAGAAGTGGTAATCTTCCCGCCGAAGCGGCCAAGTCGTAGAGGGCCTTTTGAGGCTCGAGCCATGCGTTGTCTGGCTCCACAGGAGTGGGTACCGCGTCTTGCTGCGATCGTGGGAGCCGTACGTATTCTTGAAGAGCGAAGCGATAGGCAACGTACTCATCGAAGCCGCGTAGTACATCGTTGTCTCCACAAGACAATCGAAGGCATTCGAGCTTCAATCGGGGTGATTGGCCGGCAGAGATGCCTTCCCGGACCTTCTTCGACTGACGCGCAAATTGAGGGTCTCCGACCAGAATGGCAAGCAGATCGTCCTGCGGTAGAAAGTGTGCTATTTCGAGATGTGTTGTCTGAGAAAGAGGCGCAAAGGAGTTGACACCGCGAAGAGTTATCGATGCCGGTTCAGACCCTCCGAAATCCCGCACGCTTAGTCTCAAGCTACACGGCCGACATGTCGTGCTGGTTGCTAGGAAGTGTGGCAAAGGGTGGCAAACAGGCCCGAGGTCGGTGAAATTGTCGTCTCCATCCGAATAACCGTAGTCACGAGCACGCTCGTCGGTACAGTCGAGCGACAGAAAGCGCAGCCCGGTAGCCACATGCGAAAGAACATGTGTGTCACAAGCGCAAAAATACCATCCGAGGTGATGGTCGTCATCCGAAACGACTTTACTTTCGACTCGAAGCGAGCGAATCCATGCAGCCCTTTGGGACTCCTTCGGTACCATTTGGCCTTCGTCATTCCGACAAACAAGGTCGACAAATTTGTTACGCTGCCCAGTGGCAGGTAGATCGATTGCTCGGAAAAGCGCTGGCAGAGCGAGTCTCTCCAGTCGTCTGCAAGCCGCAGCCAAAGCAAACAAGTCCTCTTTGTAACGACTCCGATAAGGAACGTGATCGTGCAACGACTTGCAATGGGGGTGAGGAAAAATGTGGTCTTCAGGTCGAATCGAAGGGAGGAGGTACTCCACGATGCGCTGCCAGATTTCGGCTGGTAGGCTCAACCAGGCAGGCGCCAGAGAGTCAGATCTGTCTGCGAGTGATGTCGGATGGCAGACAGACGACGCAACGACATTATTGCCAGGTTCGGCTTCGTCGCTTTTGCGATCCATCATGACGGGATTTGTCAAGGGCAAGATGCAGCGTGACTATCGCCGTGCTGCGCTGAAAGGGGGAAAGTTACCTGCTGAGCACAGATTGTTACGAGGTTGATCTGAGCAGAGCTAGATGATGGAAGTCAAGGTCGAGGATGTGGCAAGATGCCTCTTGAATATCGCTGTTGAGGATCAGACTGAGCGTACGCGACGGCTAGGAAAAGGGCTCAGTCGCAAATGCTGTGTGAAAAGGAGGAGGCGCCCTTCAGACAAGAATTGTGATCTTAGAAAGAAGCCTCTGGCTAACGACCATATCGCGTCATCCACTCGCAGTCTTTCAAACGTCACATCGCATGTCATCAGAGAAGGGCGACAGACTTCCCACAGGATGACTGATGGGTAGCATCCCGAAGATGTGACCGGATCGCCAGCGATACTGCGATGACGTTTTGCGCGAAGCAGGAAAGCCCTGTCAGAGCGACATCCTTCTTCCCGACGCCGAAGCTTGAAATTTGTTCATGATGGGACGAATGAAAGCCTGCTTAAAGGCTACTTGACGTTACAAAACAGGAACGAGAAGCTCTCGCCAGCCACAGCCATTTCAAGGCTGTTTTGTTCTTCTCGGCATCGAGTCCAAAGGCTGCACGATGAGCGATGGCTCGGAAGAAGAGCTTTTATCACGCCACGACACATTTATTTGGTGTGAAACGATATCACATTTCAATATTCATGTGAACGGCAACCGCAAGACGTGGCTGCTTATGTCCCGTCACCGCACCTTATCCTTTCCGGTTTGACTCGGTCGCCTGTTCGTCCGTGCTTTTCCGAGCACGTCGACTTGGGTTACGCCGGAGTCTTCCAAGCTCGTCCAGCTGCTTGTCATCCATCTTGATTAGAGCAGGCAGGACGACACGAGGGGTGTTGCCGTCGCTGCTCGAGGTCGGATTGTTGTCCCGTGGAAGCTCGCCACTCCAAGAGCAACATCCATATTCATTGTGCTGATGGTAGGAAAGCCAGGGCATGGTATCCACAAGAGAAAATATATCTGGATCGGCCCAAACTCCGTCGTCCTCCATGATGACCCCATCAGAGCTGGACCACTGCAGTGCGCCTTTCTTGGACCTCGTCCCGACTTGAGCCACGCTCTCTGCTTGACAGAAAAAACCTTCGTCCAGATGAGTAAGGCGGTCTCTGAACGTAAGCGATTCTCTTTCGGCCACGATGCGGATCTCCGTCTCCTTCAGGCCCCTTTCGAACCGAGAGCTGTTCCAAAGAGCGGTCAACGCGTGCTTGCCGATTTGTTCGCCGAGCCAGAATGAATCGTGCTCGGCAAGTCTTTTTCGCCATTCGCGATCCACTTTATCCAAGTTGACGGCAATGTCGTGGAAGGGACTGGCATCATCGATCAGGTTGCCCGACCGCTTACTCGCGTCGAAAAGGGAGGATAATTTGGAGGCAGCGTGATCAGGATACTTTGGCTTGTCCCTCTGAAAGCTGCTAGACAGATCTTGCAGCACGTCCCGATCCACTAGACCCTTCAAAGCATCCTCTGAATATAGCCTGCCTCGACTGGGTATTTCTAGAACGAGAAGCCTGAGATTCGGTAGCATCCAGGATTTGGAGGCCAGTTCGTGCAGCCGTGTGAGGGTCTCATATTCCTCGTCGTAGTCCGGCAAGCTGTCCATATGGTCAAAGTACTCGCCTGCGGCGGTGGCGGCAAGTTCTTCCATATATTGCTCAAAATAGGACAGGAAGCCCATGCACGTGGTCGTCAGTCGAAGACGCTGGAGCTTCTTGTTTGGCGAGAATCCTGCAGAAATGGCTTCTTGTACCTCCGGAAATCGTTCGGCTGAGGCCAGATCGCGTGTCAAGAACGCAACGAATTCTTCTGGTGGCGAAATGTTGAGGAGCTCGAGGCTTGTGAGCTGGGACAGGGGCTCGTATGAAGTTGCATCTTGAAGGGACAGTTGTTTCTTCTGGCTCGAATTGTAGATCCATCTGAGAGCAGTCGGACGACATACTGTCGTGCTCGAGAGGAAGTGTGCAAAGATATGATTTGTGGCGCCTTCGGAAGGGTGCAGTTGAAAGCAAACCTCGCATTCTCGACCATCGAGACATTCAAGTGATACGTAGCGAACGTTTTCGGCCAGTGAAAACAAAACATGCAAGTCGCAAGTACAGAAGGACTGCTGGAAGCTCTTGTCATAGCCTGCGTACGAATGAATGTGCATGTCGAACATCTCACTTTGCACATGGAGAGCTTTGATCGTGCTCGCAGCTTCGCTCGAGGCCGGTACGAGTCGTCTGCGTTCGTTTTGACAGATGAATCTGACGAAGTCGTTCACCCTTTCGTCTTGAAGAAAAGGGGCATACAGTAGTGCTGGCAGCGCCAGAGCTTTGAGTTGCTTGCACGTCAATGCCAGTGCTTTCAGGTCACTTTGGTGTGTGGGCCAGAATAAAGTCCGGTCCCAAAGGTTCTTGCCGTTGGGTTGCGGATGAATATGCTCTTCGGGTCGGATTTCAGGAAGCAGGAATAGCACGATGCGCTCCCATATCTCTGTCGGAAAAAGAAGATGTTGAGGACCAGCACCGACAGGATTTTGTTCGGACGAAGAGCTGTTTGAAGGCACGTCGATAGCGACGGGAGGGTTCCTGGCGCGTTGTGCGTTTTGCATGACGATGGTTGGTCAACTATTAAAGTCGAAGGTGGTGTTGGGCCTCGGTTCCAGATAGGAGACAAACGATGATGAAGGAACAAGAAGCTGGCCGTTGAGTCTGGCTGCTGGGTCGATGTCGATGACGTGAGATGGTGTCTGAAGATGAAGATTTAAATGCCAGGCTGGGTTCCGGAGGTCCGCCCATATAGCAATGGGAGGTGAGGCTGAGCTTTCGCATCAAGCAGCGGCGGGTCCGTGCATGACAAGGACGTCCTGCTCGTGCTGCACTCGAAAGTAAGTTTCGTCATTCTTGATGGCCTGGCTAAACTCGGCGTGATCTCAGAGGGCATGCTTGCCAACGCTCCCCGATCCTTCATTTTGGCGCGATATTACCTGTATCTGTCTCCTGCTGTGCGCGAAAAGCAACGAAAAGACCCTGCTCGCCAAGGTGCAGATTGGCGTTCATCGTCGCGTCGATTTGCATCGCCAGAAACGTCGCATGAAGCGGGATTTCCGCGAAAACAGATGCATACAAGGCTGAGCTGGCTCTGCAGCTGTCACTCTTTGCATCACTGTGGCTTGCTGGCGCTACGAAAAGCTCTATCGTCGCCCGTGGTGTCGAAGCGAATTGCCAAGGACTTTGCGCCTTGCAACGCACAGCGCACGGACACGTGAAGGAATCTCATCACGACAGCTTGATGAGCTTTCTGACACATTGTGGCGTAGCTCGAGAACCACAAGGCAATCGCAGCTCGGGTGCCTGAATCATGATCGCTTGACGAGTGACGGAATGACAAGCCGTGACGGCTGTTGGGTCTCGCGAGGCAGCTCGCCTGTCCAGTACCAGCCTTGGTCGGGTTCGCCGACCGACTTGAAGGAGAGATACGGCACAGTGCTGACGAGGGAGAAAATGTCGGGATCTGCCCAGCATCCGACCTCGCTAGCCACTTCTCGGTCTCTGCTCCCTCTTTCAGTCGGAGCCTCCGAAGCAGAGGTGTGATACCGTTGATGGGCGGAGACAGGAGCTGTGACGGTGGCAGCATCATGTTGCGCTTGACAGAAAAAGTCTTGGAAGCCCTCGCGTCGGTCGTGGCCATTCGGCCTAGCCGCAACCACACGGATCTCCGGAGACGATTCGATCTGTGTTTCGCTGTCAGTGGATCGTCGCGACGCAGACCAAAGATCGACCAGCGCTGCTTGGCCACTTTCGATGGAACGCCAGTAGTCGTCACGGTCACCTATCCGCAGCTCTTCGGGCGTCGCTCCAAATGATTCTGCGTGTCCAATTTGGTCAATGTGTGGACCGCGCCCATTGCTGGCGCTGCCCGCCTGTTCTGGATATTGTACCAAGCCGCCATCAGAGTGTCCATTGGCTGGTACGCTCGGGAATGCGTTCCGTGCTGCTGCTCGTCGAGAGCTGCCAACTGCGTCGTGAAAATGACTTGCATCAGAGCGCGTCGCTCTTGCATCCATAGATTGTGACTGCCGCAACGAGGACGCTGTACTCCCACTCCGCGATGCGATCATCTCCCTCTCTTCCTCCATTGGCGATGGCAGAGGACCCAACGGACTCAGCTCCAGCAAAAGCAGCCTCAACCTCGGCAGACATGACGAATGGACTGCAAGGTCGTACAACGCTTCCTGTACGGCGAACCTCCTCGCGGGTCCGCGAGGTGCGCGCGGTGCAGGCTCACGTGCCTGTTCTTGGGCTGAAAGCTTCTCGTACACCTTCCACGCCTTTCTCCATGCGATGTAGGCTTCAAAGTCGACCAACGCATCCGGCGGCAGCAGCGACAGCCGCAAACATTCGAGTGTCTTTCGCGGCGAAAGACCTGCTTTGATGCTTCGGGGTACATTGCCCTGTTCGTCGGCGTTGATCTGTTCACCAACGAGGAAGGATATCAATGCTGGCGGAGGCACGATCTTGATCAGATGCAAGTGGGTGAGCTTCGACAAAGGGGCTAGCGATTTCGTTGTTGAGAACGGCGGCGCAGAGAACGACAGGTTGGATAGGGTGATCCGGCGTGGTCGACATACCGTCGAGGGTCGAAGGAATTCGAGCAGTGCTGCTCCGGCTTGACGGTGATCGAGTGAAACAAAATCTAGTCGGCTCGCATTGTCGAAAAGGATGCGAAGGCTTTCCACGTAGCACGTTTGATCAGCTAGGGTGTCGCCAGGCTGCAGAAGACCGTCACCTGGCGGCAAATGTATCGAGCGGATATGGGTTGCACGGCTGCTTTCGCCGCTGTGATTGGTGGAAGACGCGCCGTTCTGCTTCTTGACCTCGGCGGCAATAGTTGCTGCCAAAAGATTGAGCGACTTGAGCGTGCGAAGAAGCGGGGTCCGGTATAGGGCGTGACTGGCCAGGTCATGAAGTAGCTGGCTAGACAGTGCAACTGAGAGGAGGTCGCCGTTCGGCGAGCGCGGAAGTGCCGGCGTGTAATCGAGATGTGGTCCATGCGGATGCGGCAACGTAGACGCGTTCCGATCTACAGCCGGTACGAGGCTCGCTATGACCCTCGCAAGGAGCTCAGCAGGCAGCGCCGGAATCCGGTCGCTTGCATCGCTGCAGTCAGTCATCGCAAAGAAATCATCCGATCTTGTCGCAGCTCTGCGGGTGCCAGCGATCGGAGTCTGAGTTTGGGAGAGGCCTGGATGAAGTCGACCATTTGACCGGAGAAGATGTGAAGCAAAGACAAGGCCTGACAGCGTCGATCCAGGGTCTGATACTGCCTCGCCTCGCATGCCTCCACCAGACCGAATTTGGAAATCCGATGCAGGACCCTGACGAGTCATGCTGAGGGCCGTGCATGAGACGCTTTGATCGCAGTCTGACAACCCCTGACTGTCCTCTTCACCTTCATCATCTTCTCACAGCCTTTTCGTGCCAAGTCATCGTCGGCATCCGTTTCGCGATCATGGGTCGACCAGAGGACAGCAAGGTTGGTCTTCCCACCAGCCACCCGTCCAACCCTGCCCGCAATCGGCCGCTTCTACCTAGACTCGTTCGAATCTGCGCTCTCGCCCTTATCTGTGCCACGCTGTACTACACAGACACACACCTGCTCAATCTTCCATCGCCATCTCGTCATCATGGGCATTCTCCTCAACGTACCCATGAGGTGTGTCCTCAGGTTCCCCCATTCCAGCTTCCTGGCCTTGTGCTGACGTCAGGTCACGTCAACACGACCAACAAGGTGGAGCTGCCGTCCAGCGATGAATTGGCCAAACTTCTCTCCGGCGCTATCCAGGTCGACACCACTGTCGGAGACGACTGGCCGACCGTGAAACAGGATCCATCTAGGTGGAAGACCGTATTTGCACCGTTCCACGACTACCTCAGCTCCGCCTTTCCAGCGATCTATGCTCCGGACTCGCCGGTGGAGCTTGAAAAGGTTAACGAGTGGGGTCTCGTTTACACCTTCCCAGGCTCGGATGAAAGGCTGCCGCCGCTCGTGCTCATGGCTCATCAGGATGTCGTACCTGTCGAGCCCGAGACGATCCCCTCCTGGACGCATCCGCCTTTCTCTGGCTTCATCGACAACGATCTCGGACTTGTTTGGGGTCGCGGTGCCGGCGATTGCAAGGCTACTATCGTCTCAATCCTCGCAACGATCGAGACCATGCTGAAAGCAGGCTACCAGCCTAAAAGGACCATTGTATGCTCGTTCGGCTTCGATGAAGAAAGTGCAGGAACGCAAGGTGGTGTCGAGCTAGCCAACTTTCTCCACGAGCGATATGGCGATGATGGCGTTGCGATGATCGTCGACGAAGGCGGTGAGATCGGTTTGGATCTCGGAATCCCCGTCGCTGCGCCTTGCGTTGCCGAGAAGGGCTACCTGGATGCTAGGGTGACGGTGTACACTCCAGGCGGCCATTCTTCCGCTCCGCGCGACCACACTTCGATCGGCCTGCTCTCACAGCTCATTACCGCTATCGAGGCAAACCCTTACGACGCTGCGATCCACCTCACCGGCCGAGATAAGGATCAGGTCACTCCAGCTCTGCAGTACTTGCAATGCACACGGGACGCACCCGGTGCGGATCGAAAGCTCACCAAAGCACTCAAGGAGCTCGAGCGGATGCAGCGCAAGCACGAGTCGGCGCGTTGGGGTCGAGCGTGGCTGGAGAACAAGCTGGACAAGCAGGCAGCTAAGTTGCTGTCGCTCATGGACCGATGGCAGCGCTTCAACTTCCAGACTACACAGGCTGTCGACCTCATTTCTGGCGGTGTCAAGATCAATGCGCTGCCGGAACAGGTTACGACGGTGATCAATCATCGGATTGACGTGACATCTTCGACTGCCGAGGTTCGCCGTCATATCTACGAAACGCTGAAGCCAGTCGCTCACAAATTGAACCTTACGATACAAGGCGATGGTGATGCATGGGACTTTTTGCCTTCAACCGCCGCTGCGAGTAGCAGTGGTGCGGGGAGGGTAGTGCTTTCCGATGCATTCGAATCAGCGCTCGAACCGGCACCCTTCACACCGCTTGGCGACGCTGCACCATGGAAGCTGTTGCAGGGAGTCATGCGTGCCGTGTGGAAGGACATCCTCGTCGCACCGGACGTCATGGGCGGCAACACAGACACCAAGTCTTACTGGGCTTTGACAAAGCACATCTTCCGATTCAGCCCAGGTTCGGACCGACCTTTCCCAATCGAGGGTGGAGACGAGAACATCCACACAGTCGACGAACGCGTTACGATCTACGGACTGGTCAAGTCGGTCGAGTTCTACAGTCTGTTGATTCAGGCAGTTGGGTCGCAGACGGAATTGTAGATGGCGTAAGCATGACGAATTGATGTCGTGGTAGAGATTGCCAATGCTAGATGCTGTGATAGACGTACATTTCCATGATTATTCACCGAGCCGTTGTCCGCCAGAACCCCAACTGTGTCCGGCACCTGTGCCGCTCTGAGACTCGCCCTCATCGTCACTGCCCTTCGCCTTTTCCTTGCCCTTCCCCGTCCCCCATCGCTGCTCGGCAACCGCTCCGCCACTGGAACTATGGTCTTCCTCCGCGTCACCCTCCTTGCCCTTTGCGTTGAGCTGACCGAACGTGAACGTGTTGCTCTGGTTCGCCGCAGCAGCGGTCTTTCTGAGATTGCTGGTCGAATCAGCTGCTGGACGAGCGTTGAGGCTTGTTGTGCCTGGCGTGTTTGAGCCTGCCGGTTTGGAGGATCGTTCCGCCGCGTTGCGACCGACGATGGACGAGGCTTGAGATGCGCGGAGTCGTCGTTCTGCGGCTGCTAGCATGTCTTCCCTGCTAGGACCGGTGGATGTGCGAGACGCGGAGGAGCCGCGGAAGGGGTTGATCGAGTTGATGGTGGAGCGTGCACCGGCTCCCAGTGCCGAAGCGATACTGGTGGGACGAGGCGTTGCGCTGGTGGAACGATCCGTGAGTCTATGGCCGCTGTCTCGCGAGGCGTTCCAGACGGTGCCACCTGCGACACGCCTTGCATTCCTATTGCCCATGTTCTGACCTGCCAGACTCGGATCGAGCGAGTCGGGCAACAAGGTGTGCAGGAAACCTGGCGTAGGGATGTAGCTGCCACCCCTGCCTCCACCTCTTCCACCGGCTCCACGCTGAGCAGGAAGCACCTGATCCAATACCCAATATGCGTATCCCGCCAACAAGCCTGTCCCGCTCGTCACCGCCAACCCTGGTCCCCCCTGCAACAAATCCAACCCTAAATACACGTACGGCAACCACCTACTCGGACAATTCACCATCCCGAAGAAGCTGACACTACTACTCGGGTTCGCCCTTGCCCAAACATACACCAGCGCATTCAGGAGCGGTCCGAAGAAGATGACCGAGCCGAGCGGGTAGTTCGCGGCCAAGATTAAGGTACCCATTACAAGCAATGACCAAGTGTAGTCTGCCGTACGTCGACCAAAGTGATTCAACTCGAGATCCGAGCTATTGCGATAGAGCAAGAAAACATCGAAGAGGAGCTTGAGCCCGCCTCCACCGAAAAAGAAGGAGGTGAAGATTCGATGGACGTGGAACTTGCGGATGACGAGTGGCCAGAAGAGGACGAAGCGGTAAGCGGAGGTGATTTGGAGGATGCAGGGTAGGGTGATGGCTCCGGTCGCAGCTAGCATGTAGCGTGTGACCGGAGGGATCTTGCGTATCTCGTCTATGGCTGACATTGTTGGTTGGTGCTGACGGAGGGAGGTGATACGAGGGTGGGGAAGTGGAAGGGGGAAGGAAGTATGCGGGGACAATGCTCAGCCAGGAACTGAGCAGTCGACGTGGCCCAAACTCACATTGAGACCTCCACCGCTCGAATTGTTCCAAAATGTTACATCGTCATGCGGCTCGAGGAAATGGAGTAAAAATTGGCGGGAAGGAAGAAGGACCCTGAAAAGCCAAATTTTGGATGCGATGTCGTTTTTGCGAAGGAAATTTTGGTTTGGCCGAGAGGCTTTCTTCGCACAGAAACTTTGCTGGTGGCGAACAGCACTTCAACGTACCTTTCAACAACCATCAACGACCTTCATACACCATGACGAGATACACAAAGCTCGACGGAAGGCGCTCGCTCGCCAAGAAGACCGTAGACTCGGATAGCGAACCCGAACTCGAGTCCACCGCACCTGTGACGCCTGCCAAGGTTGAGGTCCAACCTCCTGTCTCTGAGGCTGCGCTCGACACACCGTCCAAGGAAAAGAAGAAGAAGGACCAGAAGGAAAAGAAGGACAAAAAGGATAGGAAGAGCAAAGAGGACAAGACTGAGGATGACGATGCCACTGCCGCCGCTGATGATGCAGAGCCAAGAGATGACGTCGAATCTGCAGAGCCAGTCGCATCCACATCTGCCTCTGCCTCGACCGAAGTCGACGCAGACACCACCACCGTCGCAGCCGATCCCACAACCCCAGCTGCCGACGCCGAGCCACCAACGATCGAAAAGCTCCTCAAACGAGCCAAGCTGCTCAAACTGAAAGCCAAGAAAGCCAAAAACGAGGAAAGCAAGAAGCGGTTCCAACGCATGACGCGCGATATTGAGCGTCAAGTCGAGCAGATGTTTGGCTCGTTCGAGTATGGTCCCAAAGGTCAGCTCATTCGTCTTGGTGCAGCACAAAGCGACACCATGTGGCAGTCACGACAGAAAGGCGGAGATTGGTCCGCCCCTGCTTCCTCCCACTCTCTCGGCGGTGATGGCGGATGGGGTGCGCGTGGCGGTCAACACTCTTCTTCCTCCAACAACAACTTCAACTCTGACCGTTCATGGGGTAACAACAAGACGGACGACGAACGACGAATGGATCGAAGGGATGCACGTCGAGAAGAACGAGCGGAACAACGACAATCCAAACTCAAATGTTTCGCCTGTCGAGGCATGGGTCACTCGGCCAAAGACTGCCCCAACGCACTCGATGCGCAATCCATCTCACTCAAATCCGACACCGGTGGCACCACCACCGATTCGCCCATGATTGGTCGCGATGCAGTCGGCATCTGCTTCCGATGCGGCTCCACCGAACACACTCTCTCCAAATGTCGAAAACCCGCGCTCAAAAATGACGAGCTCCCCTACGCAACCTGCTTCATCTGCCACTCGAAAGGCCACCTCTCCTCGAAATGTCCCAACAACGCCGGTCGAGGTGTCTATCCTGAAGGTGGTTCGTGTAAGCTCTGTTCGAGCGTCGAACACTTGGCCAAGGACTGTCCTCTGGCTTTGAGGAATGAAGGAAAGAGTCACAAGATGGATCGTGAGGCCAAATCGTTGGTCAACCAGGTGATTGTAGGAAGCACAAAGGATTCCAGTCAAGCTGGAGGAGATGAGGACGATTTCCACAGTTTTGCGAGGAAGAGAGCTCAGGTGGATGGTGAGGCAAAGGCGGATAAGAGGGAGGGAAAGAGGCTCAAGAAGGACGCAAAGGTGGTTTCCTTCTGAACGCACCACCCATTCGAACCACATTTTCAGATGTTTGGTGAATAAGAGAAAGTCTATACCAGAACCGATTCATGACACAGATGTGATTACAAAGTTGAGAAGACGAGAAGTGGATCGATGATTTCTGCAGATGCGTGCTGATTCTTCAGCGAGATGTTTTAGGACATCTTGTACTCCATACGACCCGAGGAAGCGGTAGCGCCCTGAACCTGGTAGTCGATGGTGATATCCAGATCGCGGTTGTTCCTCTCGTTGGGGCGGCAGACCAGCTTGCCGCTAATCGCATCACCCTGGTTGACCGCCAAAACGTCCTTGGTGTAGAAGACGGTCTGCTTCCAGTGGGTGTATCTCGAGTGAGGACCGGTGCTGAACTGCACCGGCTTGTGGCAGGCGTCGAAGCTGATGTCGAACCAACCGAGGAAGGCGTGCACGTAGTCGTCTCGTGTTGCGTTGAGGGTGAAGTCGCATTCGAAGCTCAACTCTTCCTTTGTGATTGTGAGCAGGTCGAGCTGTTTGATGGGGTAAGGGTCGCAGACTACGCTCTTGATGTCGACGGTGTCGACGAGCGGTTCGCGTAGTGCAATGTCCTTGATGCAGGAGTAGTTGAATCCGTAAACGTCGTCCCAGAAACCGATCTTCTCGTCCTTGTACTCCTGGTCCTCAATGGCAGAGAGGTACATGGTGGCCTTGTCGGGGAACATCATTCCTCCCGGTGCAAGGTACTTGTCCCTCGCCATCAGCACCGTGTCGAGCATGCTCTCGTACAACAAGAAGTACCCCATCCACTCGCTGATGATAATGTCCACTTTACCGTTGGGTCCCAAGCCGAGATCAACCTCCTCGAGTTTGCCCTTGACGAGCGTGATGGTGTCCTTAAATCCATTCACCTCTGTGATGATCTTGGCCTGGTCAATGATGTTGGACATGTCGACACCGATGACCTTCTTAGCACCTGCCTTGGCAGCAAACATGCAGAGGATACCAGTACCGCATCCGACATCAAGAACGATCTTGTCCTTGAACAAGTGTGGGTTGTTGATAATCGAGTTGCGGTAGGAGCGTGTTCGGACTTCGTCCTTGAGCATCTCCTCGTGAATGCCAAAGTGAGCGTACGAGTCGGCGTAGTAGTCGCGCGATGTCATGTCGCCGGTGGAGGTGGACGCACCGGCGGCGGCTGCAGCCGCACCGTTGGTGGAAGTGGAAGCCATCTTGCTGTAGACGGTCGGAGCAGGGAGATGATTGAGATGGAAGAGAAGGTTGATCGTGCGTTAGCGGCAAGAAGAAAACACCGAATTGCGCACGAAGGATTCGTCGTCGTTTCGTCAAGAATTTCTCAGAGAAAAAGCTCAATTTTTTTGACGGCGGCTCGAGAGCACAGCGAAGGAAGATTTGGTGCAGCAAATTTCAGGGTTCGCTTTTTTTTTTTGGCCTGTTCAGTGGAGGCGAAAATAAATGGTTAAGATACATTGTAGCGATCTTACATGATTGGAAAAACGGGAGAAGCACGTTTCAGCAAGTGACGTCGCACGGCTCAGCTGCACGAGAACAACACCAAAACACTGCCTTCCCTTTCACACACCCACATGTTCGCTCCTTTTCCTCTTGATACCACACACTCGGCGACCATCGGCAAGATCATCATCACACCATAACACGAGATACCCCGATCCCAGTCACTCTGTCTGAGCGCGCATCTGCCAACAAGGAAGGGCATCACAAGCATCTATCAGCCGACTTGCCAAACCAATCTACTTGCCCGACCGCATAGCCACAAAGGTACCTCGCCTTGCTCAGCTCTACTTGAACATCTCTTCGTTACCTCGGCCGCTAGAGTCTAGACCCTACCTCTATCACAATGAACTCGCTCTACAATCAGGCATTGCGGCAGTTCTCGTCCATCCAATCCGACATATCCCGCATCGATTCTGAGGGCTCCGCCGCCTCTTCAACCGCATTCGGACCTGTCACCGTCTCCCTGTCATCCCTCGAGCGAACTATTGACGAATACGAGAACCTCGCCAAGAAGGAGCTCATCCAATCCAAGCAGGAGAAAGCGCTCACACGAGTCTCCAAGTTCCGAACCGACTACTCCGAGCTCTCCTCCCAACTCGCACGTCTCAAAACAAAAGGTTCGCTCTCCAACGGCAACCACTCCTCTCCCTCTGCTTCCTCCTCTTCAACAACGCTCCGGTCCCCTACCAACGCTGGTTTCGGTCAGAATGCAAACCGACGCGTGTCCGCCATTGCAGAATCACCGTTCAGCCTTCACGCCAGGAACTCCGCATCTTCACCCTTCAACGATCCACTAGCTGCGTACAAGATGAACGCTTCCGCCGCAGCCATGTTCGGCAACGAAGGGTTTTCGGCGAGGGAATCGCACGCGTTGAGGGAACACTCCTTCATCCAACAGACCGAAGCTCAGTTGGATGCCTTCATCGCACAGGGTAGAGAGGTCTTTGGCAACCTCGTGGAGCAAAGGGGCATCCTCAAGGGAACGCAAAAGAGACTCAGAGATGCTGCAAATACCTTGGGTCTCAGCAGAGACGTCATCGGCTATATTGAGAGGAGAAGCACTCAGGACAACGTCATCTTTGCAGTAGGTGCCATCTTCACGCTCGTTTGCTTTTGGTACATCTACAAGTGGCTCGGATGATAGTGCAATGGCCAACTTGATTGCAAGTTATGCGGTCCTAACACAAGTCACTTGTGATCTGCGAAACGTGGCGAGGGTAGCGTGATGCGTTGTGTTGTCTCAACCGTGAAAAGGTATTATTTCAATGAGTGCTCGAAACCATCCCAGATTGGCATCTAGAAACGACGCGGCAACAAAGGATACAAATCTAGGGAATCAGAACAGCATTGCAGAATTACACAGCGGTAACGTCCAGCCAACGATCATCGTCAATGAAGCAAGACGCACCAAGATGGCCTGACCAACACCTCACTTTCGGTACCAGAGAGTGGTCTTCCTGTTCCTCCTGATCTTCCTGTGCAACTGCAAGAACCCGTACAGAAGGGCCTCTGCAGTAGGTGGGCAACCCGGCACGTAAAGGTCCACTGGCACGATCCTGTCGCAACCCCTGACGACCGAGTACGAGTAGTGGTAGTATCCACCGCCGTTGGCACACGAGCCCATCGAAATCACCCAGCGAGGCTCGGGCATCTGGTCGTACACCTTCCTCAACGCTGGCGCCATCTTGTTGGTCAGAGTACCTGCGACGATCATGCAATCCGACTGACGAGGCGAGGCACGGAACACAACACCCAGACGATCCTGGTCGTATCGTGCGGTGGCAACGTGCATCATCTCTACGGCACAGCACGCAAGACCGAAAGTCATGGGCCAGAAACTCGACTGACGCGCCCAGTTTGCCATCTTGTCCATCGAAGAAAGGACGTATTCGACGCCGTTCTTGGGTTGCTCGAGCGAGAGCTGGTTGGAGCCGCGGTTGGCGACGGCCATGAGTGGCACGGGACCGTCTGGGCCAGCATCTTTGGCAGGGGCGGAAGAGGAGATGCTACGCGAGGTGCTGGGCTGTTGCTGCTGCTGCTTAGAAGGTCCTGCAACGGCAGCGGCAACCTTGGGAACAGACTTGATGGTTGATGTCTGGAACGACCGAGTCAAAGCCATTGAAGGCTTGGCCGAGAGACCTGTCGTCGTGCAAGGTAGGATACGTCGGAATGCAATTCGCACAATTGTCGAAGTTGATGATCGTCGGGAGAGGTGAAAATGGGAGGTTCGAGATGAACGATAGTGCGCGAATTCGTGATCAACAGTGTAGGTCAGGTGCGAAGACACAAAGCAATTGCGTGAACAAGAAGTAAAGTGGGAAACAAGTCAGCATTCAGCAAAGTCGAGTGCGTGTCGTAGTCAGTCGTGCGATGTTCGAACCGCTTCCACCTGCAAATACGTACCAACTCGAGAAAGCGAACGAAGAGCAGCCATGTTTGCAATGGTTCTGCTGCTTGCTGTTGGTGGAAGATGGTGGTGAAGGAAGTGGTGGTGGCGACGATGATGACGGTACCGAATGGAATTCCTGGGATGCGTGCGTACACTGTAAATTGTGGCTGCATACGCTGAGCAACCGCGAAAGCATTTCTCGACGATCTCATTACCAATCAACGCTGCCATTCTCGGTTCCGTCCGAAGCGCGCGAAAGCACGACTCGTGCGATAATCTGTTACTACATTTTTAGCAAAAACAGATGTCGACGTAACAGATTCTTTCTTTTTAAATAAATCAACGAGGAGTGGGACCTAACACCCGCCATTCCGTTCACGATACCTTCCCCAACCTCCTCATCCCCTTCCATGCGTAGCCGGCGCATGCTTTGATAGCTGATTGTCTTGACACACAACGTCGACGCTCCATTGAGGCAACACAGAATCGCTCTTTTCCATATCGATGTCATCATCTCACCCAAGTTCCTCGCCTGGCATGCTGATCCGTGCAAAGTGTCACTTCATCGTTCACCCTTCATCCAAGGCCTGCAATGAATTTCTCCCCCACCGTCAACCCTTCAGGTTACACTAGCCAATGGAAAGGGAGACTCGATCGATTCAACCGAAAGCTGGGAGAAGTGCTCGCAACAACACAATGCCACGATGGCCCGCGCGCGGTGCCTGGCATGAAATTCCCCTTTGTCCTGTGTAGCCAAGCCTTTGACTGGCCTCGGAGCATCTTTCTCAGGCTAGCGTTGAGGTTCAATGAGGATGGCCTCGGCAATCTGCTATTATCACACTTTGGTAGCGAACTGGACAATGACCGTCTGCGCTAGAGCGACACCTTCTAGCTCGACCACAGCAGCGAGCTTTGGACCTCCTAAAGTCAGTACCGTCTTAGTCTGATGTCATTGACCGCAAAAGCTGGGTTGCTGCAGACCATACACATGAGACGAGCCTTGCAAGCAATCTTCTATGGCAGTCTTCTACAGACAAGAGCCGAGATGCATCTGAAGCGAGAAATGCGCATCAGGTGCCCCAGCTTCTGAGCATATGCAAGGGTCTCAGGCACCTGTTGTTTTAACGTTTGCCGCGCATAAGTTAGTTCCACTTCCTTGTTGCATCGTTTAGAGCCGTCGCCCCTTGCATTCGTGCCAAAGCCTTCGCCGTCTCGCCTTCGCATCCTGTTTGGTTGCGTGCTTCGACTAGCTCCAGTCGATGCGAGCGATGTCCAATCTCGAACCGCACTGTGGTCTCCGTGTCATGTCCACGACCATGTCGAGTACGTACACTTGACCAGCATCTAGACTGGCGCCACCTTCGATGCGATTGCATGATTCACATGTGATTAGTACGGCGTTGCAAATGCATATGCTGTCGGATACGAATGGCCTTCAGCTAGAGGCCTTTGACAGTCGGCCATTCTCGATCTCGTATCCTTAAGCACCAAGAAGACATGAACTCGCAGCCCCGCGGCTCACCTCGACTGATGCGAGGAGTTCCGCAGCTTTACGTAAGAACTCGTTGGACGTCGTTCGTGCCTCGCCAGGATTCGCGCGTGCGCTACTGCAAACTCTCGTCCGAGCGAGGTCCAAGAGCCGCAGCAAGGAGCCGCATTAAAACTCTGGGAGCGAGGCTCGAACATGGCACGGTGATCACGCGCCCCTCGTGAGCATGTGCAGACACCGCATGCAAGGAGATCCGAGCGAACGAGAGCTGATCTGCAGCGGGAAGTCTTATTCGAGCCGCAAACGAGAAACTGGCAAGAATAAAGGCAGTCAAATCGACCAAGTCTCGGCCTAAGCTACGTCGTGCTGTTGAACAGAGCAATCCTTATCAAAGTGCAAAAGAAAGTCGACGACGAAGATTATTAGCCGCTTGGCAATGCTTCGTCGGTCCCGTACAGCTTACTTCGACGCAAACTGCTTTCTCGTTTATCCATGCTAGAGAGGAGCAACGCTGTGACACGGATGATGACACGCTTTGCGCTTGATCAGATCCAGATTTACAAGGACATGTATCTCCGTCTGCGCCGAGAATCAAGCTCAGCCATGCGACCAATATCGTCGTCGTGGGTGGACTGTTTGGCGCAAGAAAGAAAGCTCTGATCTGGAAACCATTGGGCGATTCGAGACCAAAAAGTACGGTGAGCCATTCAGCCCGTTCCGAGGCTTATCGCCTTGGTCGGGGTCACACGTACCTCGGCGAAATTTCGAACTCAACCAAAAACAAGGTTTCAGGAGGAACGGCTTTGAAGGCTCCGTGTGGGGGCTACCATGTGCCTTGCGTAATTCCTCATTGCCAATTTCGCTGTGGATCGTCTCGCGTTCCGTGCTTTGACGAGAGCTCCGATTGAAACTATATCGACGGCCTTTGCGCCTTTGTTGAGGGAATGGCGGCGTGCCTGCCTAGCAGCGACTCCGGCTTCTGGACCGGCGAGTGCTGAGAGATGATGGTGAGCGGTCGCCGACTGTCTGAGTCGCAGTACCACGAAGCGCACAATGGGCCCAGGTTACGACCCCTTTGTCCCCTTTGACAAAGAAAGAGAGCTCGGGTCGAGCTTGCGATGTCGTTTCTGTGGCGTACATCCACTCAGGCAAGGCCAGAGCAAGTGAAGGTCGAGGCTTGAAAGGGGCGCAATGTAGTGTGGCTGGCTGATGAACGATAACACCTTCATGAAACGGAGCTGAGGTGTCACAAAGTCCTTGGCGGACTATCGTCTTGCAACCGTAACAGCAACCTTAGACCCTCATCTCCAGAAACGTTCTGTCAAAGCATCAAACCATCGCGTACGTAGGTGAAGTCAGAGGGCAGCGAAAGTACTAGTGTGAGAGGAAGTGCGGGGGTACCAAATTGGCCTCCGCGCTGTACATCTGGCGCAAGGAATGAAAGGCACGTTCGCTTAGGCGGAGCATTTGACAATCATGGCCAATCTATGCACGGCGGAGGCAGAAATTGGAGATGCGAAACTGATGCAGAGCGGTAAAGCATGCCTATATTGCTCTGATGACTGCGGCAGAAGCCAATCCCGTAACGCTCTTGGCTTTGCCCTTGGAATTGGGAAGGCTCAGGAACGTGGAGGAGATAATGCACCTCCCCGTTCTTGCTTCGGATGGTGTAATGCCGTTGCCGGTCCCGTATCGCCCTAAAGACTTTACACCATCACCCGCAGAAAGGTGTCTTGCCTCTGGAACACCGTCAAATCCAGAGGGAGACCCATGCTAGCAAGCCTTGACCATCATTGGCAAACTTGCGAGTCAGTCAACAACGAGATTGGACTTCGGCTAAGCGATCTGCACGTCCCCGTTTCGGCCGCCGCGCTCCGCTCGATTTACCCTTCCGCTCATACCTACCAGCCACGCAGGAGACACATAGCCCCGAGCAGTTCGCTTTACCACTATATCTGCAATGACCGAGCCATTGTCACCTTCTAGACCCCCAAAATCCAGACCTGAGCGCGCCAGCGAAGATGAGGATAGACCGGTCGCCGAACCGCCACAGCCATCAGCGCAGTTTGAAGAAGATAGTCGTTGTCACGGGAACGCTAGGCGACAAAGCGGTCGCATCTACCAGCGGTGGTAGCGGTGGCTGCTTCATATGTCGTCGACATCCAGTTGGGGAATCTTTTTTGGTGTTGCATCTGAAAACGTCGTCGAGCACGATCACGGCAAATGCGGGGAAAAGAATAGGCGGTGCTGAATGGAGGTACACTAAAAATCGAAATATGCTTTCGGGCAAAACGTCGACTTTTCCGCCTAATGGCCTGCGAGACCTTTTGGTCGTGAAGCTCTTGTCAAACTTATGTGATCTCACATCCATTGCAGAACCTCGAATTTCCCACCTGTACCGAAGTTCTGACCTCTTCCAAAGTGAGACCGGGACCCTGAACCTCGGAAACAAGGCCGAGAGAGGCACTTTCGCGTCACGTCACGTCACGTCAAACGACGCGTTTCGATCTCGCGTAAATTAAGGCTTCTTTCTTTCGACCCGATTTCTCCAACTTTGGCAGATGCGCGCGCGCTGATCAGGCACCTGAGAAACCGCAAAGAGAGACAGAGACAAGGATCGACCGATCGACCACTGGAATGAGGATTGCATCCTGTCGCGGCGCACCCACGCGAGCAACCCATGCCACGGCATGCTGACGTCGTCGACAATTCTGCTCAGGCCGCAACATGCCAGAAACGGAAAAGCTGACAGGTCAGACGTACCAAGGCGGGCCGACCCTTCGACCTGCTTCGACTCATCCATCGCGTTCATCTTATGTTGCTTCGGGACTACTTACGGTGGTCTTTGAGATTCTCCGTTCCCTGCATTTTCAACGCTTGATGACGACGACATCGCCGAGCCACAGTGTTCTCACTCAACACGGTCCCCTAGCGTGTACGTTGATTTGTTCAGCTGAACCGGCGACGCATGCGAACCTTGTTTTTGAGCTCCCGAATCCGATCTCGCAGTCTGGAACATCGGAGGAAACGAAAGAAGACGTTCGATGCACCGAGCCGGAAGGATAGAGCTTGGTTCGCATCAAACGCAATATACTCCGGTTGGCCGACGTCGATGGCTACGGTTGATGAAACAGGGATCTGGCGATTTCATCGTGTGGCCGATGTGGCTGATATGATTGGCCAGATACATCAAAATCGAACCCATCGCGCAAATTCAGGCCCAGCTTCCAAATAATTGCCTCATTGCACAGCACGGGCTTCGATACTATCCGAATGTCGATCTGCAGGTGGTCACTTCTACTCGATCTTCCCGAGAACCTGGATGATGGATGGTAACGATCGATCTAGCCCTCAAAATGGAGCGTGCCGAATGCCAGGGGATACAGAAGAGCAAACAGCTGATGGGTTGGCGAAGCGTCCCTGTGACGGTGATAAGAGCGACAGATAGTTGCACGTGAACTGAACAGAAGCGATTCGGAGCATGCGACAGCGACGTCGAGCCGGGCACGAGAAAGGCAAGGAGAAAGGGCTAAGTAAATAATAATTCGCACGGACCGTACGTGCGCGGGCGAAAAAGCGCAACGAGGGACGCCGGTCATATCCGCTCGGGCAGCTGCTGGAATGCCTCTATGAGCATCACATGCCGGCTGTTGCCATGCATGCAGACAACAAAGAGAAGCGTATTCGCGCATAAGCGAGCATGTGCTTGGCCATCGACATTCTGCGATCACTTCGCGACGGATGCAACGCTCGCTTCATCGCGGATAAGACGACACTGCAGCACTCCAGCACCCCCGAATCGGCAAAGTGGGGCAGCAAAAGGAACCTGTACCGTCCGCTCGCTTAGGCAGTCGGCATGCACGTCAGAATTCGTACACCCACAGAGGACGCACGCGTTTCAGAAGCCAGCGAACGTGCTCGTCCGACCTCTTTCGGATGCCTGGGCCGATCATCGAGCCATCGGCAACGATTTGTGGCATGTCCTCCAATCCTCGAAAGGCAGACCATGTCAGAGCCGATGCGGTTGGACCACGGCTGCTCGGATCGAGCCCTCATCTCCAGCAGCCGATACTGAACTGAGGAGCAAAAGCGCCGAATTCGATTTCGAAAAGGGCGATGTCCAGCGTCCGCGAATGCCGCGATGGATGCAGTCCGCAACGGAGCCGCAGATTCTGAAATTTTTCGAGCCTCAGGTTAGCGATCATCACCCCGAGCATTGCCCCGTCATCAGATGCAGCCGTCATATCAATATCGCTGTCACGCCTTGCATGCTGCGCAAGCACCACTTTATGTACTAAAGAGCGTAGCGAGTTGCAACAAGCCAAGCCGAGTCTAAAAAGATGGACTGTCACGCTCGGATACGGTCAGCCGTATCTCCAACGAAGATGCAACGCGAACGGGCGGGCTGGCTGCAAGAAATGCGATTTCGCAGCGTCTTCTGCATCCGAGGACGCCGAGAATTCAAGTCCGAGACCTCGCCTGAACAAACTCGGTTTCGTCAATGCATCGTTAATGGCACGATGCAACTGCAGACCATCCCTTGAATAGTCTGGCGCCAGTCCGTCATCGTCGGAAGCTTTTGCGTAAGCGCGATGGGAAAGCCCAAGGAGACTCAAGGTTGCAAAAAGTAATGGTCTTACCAAGTCAGCGCGGCTTGGGCTTGCACCGAGACGGAACGAGCTTTGCTTTTCGTATTGCAGAAGAGGCCGAGCGATGACGGCTTATGCTCGGACAGAGGGAACGGAGGGGCGGGCGCTCTCTAAGGACGAGACGACCAAGCGCGGATAGCGGGGTAGCTTTGCAGGAGGCTGCAAGCGGCCATGAAGAGCCCGCGAGTTCCTGGAATTCGATTTTCGTGCTGATATTTGTTTTTAATTGTTTCCCTGCTCCCCGAGGCTCGAAACTTCTTTTTCATTGTACGCTCTGTTTCGTCGTGATGATCGAGATTCCTCTCCCCTGGCGTTTCAACCGAGATCGACGATGATTGCCGAGCTCATCTCTAGCCTAGCTTATTCTGTGTTCGTCCGCGTCGGTACCAAGGAGATCTTGCTCGTCGCAATGGTCGATCCAACAGTCAAGACGATCGTGGCATCGACCCCCTCCGTTCCCTAGGAGCGCATGCCAATCTCGTATCAGGGTTGCGCACGCAAAGCGGAGGTTGCCGTGCTTGCTCAGCGGGTTGAGCACAGGAGAGCTCACGGTTCGAGTCGAGGAATACCGCAAAATCAATTTTTCCGTTCGAGGGTCACAGTGTGTCCAAGCGCGAAAGTACAGACAACAAAAAGATGAAGAAAAGAAGACTTGGAGGCAGAAGCCACGACATGCAGAAGTCTGCGCCTCGTACCGCTGAGCTTCAAACTTGAAATCACTGCTGCACCAGCTGAACTTCAGCCGTCCTATGCGCGGCGAGCTAGAGACTGACAAGAGTGTACAGCGGATTGCCGGGACAGCCTGCCATGCTACCGACCGCCGAGGATCTTTCCCACACGATGACCACCGTCCACCCTCGCCTCGCAGACGAAGTGCGGCAATCGCTTAATTTCGATTGCCATTTTTTTAAACGTACGCTTTGTTCAAAGTTGAGACAGGCCTCACTTCCGGCCCTCACTGCCTGCTCATCAGGTACGAGCGAGCTGTTCTCCCACTCAAGCCTGTCTGTGATTCTCGAAGAATCCGACAGACCACAGTCTACGTGGTCTACGTTACGGTGATCAGAATCTTCTTGCTTTCAGGTGACCTGCGAGTTGAGCTTGTGTTACGCAAGTGGCATGGTGGCTCTGCATATAGTGCCAATAAGCTGCCATCTTCGCTTGTGGCTGGGCAGAGAAAGAGCATTGAAAATGGCGCTGCCCTTGCGTACACCGATCTTCGAGTTACATTTTCAATCTCAGACCCCGGATCCTCGCTTCTCGTTCAGCTTCTGCTCATTGCCCTTGGATTCCTTCCCCCACCCAGACATTCCACACCTCTTTCGTGATGGCTTTTCCGACGATCAGGAAATTTCCTGGGCCTGCAGCCACCTCGCTCTATTCAAGCAGGTTTTTTCCCGCTCCGCAGAGTGCGTTGCGTTCGCTTGGTTCCTTTCAGCCCCCCTGAATGTCTCTCTCCCTCCCACGCTCTCGCTTTGTACGAGCCCAGGCGGCCACTTATCCGCTCTCTCGATCCGCTCCTCCGCCCTTCTCGGCCTCCTGTCCGCTTGTGCGTCTTCGTCCGCCTCGCTCGGTCGTGGCGCTCCCTCTGCCGGACGGCGGTACAGTTGAACAGTGCAGTCGACTGGACGCCACCAGCCGCCGTCCACCGGTCGTAGGACATCATCAATTTGCCCCTCCGCTTCGGAGCTGGCATTCTCGATTTCCTGCATTCTTCGCTGGTTGCTCCACCCAACTCGCACTACTGTAAGTCGTGTCGCTAGTGTGCACGGCATTGATACCCAAACGATCTCGGAACGCCGTGCGGTGCACACTCTGATGCTCTAAGTTAGCTCGACGGGCTGCAGTTCGTGCGTACAGTGACTTGGCCGCATCTTGACAATCGCCCAACGACACCCAGACTATCGCATCGCTCTCCCCATGTCCGCCGCCTCACCCGTCTGTGCCTGCCTGCCAGTCCGCTACTCCGACCAGACGCCTGCACAAACTAAGACTCGCTCGATCCTCCTGTCAAGGTTCAAGCTTTGCGTGCCACTTGCTCGTCCATACCTCCTCTTGGTTGCCAATCTTAGCATCGTCCTTTCCGCCTTCCACCATATACGCCGACGTCGCCATCAGCTTCATCGCTCTCGCAACCACAGCACTTCTTCCCTGTGACAATTTCTTCTCATCTGCACCACTCAATAGCTTGTCGGCACCAACAGCCACCAACCCAGCAACCGCTGACAGCCTCTCATCACCTACGAGCAAAGTCTGTCTTCGATCAGGATCATCATCAAGCCTTCAATCCGAACTGGCAGCGTCTGGAACGTCTGCTCGCGTTCACTACGGCACAGCTTGTGACCACCGCTTTTGCCGCACTGTCTGCACAATCAACCAACGACCATTTCATCACTCGAGGCCATTCGCATTGACCCGCATCAGACCATTCAACTTTTGCACATGCCCTTGACCGCCGCATAACGACCATTTCCTGTGCGCTACCGCCTCGTTTCTCATGGTAAGATTCCCGTCCGTTTTGCTCGGGTGAGCATACAGCGTGATCATGGCAAGATGTGCTGACCTGTTGTCTCTATTTTGCTCACTGCTCCTCTTTGCGCTCGCAGATGCTCGCCTCTACCTTGAATCCACAAGCCACGGCGCTTCAGCAGCACATCAATGCCGCCGAAGGCGCCTGGAATCCCGCCGAAGATATGGACTGCGACGAGGACCAGATCCGCGCGGTCGCTCCTCTCAAAGGCAACTCTCTCGACCGCTCCGTCAACAATGTCATGAGCAACATGGCTTCATCTCAGTCAACCCACTCCATTTCTTCATCAAGTAGCTCCGGCGACTTTGAGCCCGAACTTAGCCAGTCGCTCGGCTCCGTCTCGAGCTTCGACCTTCGCACACCCCTCAAGCCCAGCCTTGCGGCAAATCACCTCTACGACCCCAATGAGTCCTTCAATAGCCTCGGTCTTCACAAGCAGACCGCACCGGTCGCACAACGTCCTACGAAGAACATGCTCGCCGAAGCTCTCGCTGCACGAAAGGTCCGCCCCACCTCCAACCCATCCGACATGACTTCTGCCGAGGACGCCTCGCCAGCCCCATCAGCACAAGCGCCTGCATCATTCACACAGGAAGTCTCTCCCAAGAGCCAGACATCGAGCGCGGCCCGAGCCTTCCCCATCGCCGCACCCTCCTCTCCGCTCAATCGTCCTAACAAGCCAAAGCTCACTCTTCCTACCTTGGCACCCTCGGCTTTTGCCCGACCAAACTTTCCTCAAACCCCCAACGGAACGCTCTTCTTTGGCGCTCGCGATGGCGCCGCCACAGGTGCACCGGTCAGCCCCTTCATGCCACCGACTCCTCTCGTGGCCTCCATGATGGAGGCAGAGCAGAACAAGCGTGCTTCTGAGGCTGAACAACGCAACAGTCCCATCTCGCCTCAACTGCCTCGCGCTTCGTTGCCCTTCCCCATGACTTCGACGCCTCGTCAGGTCAGGCCAGTGCGCGCTCCTCTCCAGCGACATGGCTCGCTTGGCATGTCGCCTCTGTCGCGTGAGTTCGCCAGCGTCAGCATGCGAGGCAAGTCCAAGAGCAACGAGAATCCCTCCTCTACCGGATCGCCCATCCCGCGCAGAGCACAGGAGCTCTCTGCCGGTCGCAACGCAGGCTCCCCCTCGACGCTCCTTACTCCTCCGTATTCGCCGCTGGCATTGGCAAAGAGCTTGCCTGAAGAGGCCTCGGTGATGGCACAACGGAGGTCGAGCAGCCCCAGCAGCGTCTCATCTTCAAGCAGCAAGAAGCTGAGAGCCAAGGAGAGCCTGCTCGGCGGAGGCGCTGATTTGTCGCGATCGTTCAGCGCCAACCGCTTCAAGTCGAACACACGTCCGAAAGCGGTGCCGAAACCTTTCAATCTTGACAAGGCCTTCCCCGCCGATGCGCAAAACCTCAATGCCACCTCGGTGAGCCCGCAGCCTCTCTCGGCGCCGGCCATGAAGATCTCTTTCGCCGATGACGATACCGAGATCGAGGTCGACCAGCGCTTGAGTCCAGAGCCCATGGTTCCCGAACAAGCCGACGCTTACTCGGACGTCGTCCCAGCGCAGCCAATCGCTGACTCTTCGCTGCTGTCGCCATGCGACGCGCTTAAAGCGACCTCCATGGAGAAGTCTTTCAGCGCTCCCTTGCCGCCCGCACAGACCGTGTCGGCGAAACAACTCGCTGACCACGAGCTGCACCCTCGCTTCGATGCAAATTACACAATCGGAGACGAGCTTGGCAGCGGTGGGTTCGGATTCGTCGTCGCCGCCAAGCGCAACACTGATGGCTTGCCTGTAGCTGTCAAGTTCATCTTCAAGAACAAGGTGCCCGCCCACGGCTGGGTGCGTGACCCCAAGCTGGGCGTCATCCCGATGGAAGCCTTTGTGCTCAAGGTGGTCGACCACCCTGGTGTAGTCAAGTTCATCGATCTGTTTGATGACCACAAGTTCTTCTATCTGGTCATGGAGTTGCACGGTACGCCTTGGCAGCCACCCGCACCCGAACCTGTTGCACCAACAAAGGCGCTCCGTCCAGCACCGATGATGCGTCGAACCAGCCGGGATCTGTTCGAGTGCATCGAGCAGCACTCGAGGTTGACCGAGGAGCAGGCACGCTGGGTCTTTGCCCAGGTCGTCGAGACCGTATGGCACCTTGACCGCATCGGCATCTGCCATCGCGACATCAAGGACGAAAACTGCGTCGTCGATGCCGACTTTAACGTCAAGCTCATCGACTTTGGCTCTGCGGTCATCACCGATGTCCGCAAGCCTCAGCCTTACTTCAACCGCTTCTTCGGTACCATGACGTTTGCCAGCCCCGAGATTCTTCAGGGTCAACCGTACCGCGCACCACATGCCGAGATTTGGTCCCTCGGCGTGCTGCTTTCCATCCTGCTCAGTGGTCAGTGTCCCTTTGCCGATCCGGCTGCTGCGATCAAGGGTCAGATCAGCAAGCCAAAGGGTGCTTGGTCGTCCGATGCGCTGAACCTGCTGTTGATGTGCCTCGAAGTGGACACTGAGCGTCGAGCGACGATCGCTCAGATCCGAGACCATCCTTGGGTCCACAGGGCTTGGAAGGAACGAGCTGCCAAGCTTCAAAAACAATCCTCTTCTCTCTAGAAGACTCCGCCAATCTACCGTTGGCAACACTTTTTCCTTTCACTCGTCGTTTTCAAACTGCATTGCATACTCTCTCTACCATTGTCGTCTCTAGCATCTTTCTGCATCTTGCGTTATCACTCACTGTCTCTACTGGATTACTGTATTCTATGTTTTACGTCGTAACTTTCTTTGCTTGTCTTTCATGGGCGTCTGATGACGATGGTGAGACTGGCACTGTGAGAATGATGAGATCGTCAGCTTCTCTGTGACTTTCTCGTTTTCCGATTGTCCGTCTGAGCCATGCGTCGCAGGCAACTTCCGTTCGAGCGAGTGATGACTTGGTCGGGCTTGTAACATGCACACTTCGTGGCTCACACACCAAGAGACAGGCGACTCGATCAAGGAATCAGTTCTGAGAAGATGAGCAATTGAACTTTTTATCATTGCACACGACTTTCCTCTATCCTTGTTGAGCGCCGTCCGACACCGTTCAGATCTGCAAGCTACTCAGACCCTTTTGAATACCGCCTACAGGCGTACCCTGAGCAACGGAAAAGACACACAGTCGACCATCGACGCCGGAAGTGCTGACCTGGTCCACCGCACCCTTACCCCCCGAAAAGGGTCTGACGCTGGTGATAGTATTCTGGTGGGTAGTGTGCAGCTCGCCATCCGCACCAACGCTGGCGCCTGCGACAGCCCCGAGTGCACCAGCGACACTTGCACCTCCACCCGGGGTGAGCACTGCGGGCGAAGAGGATCCACCGCGACTGTCGGCAGATTTGAACCTGTTGAAAGCTTCGTTGTTGAGTCTACCTGGACCAGCCAGGCCGGGAGCCTTGGGTGGAGGAGGAGGTGGTGCACCTTTCGAAGCGGCTGCTCCGGCCGCATCGAGCGATTTGACGATGGACCAGCCGGATTGAGCCTCTCCTTGGAAGAGGACGGGTTGGCAGTCGTGACCTGCTGCGATGAGCTGGTTCTCGCTCACGAACGTCAGTGTGACGTAAGGGAGGGTGGGAGAGCGAATGACGTGCACTGCGGCAGGGGGCTGTTCGGGACCGCTGGGGTATACAACGGTCAAGCTGGAGTCGTGACCAACAAAGGCAAGAACATCGCCGCTAGGGCTGAAGCTGATGCCTTCGACCCATCCACCGCTGGGGGTGGAGTACTCGCCGCAGACAGTTCCAAAAGGCAGTCTTTCACCCCAGACGCTCGGAGGAGGTTTAGCATCCACGCCCTTGATGTAGGCGCTGAACACCCTCGCTTTCATGTCGGCACATCCAGCAGCGAGGAGCACATTGTTCTCGTGCCAATCGAGCGAGAGAACCGTCGACCTCAAGGGACGCTTGATGTGCTTGGCAACCCACCAGTCGTTGTCCTCTTCGAACGAGCAGATGCTGATGATACGTGCACCCGAAGCAACGGCAAATTTGTCCTCGCTTGGACTCCAACGGACGAAAGTAGCAGCGCGGTTGAGACGCAGCAAAACGAGGGTGGGCTTCCACACCTGAGCGCCGGTCTGCGAGTCGGGCTGGAGCTGCCAGACGTAAGCGTTGCGGTCCTGGGAGCAGGTGACGATGCGGTTGGACTGAGGGGCCCAGTCGATACCAGTGACAAGCTTGTCGTGCTCAGCGAGCGTGTGCTCGAGTGTCCATCCGGAAGGAGATTGAGCGTAGATGTGGACGACGTTCGAGTTGGGAGAGACGGCAACTTTGGTGCGGTCAGCATTGAAGGAGTGAGCGGTGAGGGGGCCCAGCGAAAGCTGGTGGACCTGGGTAGCCATGTTGAACGAAAAGGGATGTTGCTGAAAGGACTAGCAGTCAACTTCCAGAGGTTTTAGACAAGCGGGGTTGAGAGAGGCAGTTGGAAGAGAGATGATGTAGAGGAAAGGGGACGAAGTGGAGCAGGGTGCGATTGGCGTGACCTCGATGGATGGCCCATCCGCACAGCCCAACTTCCTCCGTCATTGCGCCTGGCTTTGGCTCCACGCGACCGCACACCAAATCGACCCGATCCAGCTCAAATCGGAAAATGAAAAATCGGCTCCGATCTGCGTGTAAGGCAATTTTCGACTTTGCACTTTCTTCCGATTCTTGATCCTTCCCACCTCGACTGGAATAACGAAGACGTTCATCGTCATCACCATTGAAACACGTTCACCACCATCACACACACAAAATGACCTGCGTTCCTCCGCTTCGAGGCTCCCTCGGCCTGCTGCGCCATCAGGCCGCTGCACTTGTCGGTCCCAGCAGTGCTTCCCGCACTTTTGTGACTACGGCTGTCGCATCTGCAGCAGCCAAGAAGGCAGCACCAGTCAAGAAGAAGGCAGTCGTCAAGAAGAAATCAGCACACTCGGGACCACGATCCACTGGCGGTCGTCGCAAAGGTGGTGCCGACTCGTCTGCTGGTCTCTCCAAGACATCCGAATTCCACGTCGACGCACCCGACATGTCGCACCTCCCGCTCCTCCACGCCGAAGCTCTTACTGCCACCTCCGCCGGGCAGACATTTGCGTTCAGTGACCAGACGCTTTCCGCATTCAAAGCCTTTGGGCTGCCACAGGAGCTCGAACGAGAACTCGCAACGCAACCCAAACCTCGCTCCTTGGTTCGCAAACAGACGCTGGATCTGTTGGATAAGCTCGATGCCGCATCCAAGGCCAAGAAGGGCACAAGCATTGTATTGGACGGAAGCAGGGGCAGCGGCAAATCGATGCTACTAGCACAGTCGATTGCATACGCTTTGGATGATGGTTGGGTGGTCATCTCGGTACCGAGGGCCATCAATCTGATCAACTCGTCGACATTATACACTTACAGCGCTCAACACAAGGCCTACCTCCAACCCGAGGCCACCACCCAGCTGCTGGACGCTGTACTCAAAGTCAATGGCGCCGCATTGAAACAAATCAAGACCAAAGAGGCTGTCGAGCTGGACGGAAGCAAGGTGGACGCAGGAACACCCCTTGAAACGCTCCTCAAGCGCGGCGTCGACGAGTCGAGTTCGGCCGCAACTAAGCAGACGGTACTGGAAGCAATGTTCAAGACGCTCTCGAGTCAAACGGAGCGTCCTCTCCTCGTAGCGGTTGACGATGCACAAGCTCTCTTCCGTACATCACTTTACAAAGATCCCGACTTCATCAACCTCGAGTCGTTCGAGCTTGGTCTTCCCCGCGCCTTGCTCTCCCTCCTCACTTCATCCTCTTCCGCCATTAGCCGAGGAGCTTTCATCGGAGCACTTTCCACGACACACACCGAGTTCCTCCCTCCGCCCGAACTGCAAATCGCTCTTTCCGAAAAGTCTTCTTCCGACGGAACGGCAAAGTTGATGACGCAGGCCATCAACGCATACACCAAGCTCAACCCACAACATCTCGAACACGCCCGCACTGTGGCAAAGAGGGCCGATGTGGTAGACACCTCCAACCCACTCAGCAAGGATGAAGCTGCTGCGATCTTTGCTCAGCTTAAGGACGAGAGGAGACACTGGACCGCCGTGAACGACGAATTGTTCCTGGAGAAGCTGGTCGAGTCGAACGGCAATGCTAGGTTGTTTAGCAAGAGCCTTGTTTCGACGCTTTTGTAAAGTAGATTGAAAGAAACTTGACTCGATCAAACTGTCTGTCTTGGAAGCTTGAACTTCTTCCGCACATGGCTTTGAGCGAGTCGCAATCGATCGGCAATGGAACATGGGGTGAGCCTGTCTATACAGAAAGAGTCACTATGGGCGCCTTTCGTGGTGTGAACGTCCGTCACATTTTCAGGTCGAGATTGTTAGACCTGTAGAGTCACTGTAAGTAGTTAATTTTTTGAAAAGTGTTGGTCTCGGCGTGCAAAGGGTGCGCGCGGCGTGTGTTGTTGTCGCTTGCTTCCTTTTTTTGGTTCTAGCGAGCATGCGCACGCACCGACACGCAGCAAGCACATTGCAACACGGCGTGGCGCAGTGCCGCGCAGTGCAGCCAGCAGAACGGCGTGTTAATAAGCTTTCTGGCAGAACAGATCTGTTGTGTTCGAGATGAGATGCTCCCTGAAGAGCTCCTGCAACGAGTTTTGCCACTCTACACACCACCGCCTCTGGACGCTCACCCATCGCTATCTTCGACGACTATTGACGGCTGTCAAATCGCTCAAGACACAGCACAACCCAGTGACGAGCGGACCTCCAGGTGCTGATCCGCAACCAAGGTGTGCAGTTTCCTCTGCTCATCGGTAGCCCCGAAGAGGCTCATTGAGGTGTCGCACGCTCGTCGACGACCATCGGAAGCAGCCCGTCTTGCCATCACGACCGACCCGGCAGCACGTGCCGTTTCAACCTGACAGCGCATATGCGAGTCCATCAGATGTGCTTTGTTCGATCCACACAAACCCGATCACAGTCATGGCTGTTCTGACAAGCTCGTCGATTCCTTCGGGATCACAATCAGGATCATCCTCCCACGACTCTGGCCCGTCCACGGTCCCCTTCCGTGCCTCTTCGGTGCCCAAGTCACGCAAAGAGAAAGCAGCGTCGGCGGCGCAGCATCCATCGCCTAGCCCGACTGCCTCATCTTACTCGACGTGGCTTCTTCTCGACGCAGACGAACATGCACTGCCCTTTCTCCGCACGTTTCACCCAAGCTCTTCAAAGCAGAGACGCCTTGCAAATGGCGCCTCGTCGCCTGCCGCACGGAGTTCGGAGAAACTCACCGAGTCCACCAACACTGCCTCTACTAGGTCAGCCTCGGCCAGCTCGAAAGTGCGCTCCCAGGCGAGTAAGTACGAACATGGTCTCGCGTCCTCTTCCGCAGCAAGCGAGGTGGTCGACAACGAAAAAGACAGGAGAATGTCACTGCAGAACCAAGGTAGCAGCGCTACCAGCAGCGGCAAGCGAGGCTTCATGTCTCGTCTGAGAGCGGCTGGTGGCAGTGTGTCCGGTGCACATGTGTTTCAACCACCATCGACTGCAATGACCACTTCGGGGAGCTGGTCGATAGTCGAACCTCCGGCACATATCAAGGAGCTTCCGGATGTGCGTGGACCAACGCGCACAGTACACCTCGCCTTCACGACTTGCGCCGACGAAAACGCAGTTGTTCAGGCGAACGGGCTGGTGGGTAGAGCATCGTCATTGCTGCCGCCAAGTCCAACGTCGGTACAAACAGTGTCGAATGAGACCGTTCACTCGACACGTCTGGATGTCGCAGGCTTAGCGAGCCTCGTCTCAACGACAAACGTGGAAGCCATCTACATCGGATCCGCACGATCCACATCTGGCAAAGAAGCAATGAGGCCATACCTGGACGCTCTGTTGGCTCCTGCAAGCACCACCTTGAAGCTTGTCATCTTCGAGCCGACAGTAGTGCGCCAGCTGACTCCGGAAGATGCATCGGCGCTGTACGATGCGGCGCAACGTCGCAACATTGCACTTTTGCTTCCAACACGATGGACGTCACTATGGACGACGAGCGTCGAAGAGACCCTCCTCGGACTCGAAATTTTGCAGGACCTGCACGAGGAACGCGACCAAGGACAGGAAGCATCTGGGTCATCCACCGCAAACGGCGATGCGGATGTCAGTGTGGACAAGAGCTTTGACGTCAGCATGTCGAATATTCCGACAGGACTGTCGGGCGAAGGCCTGGGCCAGGCAGCAGAATTAGGAACGCTCAGAACGCAGATCGAACAGCTCAAAAGGGACTTGGCAAGTCGGGAGAGGAGAAACCTTGAGCTCGCGAAGCACATTGAACAACAGGACAAAGAGCTGCAAGAGCATAAAACAAAGACAGAGGCGTTGGAGTCGAGATTGAAGCCCGTCTCTTCTGCGCTAGCGGAGCCAACCACACCGTCGCGCTCGGCTGCTGCTGCAAGTCAAGCCGTAACGCCCGACACGCAGACGCAGTCTGGAGCAGTGCCCGTCAGAGACGCCGCTGCCATCACCGATCGCACGCCTAGCTCTCAGCTCAACCCAACGCCAGCCACCCATCTCGCCTCCGGTTCGTCTCCATCGCCGTCACTGCCTGTACCGAGCACGTCTCAGCAATTGGCAGCTGCCATCGCTTCCCCCTCTGACACTACCTCAGCCGCCACGGATCCGTCGCTTGCACCAGCTGCACCGATTACCCCTGACCTATCTTCTCCGTCTCGCCTACCCGTCAGCCCCCATTCACCCACTGCATCGCCAAACTCTTCGCGCTCATCCTCCAAAGTAATCGCCTCACTCACCAACGAGCTCTCCGAAACGAAAGCGCTGCTCGAGGCAACACGTGTGGCGCTCAACACGGTCAGAACCCAGTCTGCTTCCTACCAAGCAGCAGCAGACGAGATGCGATCCACACTGTCGCGTGCCAGACTGGAGAACGATAGCTCCGTAACGATACTCGCGCGCAAGGATCGACAAGTCTCGGAAGCTCTGGAGCGAGCGCGCAAAGCCGAGGGGGAGGCAAAAGAATTAGGACGAGCATCTCGAGAATGGGGTACAAGGATTCGCGAAGTGGAAGAGGAGCTAGGAAAGGAAAGGATGAAACGCAGTCGGGCTGAACAGCAGTACGAAACCTTGGGAAGCGAGTGGAAGGTCGCTCGCTCACGACTCATCGAAGAAGTGCGCCAGTTGCGCGAGGAACATCGAAAAGCCGTAGACGGACTCAAAGACGAATACGCAAAAGTGTTGGTATTCAAGCAAGATCTCGTCAAAGAATCCTCCCTCCTCACCACCTCCTCCGAAGGCGACACCGTAGTCGCACCCACCAAACTCATCTCCCAACTCTCCCAACTAAACGACCAAATGACATCCTACATCAACTCGCAACTCCAACCGCTCCTCACCCAACTCACCAAATTCGAGAAGCGCGAAAACACAGAGGTCATCCAGAAGCTCCAGTACCTCACCGACGAGCTCACCAGGATCAAAACGCTCATGCGCAGAGGCGACATCACCGACGCCAAACAGGTTCCCCCCGGTCCGTTGTAACAATGCAAGCGAGTGTATCCGATCCGGCCCGGAAGCATAGGCACAAGCCCGATTCTGTGTTTTAAGTCGTGCCAGAGCGTGCGTTCATCGAGTGTCGACGTGTCCGAGAAACGCTCTGGCCGCCTTCCAACTCTTCGATCGCTCAACGGCGTGCACCCCATGAGCTGAGATCACACACCTCCTCCCGCACATCGCTCGACACGGCAACCTGACGTTCAAAAGCACCTTTGGAAAAAGAATGAGGAGCGGGGCTTATTTTACACGATAGAAAGGCGAACACCATCTGTAGCTTGATGAGTTTAAGTTTTTTTGATCTGCTCGCAAGATGCGTCTTTCGGGCTGGTCACGGTGACGGTTCCGAGTCTCGTCAATCTTGATTCGTGTGAGACAAGGAAGAAACAGCGACCGGATAGCAAAGGCCCTTGGCCACTTCACTTGGTCTGAGTTCTTCAGGGCGCACCGCCCGATGCAAGGCGCATCTTCTCCTGCTCGAGTCTCTGATACAGCAGCGAAACAGCCATCTGAATGTTGGGCGGTGGTCCGGTGATCGTGACAAGCCTCTCGTTGCCACTGCCTCCTGCAGCAATGCCCGCACCGGGCTCCATGATCTTGATGTGGCTGGCGCTCATGCTCCTGATCTCATTGATCTTGGAGCCTCCCTTGCCGATGATGCAGCCGACAAGGTCGTTGGGGATAAAGATTTGCTGTGTCTGCGAGCCAGGTGGCAACTGCGGTGCTCCACCAGCACCGGCAGGAGCCGCACCAAAGGCAGGCGCCGGTGCTCCGTACCCGAACGGCTGCTGAGGGGCTGCGTACGGGTTGGCTCCAGGCGCGGGGGGTCGGGTGGATGGACCGCCAGCGGTAGGACGGTACGGAAGGTTGTTGGCGTTGCGGTCCTGGTGCTCGAGCAAGATGGTACCGACGTAGTAGACTGCGATGTGGACGGCGTCTGCAACACCAGAGATGGAGAGAACACGCTCGGTGGAACCCGGGAGCATGGCTTCGCCGGCGGTGAGACGGGCACCCGAGGCCTCCTGGATCTCTTTGATCTTGGACCCTTGCTTGCCGATGACGGAACCCATGCGCGAGTTGGGCACGATGAAGCGGATGGTGACCGATTTGGAGCCGGGGACCGATGCTTGATCAAAGGGCTCGTCGTTGATCCTGCGGACAATGAGACCGAAAGCCTGTTAAGCGGGATAGAAAATGAAAAGTCGAGTCAGCTGGAGCCCATAAGGTGCGTGCCGCGGGCGCATCAGCGCGAAGAATTGGGACCTTGAGATGACTTACCTTGCTGACAGCATCCAGGGGACCAGAGACGGTCAAGATACGCTCGGGGTTGCCGGGGATGATCTCGCTCTGCGATTTGAGAACGAAAGACAAGGACGAGTCAGACGGACATTCCCTCGATCCTTCGACATGTCATGATGGCACACTTACGATGTTGAGGCGGGCATTGCTCTTGTCGCGGATCTCGTTGATGTGCTTGCCGGACTTTCCGATGATGATGCTGGCATCGCTGGTCACGATCAAGGTTCGCAACGAGATCTGGGTCGCCTGTGTCTCGGACGAGTCGCCGACGCTGCCAGCACTGCCAGCAGCCTGGTTGCCGTCCTGACCATTCGAAACGGAGCCGTTATCGCCCTTGATGTCGCTGCTGGAGGTGACATCCCCGGTCACGGAGCCAAGATCGACGGCGTCTTTCTCCTCGGAGCCTGACTTTGTCGGAGTATCGGATGCCATCTTTTTCGCGGCGCTGATGGGAGAGGAAGGTGTGTTTGCTTCGCCGTTGTTATTGGCGTCTACGTTGGGGCGCTTAGCGTCGGGCTCGGGAGTGCTGGATGTGTCTCGTTGGCGCTTTGCGACTTCTGACATGGTTTGACCGTGGAAGGCAGAGAAAGGGAGGACTTGGAATGATCAGTAATCACGGTCCAGCCTTAGTGCGGCACTAAATGGAAGGATTTGAGGTAGGAAGAGAGAGGCGACGTTGAGCGGATCCAGCCGGAATCCAGGAGAGAAGGGAGGTAGAGGTGGCTGTGGTTGTGAGCTGGGACGGAAAGTGTGATTGCGTACGACTGTAGAAGATGAGCAGCGGTACGTGCAGCGGGGAGGCAGGAAAGCCAGCGGGAAGAGGGGAAGGGCAGATGGTCTGTTTCAGCGTCTGTGAAAGCGAAAGGGATGATAACGGGAATTGGGAAGGGAGTGCGGAATGCTGAGCGTAGATCGGAGCCGCGAATGATACTGGCAATAATGCGTTCGAAGTCTGCTTTGTCGGAAATGGAAGCGACTGTCCTTGGAAAGGCGACCGCGCAATAGGAAGCGGTGTAAGGACCTTTGCCGTGCGCGTGGATGGTGACGACGAGCGCGAAGGCGCCAAGCATGCGAACGGAAGTGTCCTACATCGGCCAGATTGCTGTATGCCGGAAAAGGAGCTCGAAGGAACGGTGCGTGGCGGATGAGAGAGAGGAGGAAGCGACTACTTACCTTAGAATGACTGCCGCTAATGCAAGGTATGGCAAATGACAATGGATCGGGTCACTTGCGTTGGGGCTGCTTGGATGGGAGAATCGAAGAGAACGACGTGTGATGAACTTCGACGAGCAAAGGGAAGACAGAGTCTACTCTCGAGGATGGAAGATGAAAGACGGACCGGTGGTCGACTTTTGCTTTCGTAGGAGCTTGGTCGAAAGAGAGTTGCAAGTCAAGGAAAAGGATCGAGACGAGGGAACGGATCGATAGACAGAGCCGATATCGCGTGGAGGTCGTCGAAGAGGGATGCGTAAGTGAGGGAGATGGCAATCTGCTCAGAGCGGAGGAGGTGAGGATGATGGCGACGATGAGATGGAGTCGTTGCTAAGAAGGGCCTAAAACGAAGGCTGGGCGGGCCTGGCTTTGCGTACGTAGCCTGCTGTGGGCCCAAGTGCAGAAGAAGAAGGAAAAAGCACAAGCTTGCGTTTGCGCGCTTTGCCTCTGCAACATGGCTCAAAGGTGACCGACCGAATTCTAAGGTCTACGCTTTCGCAACAACCGCAGGATTACAATTTTCTCTATTTTCCCCTTCTGCCATACACGGACGGGTCTTCCAGAAATACAAAAGTTGTGCGTACGCGAAGCTTTGTTCGCTGCGTGGAAGCCTGCCTGTTCCTGAAGAGAGCTTTGCAAGCCTTGTATGTACTTTCTCGCAAAGGCAACTGGCTGTGATCGCGTGGGCAGACCCTGAGACCTTTAGACATGCTTCTCTCATCAGCATAGGTCATCACTACCGACCATGGGCGAATGTGTTGTCAGACGATAGCCAAAGAGCGATCCCGGACGGCCCTCGACTCACAGAATTGCGTCGGCCACGCCGCTCTGGTTTGGTTTGCAATGCTCGCACTGCTTCAGTCTTGCTTTTGCCTTCGCTGCGAGCGTGTCGACGTCAAACTTAGTGTACGAATCAAGGGCGCAGCCGTTCGTGTATGTGATGTGGCTCGGAGGTGCCGAGGCTCTGGGCATGAGAGGCTTCCTTCGGAACGCAACCGAAGCACGCGCTACGGCGACCCTGCGGCCACCCTCCGACGCCAGAGCGCTTTCAGCTTCGAGTCGCAAACGATGTGATATGTATGCCTGGAGAAACAAAGGACTGATTGATGCTAATATACAACGGCATTGCGCATGCCTTGGAGAATGATACGATTTGGTCGGATATACGTGGGTTTTGTCTTGATCTGCACCGCTTTACCTGCGGATCGGAGGTCGTGCACCGGAAGCACCGCCGCTGCTTGGACCGGACGACCCACCTCTTCCACGTCGTGCTTGCGCTAAAGATAAGAGGAAGTAGCCGATTGTCAGTATTTGGATGCCCAAAGATGAAAACGGAGATATCTGAGGCAACACTTACCTCTGAGGATTGTCGCACGACCGCGTGCACTTCCGATACCACGTCCCTTCATCGCGTTGGGCCCGATGCGCTTGAACATTGGTGCCTGCTGCAGCATGTCAGGTACGATGATGAACCGAAGCATATTGCCACGAATGTATACGTTTTCGAGGTGTGACTGCTTGCCGTCCGGCGCTGTGACTGCGATGTCCTTCATCGCAATGTTGAAGTTGTCCTCGGCTGTTCAGTGCGGGTATATCGGCACAAGGATAGCATGGTTCAAGAGATGTCAGTGGTCTGATATACCGAAGCAAAACTTCCAACGGTGAGGGGGTTGTCACTTACCATCATAGAGGGTTCCTCGATATGCTGCTCCACCTTTGAGCTCGACAGTGATGACGTGGCCGACCGCCTCGTGAATGAGCTTGACTGGGATGCCGATCGTTCCCATCGTGACTGTGTAGTACCGGTCGGAGTCGCTGCCGAATGGTACGCAAGCGTGTCGTAAGAGCAAGAAGCGAAGCCGATCGAAAAGGTGGATGAGGATCGAGTGTGCAGCGTTAGCAACATGCGCTTCTCGAGCTTCGACTTCGCTTGTGTGATGCGCAGACAAGACGCGAGATCCGAAAACCTTCCCAGGCCCCGATTCCAACCACGGCACCACCGATTCGCTGGAAATTCAACATCCGCTGCCGCGCATTTGTTTCAAGACGATTCTACTGTTCACCCGACCAATATCGAAATTCGAGGCAGCAGAGTGCAACGCAGACAGGAGCAGTTGATGCAGCGGCCGTGCATCAAACTTTCCTTCCCTCTGCGCTGATATTGCCAGCCGACTGTCGAAGATGTGTGCCGCTCGCTGAGCCAACCTTGCTTCGGAGCCTCCATCTGCCACGGTTATCATCGGCCCACCTATTCTCAAGGGCCAACTCGGATCTACCGTCGCTATCATCGGACCTTCCTGAATCTAAGGATGGCTTTCTACAGCGCAGGGCCGCTCTCACCGGGCTACAACTCCACCTCGGCTTGGGGAGGCAACGATAACGCCGAGGAAGATCCATGGGCCGCTCCCGGCGCTTCATCATCCGCCGCGAACGCAGCTGCTCCAACTGCATCTTCGGGATTTGCGCCATCGCCTCCTGGTGGCTTCGCTTCCTTCTCTACTCAGCAGCAGCAGCAAAGACAACAGGCTGGCTACTTAGGTGCCGAGCCTTCAGCCAGTCTCGCACAGGAGGCAGACGCGTACGGAGATGGCTCCATGGAAGGCGGCTTTGGTCCAGGATCAGGAGCACCTCAGAACAGGTTCGGTGGCGTCCCGGCGCCAGCAGCTCCACAACCACAGCATAACGCACACTCTTCGTCCAGCACCTACGGCTCCGCGATCAGCTCTACCCACTCTCAGCCACCATCAGCTCAATCGCAGCAACCTCAATCACCCGCTTCGCCGAGCGCTGCAGCTCAAGCCCAAAACTCCCACTCTGGAGCATTCCCGTCCGGCATCAGCACCTCGCATTATCAACCCGCCTCGCAAGGCGCTTCCCGTTTCCAGTCGCATACGCCATCCACCCTCCTCCCCCATGAACCGGCCGGATTCTCCTCTCACTCCTCCTCCGACTACAACGCCTCTGCTCCACGCCAGCTTGCACCGGGCTATCCTCTCCCCGCCTCGAACTACACCGTGCCCGCATACTCGCCTTTCGCTCGCGTCGACTCCCTCTCAACGCCTCGTCGCGAAACCGTCGAGGACATGTACGGCGTCCCCGAAAACTTCTTGGAGGTGGAAGTACGCAGTCCTCTGACACACGGTGTTGGACGCAAAATGTACACCGATTACGAGATCGTCACGAGGACAAACATTCCGGCGTTCAAATTGAGGTACTCATCGGTAAGGAGGAGGTATAGCGATTTCGAGTATTTCAGGGACATTCTGGAGAGGGAAAGTACCAGAGTGAACATTCCACCGCTCCCAGGCAAGGTGTTCACCAACAGGTTTACGGACGAGGTGATCGAGGGAAGACGGGAAGGACTCGAGAGATTCTTGCAGGTCGTAGCAGGTCATCCCTTGTTGCAGACAGGAAGCAAGGTCATGGCTGCCTTCTTGCAGGATCCGGGCTGGAGCAAGGATCAGTGGCTGTAATCATTCTCATTCTCCTTAGGCAGTTTCATTGTGACTCGCAACCACGTCTCTGTGCACACCAAACTCATATGTGATAGTCCTTCCATCTGTGCCTCAGCTCGCCTATCCAGAGCCATGCTCTCGGCGTCGTCTCAACAGCAAAAGGCAGTCTCGTTGTCTGAAGGTGTTTGTGTGCATTGATAACAATCATCTCGACCATGAGAACGTCAATCCGAATCGTCAATCTCGATGACATCCATCGCCTCTTCAAGAGCCTTTCCGTTCCGTGCATCACGCTTCGTCGGCGAGACCGATTTGCTGGCTCTCGAAGTTGTCCTCGACATGGCTTTCCTCGAATCCAGTCTCGCCTTTTCCATGTCCAGCTCAGGCTCTGACTCCGTCTCGCTCCCCGCTTCCTCCTCGGCTGCTTGGTTGCCAGGCAACGGCGTCGCATTGGCATCCTTTGTTTGCCTGTCAAGTTCCACCGAGTCGATATCCATCGCATCCTCATCCTCCTCTTCTTCTCCCGAGACCAACAACTCGTACACGCTATCGATCTCCTCCGGACTCAGCACGATATCTGTCAGATCACCAGCTACATCCGCAATCGCCTCCAACAGCATCGATACCCTGTCCAGCCCTTTAATGCTTTCTTCGACCTGCTCGACCACAAGCTCCTCGTCCGTTAAGGCAAAGTTTTGTGCCCCTGTCTCGCCATTTTCGGCACTGGTAGCCTCCCGAGCTTGCTCCGCGCGTTTGCGCAGGTCGGGTAAGATTGAAGCAAGAAGCTTGCGCTCCGAAGCGATCCAGTCCGGCTCGGAGCAAAAGGCAATCCGAGAAAGCGCCACAATGAAGCTCTGTCGAATACCGTTGAGCATGCTGTACGTCTCGGGCTGGTCCAATTTGGTTGCGAGCGAGATGGAGCCCATACGCTCCTGCCCCCCTTGACTCGAGGGCTCGAATCGATGGACGGCGTGGTGTGCAGAGTTTGGAAGCGGGTAATTGTAGAGCAGGTTCAAAAGTCGTGTGTCCATGACAATCCGTTCTACCGCCTGCACAAGATTACCTCCTGAAGCATCGGGGACCGTCTGGGTGTGACCAGTCGCAGAACTGGTTGCCTTGGAGAGAGTCTTTCGATACGTCGGCATCCGTGGCGGCAACATGAATGCGGGACGACTCTCCAGCCATACAAAATCCGAATCGAGCGAGAGACACCGGATGAGTGCTGCAAGCAACGCCGCACTGTCGGCGAGGACGATGAGTGTGTCTGCCGAACGAAGTGCAGCTTGCGACAAAAAAGTCAAGATGACCCGATGCAGAGCGTGCCATTCGCTCTCCGCCATGTCAAAGCGTCGGTCGACCAGATGCTTGACAATCAGCTCCAGGACGGGAAAGCGGGCATTGGCGCGAGGTGCCATAGAGTGTCCGCTGCCTCGACCAGCTACTTGGCCATCAGCCTTCGATGCAAGACATTCGTGGACCAAGGGTGCGTTCGAGACCGCCAAGCTGAGCATGCGGACGACGCTTGAGATGATGAAGCTGGATCGATCCGGATGCAAGAGTTTGTGAAGCACTCCGGGCCGAGATAGAAGCCGGAGGGGATGATGACCAGATGACAGGCTCGCATCAGGACATTGCGACATGACCTCAAGGACTTGGACCGCTGCCTGGAAGAGGTCCTCTCGTGCCTCTGACGACAAAATCCAGTTTCCCAGACCCAGATCATCGTCCAACTCTTGCGCATCAACAGGATCTTGCACGCCGCCGTCATGCTCGACATCTGCACCGTTGTTATTCGCCTTCGACTTGCGTGTGCTGGGGTGTCGGCACTCGTCGATGCACTGGGCCAGGATGTCCCGCACATGGATCGGCGTTGCGTACTTTGACCACTCCACCTTAGAGGCAGAGTCGTCGCCGCCGAGGAACGCGATCTCATCGATCTCGGCTCCGTGGTCCGCTTGCAGGCATTCGAGATCCAAGTAGAATCTGGGCAATGTGGAAACCAGGCACGAGACCAAGCGCAAGACATCGGTCAAAAGATCCGTCTGGCAGAGACGCAGCAACACGCCGGCCATGATCATCAAAGAAGAGGCGATGGCATGGGACAAGTGCATGGTGGCCGAGGAAAAGTCGAGTTCCTCAATGCCGTGATCGTTGCTGTCAGCAGACAAGAGGCGGGAGGCATCCTCGCGTTCTTCAGGCTCCAACACTTTGGCTCGACTGAGGCTGGTCAGAAGCGATTCGATAGCCTTTCTGTAGCGAAACAGCAAGAGATCCGGGCAGTCTGGGACAAGGTTGGCCGAGATGAGACGTCTGAGTGTGCTGGTGCTGAAGACCCTGTCATCTGACGGTCGAGACAATGCGTCGGACGGTCGCGAGGCGGAAGGGTTGAAACGATTTGACGGGAAAAAACTTGGTATGGCAGCCTGGACGGAAGAGTGACCGAGTAGGATCGAGACGATCATGTTGCGACGAGAGAGGATCTCGGACACCGCCGCAAGATACATGTGCTCCCTCCTTTGATCCGGGTGACCGGAGCCGGCCTCGCGCCGAGCGAGAATCTTCCGGGAAGGACCTGGCGGAGGGCCGTCATCAAGGTCCATTAAGGCGTTATCGTGTCCTGCCTCTGAAGCTTCCATCGCTCTCGATTGGTCCATGTCCCAATCAGCGGGCGGCAGGGCGCCCGCCTTGCTAGTCTTGGCTGGCGACTGTTTTTGCTGCCGGATTTTCTCTTTCACCGGACCAAAGTCAGCGAAGGAGTTCTGCAGACCGCGGAATGCCTGCTTTTTGGAAGCCGATGCGGCGGCGGTGGGAGGCCGTGGGAAATGCGGAGCAGGCTTGATGGCGGATCTTGTTGGTGTACCGGGCTCTTCGCGATCGTTTGCGGCATCAGCGTACCTCTGACGGGTACCAGAGCTGCCACTGCTACCGCGGACACCGTATCTGTTTGCTTTGGTCGGGGTGGTCAGGCCAGCTCGGACTTGGTTTTCTTGCCTTCGGTCGACGACATCACGAAGCCCAGAAGCTGGAAGGCGTGCTACGCTCGAGGGCCATATCCGGCGGCTCGTGTCCTGCTCGACTCTGCGAAAGGCGGTCTCTGTTTCGAGTCGTTGAAGTCGGCGCTCCTGGTCCTTTTGAAGACGCTCGAGTGCTGCACGGTGCTCTTGCTCGCGCACGACCTCGCGCTCTCGAAGCTTGGAGTTCTCCACATTGAGCTTGGTCAAGTTCTGGCGGACGACAGCGACTTCGCCCGATTTGCGATACGCCTCCTGCTTGAGTCGATCTACCGTCTCGTCCTGCGCTTTCTGTGCGGCGCGCAGTTGCTCCACTTCGGCTCTGAGCCTCTCCAATTCCTCATTGTCGGCTTGTTTTCGGCTCGTTGCGAGGTCTTTGCTGGTCGGAGTAGACTCTGGTGGTTTGTGGGATACATTCGAGGGTCGGCTTTTCTCTGGCGCTACGCGTGGCGGGGGTCGATTAGGCCTAGAATGGGAAGCATGCGGCTGAGATGTTGGCATCTGCTGCGACATGCGGATAGCCTCCTCTTCGACCTGATCGAGGGCATTGTTGCCGGCCCACCAATGCTCGTCATCGTTGTCACCGAACTCTTCTTCGCGAAGGTCGCGCACGATGACCTCGTCCGGCTCCGGTTCGGGAAATCGGGCAGCTGCGCGGCCGAGATTGGAAGGCCCCGGATCAAGGCGTTGCTTCTTGGCAGGAGGCTGGACGAAGGTGCCGATGCGTCTTGCGGACCGCGATGTCTCGGGCTGGTTGCGGAAATACGAGACTGAGGTGGTCGGTGGCGCCGTCTGCATCGACGAGGACTGAGCATGTTGTTGGACTGCCTGGGAGGCGGTGTAAGTTGCTTCCGCTTGTGCGAGGCTCTCTTCGAGCTCCGGATCGAGGAAGTTTTGGTCGTCGAAGAGAGAGTCGAACTCATCGTCGACAGAGTTTGACATGGCTGATATGGCCTGTTGCGGCTACACAAGGCCGCGCCGCAGCGTCAGATTACCTGTGCGGGAAGCGTGTCGAAGTTTAGATGGCATGCTCTGCACTGCTGCGGGTTAAATTCTGGCATTCTCGTGCTACCGCCCCGCGAATGGATAGCTGAATTGAGCTGTGCTCGTTGTGGCGGCGTGGGAAAGCTGTGGACAATAGCACGGTCCGACCGATGATGTCGGGATGATGCCGTGGAAGTAGATCGGAAGATGCTGAGTCGACGGCGTCGGCGTCCCCGAAAAATCAGAAACGAAAACAATGACACAAGACCAGCCCGCCAATTTTGTTTTGGACAGACCAACACTTTCATTACAGACCGTGGGAGAGATATGGACTGGCAAAAGCATGCGACTGTCGATTTGTTCATCATTCCGATTCCGTGTCTTTGCTCGTCGTAGACTTCCAAACGAGCCCAAAGTAATACGCATCGCTTCTCGAGACGAGAGCCTCGGCATGCCCGCCTCTTGACTCAGCATTGTTTTCTCTTCGAGACCAAGAGCATCATCAGCTGGAGAACGCGGCGCGTGTGAGAGAGACGCGTAAAGTATGTCAGCCAGTCAGGAAGAAGAGAAGGCCAAAAAAATGAAGTGGAGTGTTTGAATGCGTTTGAACACAGACCCTGAGCTGGTTTGCCCCAAAGCACAGTGAATCTGACCTCATTCCTCTACACCCTCCCCACCGACCCTTCATCCGAATCGTCATCAGCATCGTCCTCGCTCTCGTTGATTGTGGCCAGACGTCTTTTGCTAAAAGTCACATCGAGTGGCATTGTTGACCTTACCCAACGATCTCATCAACCCTCCACCATCCGCCAACATGGGTATCAAAGGCCTCACCGCGCTCATCTCCGACGAAGCGCCTGGCGCCATCAAAGAGATGGAGATCAAGACCTACTTTGGTCGCAAGGTCGCCATCGACGCCTCCATGTCGCTCTACCAATTCCTCATCGCCGTGCGTCAAAATGACGGTCAGCAGCTCATGACAGAGTCCGGTGAAACGACTTCACATCTCCTTGGCTTCTTCTACCGAACCCTCCGCATGATCGACTACGGCATCAAGCCGATGTACGTTTTCGACGGCACACCACCCGATCTCAAGAAGGAGCTCCTGCAGAAACGCTTCGGACGACGAGAAGAGGCACGTGAGCAAGAGGAGGAGCAAAAGGACGTCGCCGACGTCGAAAAGATGGATCAGCTGGCGCGACGACAGGTCCGCCCTACACGACAGCACAACGAAGAAGTGAGGCATCTTCTCAAGCTCATGGGCATCCCGTGTGTCATTGCACCATCCGAAGCCGAGGCCCAGTGTGCCGAACTCGCCCGCGCCGGCAAAGTCTACGCAGCAGGATCCGAAGACATGGACACGCTCACCTTTGGCACACCCATCCTCCTCAAGCACCTCACCGCTTCCGAACAGAAGAAACTGCCCGTCCACCACGTCGACCTACCAAAAGCTCTGGAAGGACTCCAAATGAGCATGGCGCAATTCATCGACCTCTGCATCCTCCTCGGCTGCGACTACCTCGACCCTATCAAAGGCATCGGCCCGAAAACAGCGCTCAAACTCATCCGAGAGCACAAGACGCTCGAAAACGTCGTCGAACACCTCAAGGAAGAAGGCAAGAAATCCGTCCAGATCCCCGAACATTGGCCTTTCCAGGAAGCAAGAAAGATTTTCGAGAACCCAGACGTGCAAAAGGGCAAAGATCTTGATCTGAAGTGGGAGACACCGGACGTCGAAGCTATGGTCAAGTTCTTGTGTCAGGACAAGGGCTTCTCCGAGGACAGGGTGAGGAAGGGTTGCGAGAAGCTGCAAAAGTCGCTGAGTCAGAAGCAGCAGGGCAGACTCGATGGGTTCTTTACCGTCAAGTCCGGCGGAGCACCGCCAAAGCGCAAAGCAGAGGACGACAAGAAGAACAGCAAAAAGAAAGGCAAAAAGTGATCGCTACTGCACATTCCCATCCGACACATAGCGTTCAACCATTTCTTGCAATGATACCATTCCTCTTTGCTTCTATGCAACAGCCAGTTGAGCAGGCTGGGCTCTACCGCTCGCGCTACCACCCAACGTATCCTGCAACACGCTGGTCGTGTTGGTCCGGGTGTGTCTGTCGATCGTACCACCAGCCATATCCCTATACATGAAAGTCTGATCCGACGTACCCGTGCCATTAGCGATCGCACCGTTCACCAGCACCGAATCGACGGTTCCCGTTCTGCGCGACAGCGTCGCGTGCGGCAACGCAGTAACCGGCTCGGCGTGGACAAAGGTTGTTTCGTCCCCAATCAGCTGGTTGAGATCGTTGCGTTGGCTGTTGTGCGAGGCTCGTCGGACAGTTCGATCGAATTGCTGGTTGACTTGGACGTCAAAGTTCGTGTTGGACAGGTACGAAGCAGCGTACAGCGGGTAGTTGTAATCCAGCTGCACGGCTCCCACACCCTGTGTGTCGGCCAACGTCTGCAGCTCGTCCAACGACAATCCCGCATCCATCACTTTGTCGACCTTGTCCGCACCCAACACGAACGATCTCGTCCAGCCGTAGCTCTTCTGATCGTTCGTTTGAGCAGTAGCATTCACAAAACCGTTGTTGGAGTACTCTGCCGACTGATACCATCCCGCGACATACTCGACCCCGGATCCAGTCTTGATGCTTCCGGCCACACCAAAGCTCCTCCCTCTTTTCAATCCTACCGTGTACGTCAACGAACCATTTGTCAGCGGATCACCCACCAATTTTCCCTCTGTATACCCATCCACATCCTCTCCTCCGCTCTGCACCTTCAACACCTTCCCCGTCGTCCTCTCTCCACTCGCATCCAAATACACCTGCACATTACCACTGACAAACCAACTGGCATCATTGATGCCCCCACCCTCCTCGCTACTCACCACCGCCAACTCAAACACATGTTCCTTTCCATCCGTCAATCCACCCAACCAAGGCGTAACATCAACGTTGTACGTCGGCTGATCGAACGTTCCATAATTGGCGCTTGGACGCCACAACAGTGGGTTGATACCACCCGTATAAATGATCGGGTAGGGAGTGACGAATCCGGCGAAAGTACCATCGATGTACAGCTGAACCTCTCGGTAGGTTCCGTGGCCGTAGTAGCCATCCTCGCTGGCATCAGGGATCTGGTTGTAGAAACGATCCGGGATACCAGTGTACCAGAATTCCTCGGTTGCTGTGCCGCTAGCGTAGATCTCGACGATGGCTCTCGCCGCATTCTGAGGTAGAGTGATGGGCGTTGTGCCGTTGCCTGCACTTCCACCGATGAGGAAGATCGAGTTGTTGGTTCGGAGACGTTTCGACAGAGGGATGACTACGTCCGCCGAACGATTCTTCAACGATAGAGCGGACTGCGCCACCGGACGTCTTCGATGTTTTCCACCTCGACTCTGCATCACTCCGTCAACAGATGCACTCAGCTTCAACGTGACGTTGAGCGCTCCCGTATACGTATCATCCACAATATTGGGCAGATCGAACACCACATCCGCTTTCTCGCTGAACAAGCTCCAATACTTGCCGATGTCCTTCTTGATGTCCCAGAACACACCCGTTCTGGTCGGTTCGGGGTTGTCCAACCTCATGACCTCTACACCTTGACCCGTTCTATTGTTGCCTACCCATACGGTTCCGAGACGATCGAACTGTCGTCCACGAGTCTCTCCATGAATGTCCAGTGTGAGTCCCGTCCACTCATCTGGATAGGAACACGACGTACCGGCGAACGAGGCAGGATCGTAGGAAAGATAGGAGGGTGAACCGTACGAGTTGGCGAACGAGCGTGAGACGAGCGTGATGGAACAAATTTGCGGCGTGTTCGTTAGGATCGGTGCGGGCTCATGGATCTGAAAGGCCTCTTGGAGCTTGGGCTTGACGGGTGCGGGCGAAGAGTGAGAGCCGACAGGGTGATTGCTCGATTTGAAGAGTGGGGATTGCCAGATGGCCGGGATCTTGAGCAGTGGCTCTGCATGGCCATGGGCAAGAGCTGAAGCCGACGCTGCAGCTGCTAGCAGCGTGTACTTCAAGAGATGCATTGCGGTAGCCGTCGATGGTGGTAGTAGTGTTGAAAGAGTGGTTATCGACAAGTGATGATGATATACCGTACTCTTATACCAAGTCCATCATCGGAAAACGCACCTCATGATAAAGGTGGGCTATCTAAATCGTCGGCAACAGCCACTTCATTGGCCAACAATCTGTCAACCTCGTGGGTCACCTCTCGGTGGACTGTGGACCGAGGATAGATTGCCGAACGTGTTGAATGATAGCGACGAACAGCCTCAAAACAAGCCGGTGTTGGGCGAGGAACGCAACTCTGGAAAGACAAAACAGCGCTAATGGAGCCGACGTGCAGCTCGGCTAAGGTGGAAGGGATCGACGCGATCTGCCCAGTGCGGCGGGCAGCAGCGACGTACTCAGGGTCCAAACAGGGTCTCGCTCACACAAGATAACAGTTCGTTGCTGGCACACTCCTGTCGGATGATCGACTTCCGACCTTCGCTCAGAGCTCACCGGACAGACACTAACGCGAGCCACAGCAACAGACATCAAGCACTTCTGTATGATAGCATTGAGAGAGTACACACTTCATGAGCATGATCCTCTACTGAGCCGGCGGCTGGCCGTACCTAGACCCGCGAAGCGACCCAAATCGCGCCCCTGCAACCGGCCGCAATCACCGCGCTCAACAACGCATGACCTGCCGCCTGCTGCGATTCGTTCTCCACCGCTGTATCCAAATGCTCCAACTCGTCGTCCCTAAACTCCTTAATGATATCCGACAGCAACGGCAACGATGGATGCACATCTTCCGCAACCTCTCCTCCCACCTGCTCCTTCTCCAGAATCGTCTTGAGCTCCTTCAACTGGTCATCGTAGTGCTCTCCAATCACGCTCTCCACCGCCTCCGTACACGCCATTGCGCTCCTCGGTCCCAACAACGCCGTCACACCGCCCAACACCCTCCCCGCCGTAGACCAGACGGGCAACAGCAGCGAAGGTCGAACATTGTGCTGTCGGAGCAAAGCACGCATGACTTCGAGATGTTTCTTTTCGGTCTGCCACATTTCGATCGACAGATCGCGGTTCTTGACGTCGCCGAGCGCGCCAAACATGTCCGCTTGACCTTGGTAGATCGTGTTGGCGGCGATCTCGCCAGAGTGGTCGACGCGAAGCATGTCGCGCAGAGCTCGTCGTTGTGAGGGTGTGAGTGAGGCGAGAGACGGCGTCGAGGTGGTGGCTGCGTTGGACGGGTCGCTTGCGTCGACGCCTGTGTAGACGTCGGATGCAAGCGGTCCTGAATATTCAGACGAGTGGTGACGAATCAGTGAGCCATTTCCCCTCGTCAGCGGGGATGCTCGAGGCCGTGAGGTCAGGTGCAGACCTTGGCCGCGAAGCGTGGAGAATGTACGCCTCGATGACGGCCACGGACCACTGCGAACGCTGCTCGTCGTAGATCCAGCCTGACGCATAAATGCGTTCTTGACAAAGTCAAGCTCATTGATCACCTCCAAGCCCGTACTGCGAGCCCAAACCGTTCCTCTTCCAACAACTTCTTTGGCCGCAGTCCTGAACAATCCATCGCGTTCCCTTTGCTGCTTTCCACCATCCGCCTGCTGACTCAGCGGTACTGGAGTGCCAGCATAGAGCCAGTGCAGGTGGTCGACCGCCGAGAGCATTTTCTGGTTCTCCCAGTACCGATCTCGAGCGTATCCCTTGAGCGCGTTGTACGAGCCAATGTCGGCACCTGCGCCCAACGCCGAGCGCAGAGTCCGGGACAGAGAACGCACGTCCGCGATGCCCAAATTGAGACCCTGCCCAGCGAGCGGGTGGATCGTATGTGCCGCATCGCCGACGAGGACTGTGCGCCCGCGACCTGCTCCTTGCCCCGCGCCTTCGGGCGCGAGCCCGACCGCAGCCATCGCACCAGCAAGCAAACCCGACGGCAGAACAGGCGAGCTATTCAGCGATGCGCCGAGATATGCATCGGCATGCTTGAGGTTGAGCGGGAAGCTGGCTACACTCTTGACGTCGAGTGAGTGGACCTTGGGCGGCACTTCACCGCTTCCGCTCTCGGGCAGAGGCTCGTCCAGTCCTCGTTCGACCCATTCGGCCTCCGTTGGGATCTCTGCAGTGAGCCACCTCCAGTCTCGCTGCGCTCCTTCGGGCTGCGGATACTTTGTGAACGCTACGACACGTGCGAACAGCCGCTCGATGTGCGACCAGGGTAGTCGGAACGCAGCATCGACGAGCTTGGCGAGCGGTTCATCTGTAGATTCTGCCGTCTCATGATGGAGCACGGCCAATGCGGATGCAACTTCGGGCTCGAGCGTCCATACCATGGAGCCGGTGGAATCCGACAGTGGAAGGAAAGCAATCGTGCCACTGGGTAGAAATCGCTGATACGCGGTATGGCCAACGGCGGGCTCGCCATGCTCCACACCTCGACAACGAAGCGTACCCACCAAACCTCGTCGATCATACGGCCAGCCATAGTCACCGATACCGGCATACTTGCGAACGGGAGAGTTCGGTCCATCAGCACCCACGAGCAACCTCGCCTGGATAGCGTCTCCCGCCGATAGCTGAACGATTGGCCAAGGATCTTGCTCGATCGATGTGCTTCCCACTTCGACCTTTGATCCGCCGACGATTGAGTCAACTTTTGCGCCATCCTTGATGGTGCAAATGCCCTTGCCAGGACCTTGCTCGAGGAATTGCAGCATAGCTTGCTGGAGGTTGCTGATCTCAACCATGACGCTGATCTGCGAGCTGGAGCCTACTGCGTCGGAGAGATGAGCCGAGTCGAAATCGAGCAGGGCACCGGAGAGACCGTCCCAGACACGCATGGAGCTGATGGGGCGGAGGCGGTGCTCGACGAGGAAAGGATAGACGCCCATGCGCTTGAGCCAGTCGAGGTTTTCGGATGTGAGCGAGATGACGCGATTCTCCCAATCCAGACCATCGGTGGACGAAGAGGAAGATGCGTGGCTCTGAGAGAGGTGGTGGGCACGGTCGGCGGTCCAGCTTCGGAGGCGGTCAAGATTGGAGGCTTCGATCAAGGTGATGGGCTGATCTCCTGACTGAGATGTTGAGCTCACAGCCTGTGAGGCGACGAGGTCGCAGGCAAGACCCAGTCCAACCACGCCTCCTCCTACAACTACGATGTCGGACTCGATGTTATGCGTGCTTGTTGCGGCTGTGGCCAGCTTTCGACTTGTCGAAGAAATTGCAGCCAAGATTTGTGGGGGTGCTGCTACATTCGGATGGAGGAATGGCCGTGAGGGACCAGCACGAGAGTTCGATTGCAGGTGGTGCGAGCTCGACGTTGCCAAGGTTCGTTGCAGTGAGTGTCTCGTTGCAGTGGCCCGTGACAGGGAGCTTGCCGCCACGGTGGTGCGTGCAAGCCTTGTCATGGCGATGTGTCTTGCGTCTCTTGCGACGAACGTAGGTGCACGTTTGTATCAATCGAGAAACTGCAATACGCCTCAGGGTGTTGGTGCGTCTCCGAAGGTGACCCAGAGACGGTCTTGAGCTTCGATGACTACAGCAGTCCTTCGTATGTACATGTAGGAAGCCAACTACACTAACTCACATAAGCTCGGCAGTTGCCGTCCAAGTGGAGATGCAAGCTGTCATGCTGAGGTAATATAGCTTTTGCATTCGACTCGTGGAATCGGGCTCAATCTCGATATAACAAGCGAAATTTAGATCGATTTGGTCAGAGCGGTCGAGTGGGCGTCGCCCCACCAAAACCGAAAGGCTCAGTCGGTTTTATGCAGCACGCTGCACCTAACGCTGTAGGGTCCGGCATAGTGCAGCTCAAGACGCTCTTTCAAGGCGGTTCGGTCGAGACTGACCCGACATGGTTTTGCTGCTGGTGATAGCGAATCAAAGACGCAGAAGCTGGATTGGCCGGCAAACGAATCCTGTGTCGATGTACAAGCATGCTGTCTTCCGTTGAGAAGGCAACGATGGCGGTGGCTCATTTGATCTTGCTTTGGTTGCCATCCTTGATTGCGCTCGCCGGTGGGGCTGATTGACTCTGTCTTTGCAGACGAATGAGACCGAGTCAGGCTTTCAAATCCACCGACCATCATGCGCGCATTTGCGATTTCGAGCAGAGATGGTCTTACTCCATTCGTTGTCGGTGGTTGTCATGTCCTCTGAGCCTGGACGATGCTAGGCACAAAAGCACGAATCGAGACCAAGATCGAGAGCCGAAATGGCAGGTGTTGGAAATGACGGGCGATGTTGTCGATGACTCGTTTCAGCTTGCGCGCGCTTCTTTCCGCTGGAGCCACACGGCAGCAGCATCTGTCATTGACCGCACGGCCAGCTCCGAAATCTCGCGAAATTTCGATTTCATCTCAGGGAAATTCTGTCGAATTTAGGCAGGAAAGCAGAGGGATTTCAAGGCCACGCCGCCAATTTCCGGGGGGAAAGGTAAGACTGCCCTGAGGCCTCTAGATCTCGATAGAGAGATCATTTCGTGATTTATTGACCGTTCGAGGGTGCAGGCTAAATCGCGGATTGGAGTCATCCGCCTTGACACAGCGCGCGTTGCATAGTTTCTTGACGCCGATTTTTGACAGCCTTCAGAGCGCAGCGTGGTTCAGGACAGGGCAGTGCCCCAGTGCCCGAGCCGGTCAATTTGCCAGAGAGCAACGATCAGCGCCGCGATTGCCACCAAGCCCGCTTGATCCACCCTGGCCATCATGCCTGAATTGTCGCTCCCCCCAGAGCGTTGTCGAGCCTCTTGTTCTAGGACATCGCTGCCATCGAACTGGATCTTGGAGGGGCTCGAATGATCACTCCTAATTCATTTGATTGTGCGTAGCTAGCCTACCGGTAAGCTCCATCAGGACGGAGAAGGTGGAGCCAGAGCCAAAGCTCGAGCGAAAGCGAGCAACAAAGTCGAGTCAGGGCTAGACTTACTCAGGTGGAGATGGAATCGAGCCGAAACACGGCTGGCGTAGTGCGTGAGCGTTTGGATTTCTCGACGATACTGCGCTGCGTTGCCACAAATTTCGCAGTGTTTTCGGCGAGAGCGAGGCGCAGAGGCTCAGGGTCTTTCTGGCTTTCGCCACACACGCACATAGACCGCGCTGCTGAGCCTGAGCGAGATGTCGAGTTTGGCGCCTGTCTATCAGCGCTGCCACTGCTGCTGCTCCCCATTGTGACTCACGCCTATCCCCGCCACACTGCCTACGGCCGTCTTGCTCCTCCTCATCCCGTTGCTGCAGCTCATCCTCGAACTCAGTCTCTTGGACAGCTTTTCACCCCTCCCTTTTGTCGTCGTCGTCATCATCTCCATCATCGCCTCGACAGTCCCACTTTGGCTCGATACAGACGACAACTCAGCCATCGACTCAGCGCGCGACAAACCATCCACACTCGTGCTCAGCTTCCGTGCTCATCGGTTCGCATCATCCGATCTCGCAGCTTGCCTGACTTTGCCACACAGCTCAGCTCAGTCTTGTCTCATCCTCGCTCAACTCGCACAGCCTCGAACCAAAGCTGCGACTCCTGCTGCGGTCGATCTCCCATCTTGACAGGGCGCTCTAGACCCCGTCGGAAGTCGGATCCTTGTCTTCTTCAGCAATCCACCTGGCTCCTGTGACTCGTGCTCGCGTCTCAGCTGTTCTTCAACACCTCCCACATCCTCGTCGATTCTCTTCCCCACATTAATCAACGCGCGTTTCTCCTTCGTCGTTGTCTCTACCTCGCCACCATCCGCTACCGACTCAGCATCAAAGCGTTCGACTCAGCTCCCGTCATCGTATCGGCTTCTCATCAACAGCCGCTCTATCACGATCGCGACTCAGCCCGCCACTTGCCATCTTCTCCGACTCTGTCGACGCGCGTCTCATTCACACGCTACTACTTAGCCTGATTCGAAAGCAAAGCAACACGGTCATATCTCTACGCTCGATTCAAACTCTTAGCTACAATGGTATCCATCATCGCCGTCCCCTCGTGGGACCTTTAAGATTATCATTCTGTATCACAGAACGGTCGTCCAAGGTCCCCATCCTTTGTAACGCACAATCGCCCTTCAAACGGTCTATTCGTCGCGATCATCTACCCACCACTCAACGCTATTGTTCTCTACTATCATCATCCTCGAACGGCCTCTTTGTTGACGCCGCTTCACACCCGCTCTATCGATATTTAGAACGCCTCACAGCGTCCTAGGTATCATTACCAGCGAGTTGTCCTACGCTCTCACGTAGGCCCTCGCTTCCCCACCATCTCTTCAGGATTGCGGTCCTCGCCGCCATCCACCCGGTCCTAATCTACGTGAATTGGTTTCGTCGTATCGGCTCATAACTCTTGTCCTCACCCTCCCGCTACATCAGCAGCCTGCACAGCTTCCCTGTTCTCTCAGCGAAGCCGACTCGACTGCTCGTGACCGTTCGGATACGCTGCAGCTTCTCAGCGCCCTGACACTGTCTCGACTCTGTCTGCAACCATGCAGTCATTCCTTCCTCACGCTCCGACCATGGTCGTCGATGGTGCCTCTCTGCCCATCTCACACTTTGTCGAGCTCAATGGATACAACCTGGCCAGCCACACCATTGCCCTAGAGCAGTCGGTGCTTGGCAAGCCACATCTCTCGTCCACCCACAATGATTTCGCTCTGCAGCCACCTACCGTCTGCGGCAAGCGCTCGCGATCCAACTCGGATGCCTCGTCATCGTCTTCGTCCGCCACTTCGACATCTAACCATGCCTCGGTCTTCTCGCCCGACGACGACTCTTCCGAGTCCGCCTTCGGTTCGCAATTCAGCGTTGGTGAGCAGACGCCCTCGTCGTCTCGCAAGGGATCCATGAGTCAGCACGAGCAGCTTGCCGATTGGCCTGCCGACGTGCTCGCTGCATCGCACGCTGCATCTCAGTCCGAGCGCGAACGCTGCGTCAAGCGCATTCGCCAGCTCGAAGGTAAGGTGGTCAAGCTCGCCTCGGAGTTTGTCACCGCCGCATCGCAGCCAGCGACTTCGGATGAGATCAATGTCGCACCCGCGGTCGCTGCCCCCCGGGCCGTACCTGCACCCAGCATCTCTCCTGCCTCTTCCTCGTCGTCATCGTCGTCCTCGACCGATAGCTCCAAGACGGCTCTCGTCGACTGCTTAGTTGGTAAGTGTCCTTCTCTCGTCCCATGCGAATGTTCCCCTGCTTTTTTGAATCATCTGGACGGCGTGCTGATCATCTGAGCATATTGTCATCTCTCCTCACATCCGTCTTTCACTCACGTAGACGCCTCGTGTCGCACACTCGACAGAATCTGGAACGCGTCTGCTCCGGCCGCCGCGTGCGATCTGGCCAAGGGAAAAGACGCTTTCCCGCTTCAGTGCTTTGTGCGCGAGACTTTGCGTCGTGGACGCACCTCCTGCTCTACCTTGCAAGCGGCGCTGCTCTATTGCGTGAGGCTCGGTCAAGCTACCGAGAAGTCAAGGCAGCTCACGCTGCGTCAGTCTACGCGCGCTGCAGGCATCGATGTTGACGTCGAGGAGCAAGCCTGCTCGCCGCTGCACGGTATGACCAAGGAAGAGCTTTGCATCATCCGTTGCCCACGACGCATGTTCTTGGCTTCGGTCATCACCGCCTCCAAGTTTGTTCAGGACCGCTGCTACTCGAACAAAGCCTGGTCCAAGATCTCCGGTCTCACCGTCAAGGACTTGGGCAAGCTCGAGCGCGCTTTCCTCAAGGCCATCGACTATCGCCTCATGGTCTCTGACGGCGAGTGGGAAACCTGGACCGCCGAGCTCAAGCGTGCTCACTCTGCTCAGAACGTCGTTTCCGCCGAGGCTGGCGATGTTGCCGGTCGACGCAGCAGCCTGAGCCGCTCGCAGTCTGACAACGTCAACAACGCCGCCATCTCGCCCGACACCGAGCTGCGTGCTGCGAGCCCCTGTGTTCCGTCGCAGGTGCAGCCAAAGTATCGCCGTGTCGGCGACGCTCAACAGCCGTCGTTGGCTGAAGACATTGCTCTGCCCTTTCCCCGCGCAGCAGGCGGCGTCGTCGTCTCCGCTGAGATTTAATCTAATCTTGCAGTGCGACGTTCCTACCTCCATCACCTCGAATGCTGCCCTCCCTTCCTTTTCCTATGTCGGATGTCGACCGCGATTTCTTTTTGGCATTTGGATTCCGTGTACTAGTACGTTGGTCACCGGGGTCATCTGCTTAGTCTCGTCGTCATCGATCGACGCCTCTGTCTTTCCCATCGCATTTTCTTCGTCATGCTTCCCTCGCAACATCATGTACCACCACCGTCTTAAGGCATCCTTCTCCACGCATCTTCCGCCGTACTCTTTCTCCTCTAATCCTGCTTCCCCCCTTGCTGTCCCGGCACTCGTGCATCGGCCATCCGATGGAGGTCTCTCCGCCACTCTTACACGTTCTGCGTGCTGCCGGCAGATGCAGCCTTCCGAGCATGCACAGCGAGTCTGCACAGCGCGGATCTCGAACGAAGCCGGACTTGCCTACCCTGTATCATCACCGGCCGCTGCCCTTGTCCCTCTCTTGCCGCTTTACGAAGAGGTCGGCTTGCAGCAGCATTACGACCATTGCGATTTGGTCTAGCTTCAGGTCTTGCCCCGGACGTATATGCAGAGAGAGAAAAGCAGGGCGCGACCCTCGTCACCATGTACCGCCATTGTCAGGCGCATTGTTCTCTCTTTGTGATTGCTCGATTCGAAATACTATACTCTTATTCTAAATCTCTCGATGGCTGAGATGTCAAGCACTTCATGCACGTATGTGCTCATAGCTTTGACGTGATGGAGCATGATGAAGATATTGCATGTAAATGTACAAGGTGTGACTTACAGAGCAGCAAGCAACTCGCTGGCTTTCGGTCTTTTGCTCGCCGACAAGGTGATGGCTGGTAGGATCACCTTGTGCACCAATGCGCTCGATTCTTGTTCCCCACCGAACAAGGGCAAAGCACTGAGCAAGCCTGTTCCGTGGGTGGGAGCGAAGGGTAACCTTGCCAGTGGTGGTTGAAAGTGTTCTGCTTCTGGCCAGTCTCTGACGTCGGTTGGCAGACCGAGCAAGGCGAAGATACTGGCGGCGAGACCGATGTCTCCCTTATCGGAAGTGAAGAGCGGTGTTCGGATGTAGCCCGATGCGGTGCGCGGGGAAGGTGGTTCGGGTTCCGATTCCTCCCAATACAAGCTGTTGGAAGAAGAGGAGGAGGAGGAAGGTGACAAGGGCGCATTGGAGCTGAATGCCTTTTCCCAATCCTTCCTCTCGTCCTGCACATCGAGATCCGGCATATCCGCTTGCTCCTCGACTACAACAGCAATCGATAGAGCGGTGAAGAAGTGAGCCAAGGTGACTCCAACAGCCCAGATATCCACAGCGAAAGCATCGTACCCTCCGATAGGTGAGAAGAGCAACTCCGGTGCCCGAAATTGACCCGTCCCTACTTGACACACCATCCTTCCCTCTCGCTCTCCCGCATCCAAATCTACGCCCGGCGAAAGTGGATCTTTCAAGGATGAAGTGGTGTAGGCCGTTCCAAAGTCGATCAGTTTGACTACGCCAATGTGGGAGAGGAGGATATTGGAGGGTTTGATGTCTCTATGCGCGATCGAGTTGGCGTGTAAGAAAGCGACACCTTCTAGCAGCTGTTTCGAGATGCTCTGGATAAAGGATGGCGACGAGTCCGACCAAAGATGGGAGATTGACTTTCCGGCTCTCCCTACCTCTCCCGCACTAGACTCGCTGAGAGATACGAGCGATGGCTCTTCCAACACCTCCTCCAAATTGACCGCATACAACGGGAGGACCAAGTCTACGCTTGCGCCGAACGGATCCGATTCATCGAGAATCGCTGCTAACAGGGATGCGACATTCCGATGCGAGAGCGAGTCGAGCAGTGCGATCTCGCGTGAAATCGAGTGCGGACGAGGCTGTGTATCCGGTGAAACACGTTTGATGCATACCCAGCCGGGGAGACCGTCTGCTGAGGTTGCTGCGTGGGAAAGCTCGGAGAAGCCGCCGGTCGAACCGCTCGCTGAAGAAGAAGGGTCGTAAGGCCAGGAAGCGGAGGAGGAGAGCGAACGCCGGTAGATCGAGCTGACCAGCCCGTGACTGTGCGAGACGAGGTTGGTCTGCAGGTTTGCCCAGTCCGCGGGGGATGTTCGGAGCTTCCCGCCGACTACCTTGAGCTGTGGTGAGGGGGACGAGGTGGAGGGGGCGGCCAAAGCGTCATCGAAGGATTCGAGGAGCGGCATGACTGCAACAAGGCGATCGGCAGTTCCGTTGTATCCTCGACGTCCAGCTCGCTGTTGAGGGCCTTATAGAAGCCGTTGGCGATAGCAGCTGCAGTGTGAGGATGAGAAGCTTGGTGAGGAAAGTAACACTTTTGCTCTGCGCTCCCTTCGTCTTCGAGACCAACACTTTGCTGCAGTCGCTCTTCTAACATTGCTTTTTTGTGCCAACATTTCGTGTCGCGATTTCTCTGGGCTCTAAATTCCATCTGCGCATAAACTTTGTCGGCAAACTCCCCGCAAAATCGCCGTGACGGCAAAGCAAAATGACGCGATAACGTCGACAGCACGAGTCATTTTTACAACTTCGCCATTGCACACACCATACCATTTACCTTGAACATAAGGTACAAGAAGCAGCGTAGTTGGAGTCCGAACCAGGCCATTGGTTTTGAATTGCTCTTGTCGACCTGGTCGTTCTCGCATTGACCCTTCCCTTCCAGCGGGAAAACCCAACCGAGCCTTCCAGCTGCTGTTTTGGCTCGTTGGATATTTGCAGATTTGCAGCACCGCCATCCTTTCGTTCGGCACCATGTGCCGTCTTCTTGGTAAGTCGATTTGCAAAGCCGGATCCCGAGCATCTCTTTCTCCTATCTCTGACCCTATGATATCCTCACACTCTCATCTGTGCTCCATTCAAACTCATGCCGAATCTAGTCTTCAAGGGCGCTGACCCGATCCAGCTCTGCCACCTGGTCACACGCCCCGCTCATTCGATCATCAACCAAGCTTTCGATTCACGCTTACGTCTCGATGCGACTCGCGCTGTCAACGGTGACGGCTTCGGCGTAGGATGGTACGACTCCACACCAGATCCTGAGCTGGGCAACGCTCCCTGCATCTTTACCTCGGTGACACCAGCGTGGAACAACCAGAACCTACAAAGGATCGCAGAGAAGATCAAGTCACCTCTTGTCTTTGCCCACGTGCGAGCCTCGACTGCTGGAGCGCTGTCCGAGACCAACTGCCACCCCTGGCGATACGGACGACTCATGTGGATGCACAATGGCCAGATCTCGGAGTTCACCAAGATCAAACGCAAGGTTCTCGCCTCACTCCCCGAGCCACTCTTCCTCTTTCCGCAAGGACATACCGACTCGGAATTCGCCTTCGCCGTCTTTCTCAGCCATCTCCACGACCCGCTCCAGACAGAGCCCTTCTCGTACAAAGAGTTGCGGGATGCAATGCTGGCCACCATCCACGATTTCAACACATGGTCACGCGAAGCAGGAATTCGAGAACCGAGCCTGATGAACTTTTGCGTCACCGATGGCCAGAGCATCATTTGCACCCGCTACGTCTCCAGCAAACACGACCAAGCTGCCTCGCTCTACTTTTCGTCCGGCACAAGCTTCTACGAGCATTCACCCGGGACTTACAGGATGGTCAAGACGGATAAGAGGGAGAAGATCATCGTGGTGGCGAGCGAGCCTCTGACGTTCGAGAAGGCGGACTGGATGGAGATACCGACGAACACGCTGGTGTGCATCACGCCAAAGATGAATGTGTTGCAGTTGCCCATCGTGGATGAGTATGCATTGGGGAAGGGGGATCAGACGGTGAGGAGTCCGACGTTTGCGATCAAGACGGGCTACCCACCGAGTATGTCTGGCGCAACAGCGACGGGAGCCGGGGGAGGTGTGGGCATTGTGGGAGACGATCCGAGTTTGTCGATTGGCAGCTTGAGATCACCGTCAAGAGGTCCTACGGCTGTACGCTGAGGACTGACTTCACCCTTTCTCTCATGTTCTTGACGCAACGATACCCCTCAGCCACCTCCATTCAGCATGTTCATGTATTTGTACCACACTCAGGCTACCATCAATAGATCACACCCTCGGCATAGCCGTCCTCGCTCCGATTTGATCATTGGATTCGCGTTCGGGCCACGTCCCGAGAGTGTTGCGTGACTGAGCCACAGTCCGGAAAAATAAAGTTGAACTCAGTCAAGACCCTGAATTTCGCTGGGATGTCAGCTTCTCCATCTCGTCCCACCAGCCTCTCTTCCCATCTCTGCATCCTCCACGAAGCGGGCCCTTTGACGTCGCATACACACTCGATGTCGCGTCAGCCGGCGCTCTGCTGAATTGGCGTTCCTCGAGTCGTCAGAAGCAAACATAACCACCCCCAGCACGACCTAGTCTACAGCAGTTCGATTGGGAGTTGATTGAGTACCAGACCTTGTTCACGATGCAACGCACACCGAGCGACTCGCTCGACCCCAACCTTGATGCCTCAAAAGGACTAGCAGCCTCACCGTCAGTCTCCAGCTCTTCCTCACGCTCTACTTCTCCTCGCTTTCCGATTACAAGGCTCGAAGCAACAGACAGAGCTGAGTGGCAGAGCAAGACCCTTGGGAGGAGCAGCCATCGTAGGAACATCGAACGACCAGCGAATGACCAACAGGTCCAGGGATTGGAGTCTCCTGCCTCGTCCACTCCTTCCACGCCAACTACTGCTCTCCCAGCATCACGCACGTATCACAGCCTCAACTATGCTCCGCGTCAGCGCAACTCGATGCTGCGCCCGAACGCTGCTTCCGTCTTCCAGTCACACTCTTCCCAATTTGCGCAGCATCAGCAAGCATCAGCCACTGTATCTGAAAGCTCATCTGGTCGAGTGTCACCCGCACAGCCATCATCTAGCATGCAGTCGACCTCCAGAAACCCATCCTACTCTTCGCCTCTGACCGCCACCTCGTACCTCAGCACATCGCCTTCCTATCCCACAATTTCTTTACCCGATGCGGTTCCGCCAAGACACAGTTCCAGAGCACAGACATCGGCCACAGCAGAGGTGGACGGAGCTCGAACGTCCCTGGCTCGTATGCAGCTCCATCAGATGCAGGACGAAGCGCGTCGTCTCGGTTTGAACGAGAAGAGCGCAGGCTGGCTCATCCTCGAAGCTCTGCAGGCTGCCACTGAAGGCGAGTGGGCCGCGATCGCAGAGCTGCTTGCCAGCGGTGAAGCCACGCTCCTGCTTCCTCGTGATCCTCCTTCCGTCTTCACTTCGGCTTCACAACTCAGCGCGTCATTTGCGTACGATCACTGCATCTTCAACGCATCATCTGCATCGGCTGCGACGCCGTTACCTTCCGTTGTGCCCGCTTCAGCATCTTCTCAGGAGTCACTTCCGATCTTGACACTCTCAGGACTACGGGGCAGCCTCTCAGCTGCAGCAAGGATAGAATCGATGGCGAAGGATCAGGGCACACAAACCGAAACATTCGAGCTCACTCTGCAGTCCTTCGTGGTCAAGACTTCGCAGAGCCCGATCTCGAATCTTAAAGATGCAGCTGCTCGACAAGAAGTGCTCGAGACGCTTGCTCCGCTACCGAATGTCACCTCGCCCGAGGATGCTGATTGCTGGTACCCTTCCTTCACCTTGACGGCTTCCAATGCGCAATTTCCCCTTCCTCCGCCGCTCAATGCACGCACAACTGCTGCTGGGAGTCAGGCAGGCATTACCAATCGCGGCCGCTCCAATTCCATGCTCAATGCTGCAGGCTCAAGGGCCTCGGCATCCTTTGCGAGCATATTTGGTGGGAGTGGGCGAGAGCGTAAACGACAGGCCGAAGCTGCAGGGACGGCCGATTTGGAAATGGTCGATGCACAAAAGCTTTCTGCCAACGCCGTGTCTACAGAAGCAGGGTCAGCGCCTGGAGTGGACGCTCCCGTGGAAGGATCGCAGACCGAGGTCGGTGCCCAGCCATCGTCTAGCCTCGGCGTGGATATGCGTGCTGACGCCCAGGTCACCTCGAACGAAGGAGCAGCGGTCGCCGAGGAAAGCACAACTGACACAGCTGGCCGGAGGACTGTCTCGGTATGGGTCGTTGACCACCTCGTCCGTCGCTCGGCCGTGATGCGGACGGTCAGGAAGACGCTCGATGCACGCATCAAGAAGAGGCTGTCTCTGAACGACATTCCCGAACCTATCTCTGTTGTAGTCGCAAGCTTCGCTGCCACGTACTTGCCGCCTGTACCTTCGCTCAGCAACGCACAATCTTCAAGATCCGCTGATGCTGACAGGAGTCACAACAGCAACGCGAATCAGTCTCGAGCCCCCTCGCCTTCAACGGTCGTCAATCCGCCCTACCTCGCAGATAGCGACGAGATGTCAGAGACCTTCCAGGACTTTTTCAACAGCATCCGCGACCAGCTATACAAGCTCGATTCCACCGAGGTGAACCTCGCGCAAGAACATGACGCTGCGGCTGAACTAGCAGATGCATCGTCTGCCACAGCAAGGCTTGATTCGCAGCGCGATCAGCACGATCGAGTGGAACAGCAGCTCGGGGCAGTGGAGAGTGTACTCTGTGAAGAAGTGTACGATCGTATCTTCTGCCCCGCTACATCACGAGATCGGTTCCACGACGATGCACTGGCGTCGCGCATCGCTGCATTGAACGTTCTAGGATTGTCGCTGCGCCACCTTGGACTGGACGTTCCTTCGCAGCGATCACAGGGCGACGACAAAGAGGCAATCGAAAGCAATTTGTTGCTCGACGGGCTCGACCGCATCGTTCAGCAGTGCGGTACAGAGCTGCAACGGCTCGAGAGTGGTTTTTGTCGCTCTCCGCAGGCCAAGCTCGAAGTGCTGGTTCGAGCGCACAAGATTGCAGTTAAAGGCGTGGCTGACCTGCCGAGCATCAAGATGCGAGACGATGACGATGCTGCCGAGACAAAGGAAGAAGCTGCTCCTTCACCAGCGAGCAAGAAGACAGGCGACTCAACGAGCGCGGATCTGATCCTGCCGATCCTTATCTACAGCATCGTCTGCTCCAACCCATCGCACTTGGCGAGCAATCTGCTCTACATCCAGCGGTTCCGCGCAGAGAGTCTGGTGCAAGGAGAGACCTCGTACTGCCTCGTCAACGTTCAGGCGGCTGTAGCATTCCTCGAGAATGTCGACGTCAAGGATTTGGGATTGGACTCGAGTCAGATCGGAGCCCATCTGCGATCTCATAACGAGACCGGGTCGCAAACACCTCGCTCGTCGACCGTACAGCCTCTAGATCGTTCTCCGCAGATGACCGGTGCCTCATCAGCAACTCTCGCCATGCCATCGCGCATCCGTGGTCGACTGACACAGGAGATAGGCGATCTTGCTGGCGCAAGCAACAAGGTCATCACTGGTGTGATGGGGTCGAGCATCTCGGCGTTCAGTCGGATGATGGGTGCCAATGCCAATGCCGCGGAGGCAAATGGTGAAGGTCCGACGCAAAGAAAGCGTTCGAAGAGCAGTGCGTCGTTGCAGCCACAACAAGAAAGCGTTCTTGCTTCGCCTGCAACTGTCGCCTCGCGTCCGACGGCAGCGCGGACACGAATGTCAAGCAGCGTGGCAGCCACGGATTACTCAAGTGTAGACGAGCAGGCAAGAGATGTAGCAGGAACACCCACTGCCGACAAACCGAGCATCGGAGATCGGCTAGCTATGCTTGGACGACTGGGTGCTTCCGCGTTGTCTTCGTCTCCTTCGTCGTCGTCGCTTGGACTGGGTCTTCCCTCGAGCGCCGCTGCGGAAACCGGGCTGACTGCACCGTTGTCACCGCAAGCGCCGACGTCGCCCCGAGGTGTTTCGAGGGAGCTACCGGGTCCACCACCACCGACAAAGAATCGCACCGCCTCGTACCTCGCTTCCCAACTTGGACGGATCACGGCTCCTCGGAGCACCTCCTCGGCCTCCCTCTCGACTGCTGTCGGAGAGGACGCTGTGGTAAAGAAGCCGGATAAACCACTTCCGACATCGCTTAAATCGCCGTATCCACCGCTGTCGCGTCCACCGACGGCAGAGAGACCGTTGCACGTGGTGCTGGCGTCGACGGGAAGTGTTGCCTCGGTGAAGATCCCACTCATCGTCGAAGAATTGCTCACGTACGACAATGTGCGGGTGCAGATCATCGCCACAGACAATTCGTTACATTTCTACGATCGACGTCGAATCGAGGAACTGAACCTTGCAGCTGGTGGCGGGTCGAACTACGACGTCTCCTCACTCGCAGACGAGAACCGACTCGCACCATCCAGCCTGCCTGCACCTCGGGTGAAGCTGTGGACCAATGCGGACGAATGGTCCTCCTTCCGGAGCATCGGCGATCCGATCCTGCACATCGAACTGCGCCGATGGGCCGACGTGCTGCTGATCGCACCGTGCAGCGCCAACACGTTGGCCAAGATCTGGGGCGGACTGTGTGACGATCTGCTGACGAGCTTTGTGCGGGCGTTGGAGCGCGGGAAGCGCAAGGTGCTGTTCCCGGCGATGAACACGGCGATGTGGGAGAACGAGGTGACGGAGGAGCAGGTGCAGGGGGTGAGGGGGAGGGGTTGGGAGGTGAGCGGCCCGGTGGAGAAGAGGTTGGCGTGCGGGGATGTGGGGAGGGGGGCGATGTGTGAGTGGACCGAGGTGGTCGGGTGGGCTGTGAGGGAGGGAGGGTTGGTGAGGCGGGAGAGTGGGGTGGGGAAGAAAGAGGGTGTAGGGGATGCGGAAGAGGGGGAGACGGAGGAAGGTGCTGGGGTGAACAAGGTCGTGGTGAAAGGCGATGAGCTGTTGATGGATGGGGAGGGATCGAGGGACACAGCGTGATGTACTTCTTCGGGACGCAGGCAAACCTTCGACAAGCATTCTTCAGTGATGAGCATCCGGGGTACTGTATCCGACGTACAGCTGCGCGACTTGCTTTGTGGCAGTGAACCTGTACGAGGAGATGTGAACGAACCGCTTGCGGTTGCTGCAGTTGAGCGGCAGCACTGCTTGGCAGTTTGAGAAGGAGGTCCGAAGAGGTACACCGCGGTGACCGGGAGTGGGTGGGCTGCGTCGGTGCGCATTCGCTCTGGCGTGCGGGATCAGCGAGCAGCGAGTCGGAGGTTCTGCTGGCGCAGCGTTGTTCGACGACGAGGCTGCAGAGGCTGATGTTCTGTACAGCAGCACCGACTCTTTCCACCAGTGGAGAGGGTGTCGTTGAAGACGATAAGCACGATCACGCACGATGGGAAACGGATGGTGTTGCAATGTGGTTCTATTGTGAGAGGCGTGTTCTATGAGTGTACGAGTCTATGGGTTGTGTGGGTGGGGATTACTGACGGTTCTGCTGACCTCCTCCACCGCGTCGACCTCTGAAGCCGCCTCGACCACCACCGCGACCGTTGCCCCTTCCGCCTCCCCTTCCACCACCGCCACCTCCACCGCCCCTTGGTGCGCCGCCCGGGTTGGAGTAGTGCTTTCTCCACATCTGCTGTTCGAGCATCGGCTTTGCTGGATACTTGTGGTTCTCTGCGCTGTGCTCCCACCCTGCACCGCTTGTCGTCCAGGGGTGGTGTCTGTACTTTTCATCGACGTCCCGCAACACGGGCAGCCAGGTGGCGACGTACTCTCCCTGCGCATCGTAGTCCTTGCCCTGTTTGATCGGGTTGAACTGTCGCGAGCTGCGAGGATCGTTGCCGACACCTGCGACGTACTGCCAGTTGCCCCAGTTGGAGTTGGGATCGTAGTCGACGAGCCAGCTCTCGAAAAACTCGGCTCCGTGACGCCAGTTCCACCCGAGATCTTTGGTCAAAAACGAGGCGACGTTCTGACGACCTCGGTTGGACATGAAGCCGGTCTGGACGAGTTCGACCATGTTGGCGTCGATCATCGGTACACCGGTTTTGGCGGTCGACCACCGGACGAAGGGGTCTTTGCGGTCCGTGAGCGAGGATGTCGACTTCCACTCGTACGCCTTGGACGAGGCGGATTTGGGAGAAAGCTCTTCTTCGATCCCTCCGAGGGTGAAGAGGTGAGAGCCGAACTTCCAACCGACAAAGTAGAAGTAGTCCCGCCAGAGAAGTTCGAAGAGGATCCAGTATCCTCCTCCCTTGTTGTTGGAGTTTCCGGTGGCAGCGTCGAGCTGGGTAGCTTTTTGAGCGATCAGACGGGGCGAGAGGAGACCGTGGGCGAGGGCGGCGGCGAATTTGGTCGAGTAATCTGCCCCGAGCATCTGGTTTCGCGTTTCTTTGTAGCTTGCTCCAGGGGAGGATTTGCCGCCGGAGAAGTAGTGATCGAGTCGACGGAGGGCTTCGGTCTCTCCTCCGCGGTAGGGGAAGGCGGAGTGGGGTACGTCGATCTCGCTGGTGGAAGAGAAGACTTTGCTGAGAAGTTCGTCGTGACCTAGAACCGGTTCTTCGAGAAGCGGCTTCAACAGATGCTTCTCGACGGTTTCCTTCTTGTCCAAACCTTGATCCTTCTTGTCGGACAAAGAGTAGACTCCTGCTGAATCTTGTACCGAGACCTGTGCGAAGGGCTTGAGCTTCTCCGGAGCTGGAAGGGGAGGTCGGAACATGTCATCGCCTTCGACCTGTTTGCGGAAATGCGTAAAGACGTCCGGAAGCTTGCTGACGGGGAAGCCAAGATCGCGCGAGTGGATCAAGGACTTACCCTCGAACATCTTGATAGGACACTGCAAATCCTGCAAGATGCGCTCCAGCCTCTTCTGTACATTGACCTCCTCGGTATTAATCTCCCTTCCAAGATACACCGCCTCGACGGTATCGCCCTTATCGCGTATCTCGTTCACCAGCGAAGGAACCACGCTCTCGGGTGTACCGGCAAACATGGCCAAGTCGCTCCCCACCGACCGGAGTCGATCTCGCAGGTCGAACACGCTCTCGTTGATGAACTTGGTGCGATGGACGCCCGTCCTCCAAATCCCGAGCTCGCGCGTCTTTGCAAACTGCGACGACCCTTTACCCCCACTTCGCTTACCGGCCTTTTCGAGGTTGGCGAAACCGGAGACTTCGACATGCCGTTGATCCCAGACGTAGACAGGGAGGACGTGGGTGACGGGTTGCTTGAAGGATGCGTTGGAAGGGGATGGCTCGGAGCAGAGGTGGAAGATGGGATGGTCGTGGAGACGGAGGTCGTTGCGAAGAAGTGCGATGAGGATGTTGCGTGTCATGATGATGGCTTCTTGGTGACGGTGACTTGACGTAGAAAGAGAAAGAGAGCGAGAAGAGAGAACCCAAAAGGTAGCAGAGATGATTGCGCGAGCGCTGTCGAGTATCAGATGCAGTGACCAAAGGAGAAGACAAAGGGGTGAAAGATGAAAGCGATGCAAGATATGTACTTGAAGAAGAAGAAGAACAACAACCGCAGCGCTATGATGTGGCGATCAAGATAGAACGGAAGGAGCGAGAGACAAGGAGGAGGATGAATCGAGAGGTGGAGGTGGGGAGAGCGAGCGGAGAAGAGCGAGCATGATGCTGTCATGGACCCTGAATCGGAGCGTGACAGTGTGACGATGACGACGATGGCAAGGCGTTACACGATGAGATCCGTTCAGGGTCCAATGGTGTGGTAAGGCTGCTTATTTGACATGCTCCTCATACACTTGGCGGTGTGTCGCTACGCCGTCTCTCTCGCTGAAAGAAGCACGTCTGTGAATTTGATTGCAGCGCTCCCCTCGAACAGCTCCGTCACACAGCATGCCGTCTTGGCGTGAAGAGAAGAGCAGATACAGCCTGCGTATGGTCACACGAGAGCTCGGGCTGAAACCAGCGATTCGGCACGCCAATCGTACATGTGCCTGTGCAAGGCGGAGCAGGCCGAGCAATCCAATAGTGCGGCGTATGCAACAAACGAAGCTTAACTTATAGTGCATCAGATCGGGAGGCGCGAACGAGAGAATGGTGATAGCAGCGCAATGAGGTAATTGCGCAGTCGTCGTTTTTACATTTGGTGGCTGAAGTGTGTGCTGATCAGAGTTAACAGTGGGTGACAAATTTCAAGGTAAAGCTATCGGCCGGGTTGGTTGATGTAATCTCGACATACCAAACAAAGAGCCCCGATCATCGTCGATCGTTGGCGTCGATGCGCGCCGACGCAGACAGCATCTAGGCAGTGCCGTTTGGTCAACCTCGCGACCCCACCATGATCGTGTTGTAGGCTATTGCAGTCGAGGTGATGCCTGGCTATGCTGTGATGCATCGGCAAGGCCCGACATGGCGAATGGGCGGTCTGTGTCTCTCTGGTCGGTGCGATTGGAAAGGATCGCGAAATTTCAAGAAGCTTTTTCAGCGGTGCGGAAGCGAGAAGAACAATTTTCATCCCGACGTTCGACCTGACACGCGTTCGACAGAAACAGAACAGCACAGCGCAGCGCATCCAACAGTGTGTGTTGCTTGAGAAGAAATCTTTCGCCATTTCCAGAGGCTGCTTTTGCTTGCTCAGTAGTCGTGCACTGACTTTCTTCCAACAATTTTGTCGGAACTTTTGACTTTTTCAGAAGCACACTCGAGCTGGCTCAGCCGCTCAGTCAGTCAGTCTGTCTGTCTGTCTGTCTGTCAACCAGTCTATAATATCACACACAAGGTCAGCACAGCGCAGACAACTATCCGATACTGTATTGACCAATCGCCACTTCTTCCGCCTTGATCACCAACACCATCATCCCCCTTTTCATCGATCTCACAAGACCGGAACATCGTCACCTCCGGATCATCATCTACATAAAAGCTCTCTGTGCAATACAGTCCGCTTTCTTTCTTCCCGGTTTTCTCTTGCTTCCAGCTTTCATCCTTTCCACGTCCGATTCACAAACATGTCGTCCGTCGTCGGTATCGACGTGGGTAACGCCTCGTCCAAGATCGGTGTTGCCCGTGCTCGTGGTGTCGATGTCATCGCAAACGAGGTCTCCAACCGTGCCACCCCTTCCCTCGTCTCCTTCGGTCAAAAGGCGAGAGCGCTCGGTGAGGCAGCTGCCACCGCTCAGACTTCCAACTTCAAGAACACCGTCGGCTCCCTCAAGCGTCTCGTAGGTCGCACCTTGCAGGATCCCGAGGTCCAAAAGGTCGAGAAGAACTTTATCAATGCCGAGCTTGTCGACGCAAAGGGTGAGGTTGGTGTCAAGGTCCGCCTCGCAGGAGAGGAGCACGTCTTTTCGGCCACCCAGCTCCTTGCCATGTACCTCGCAAAGCTCCGCGACACCACCTCAAAGGAGCTTGGTGGTGCAGGTGTTAGCGATGTTGTCCTCTCCACCCCTCTCTGGTTCACCGACGCTCAGCGACGTGCTTACCTCGATGCCGCCGAGATCGCTGGCCTCAACCCCCTCCGCCTCCTCAACGACACCACCGCCACTGCTCTCGGTTACGGTATCACAAAGACTGACCTCCCCGAGGCCGACAACCCGCGCAACGTCGTCTTCTGCGACATTGGTCACTCTTCCTACCAGGTCGCCGTCGTCTCGTTCAGCAAGGGTCAGCTCACCGTCCTCGGCACTGCCGCAGACCGCAACTTTGGTGGCCGTGACTTTGACCGCGCTCTCCTTCTCCACTTTGCCGAAGAGTTCAAGGGCAAGTACAAGATCGACGTCCTCTCCAGCCCCAAGGCCACCTTCCGTCTCGCCGCCGGTTGCGAGCGTCTCAAGAAGGTCCTCTCCGCAAACGCCCTCGCTCCCCTCAACGTCGAGAACCTCATGGAAGACATTGACGCCAGCTCCCAGCTCAAGCGTGAGGAGTTCGAGCAGCTCATCTCCCCTTTGCTCGAGCGCATCAACGTTCCTCTCGAGGCCGCTCTCGCCCAGTCTGGCCTGACCAAGGACCAGATCCACTCGGTCGAGTGTGTCGGTGGCTCTTCGCGTGTACCCGCCCTTAAGGAGCGCATTTCGGCCTTCTTCGGCAAGCCCCTCTCCTTCACCTCGAACCAGGACGAGGCTGTCGCACGAGGATGCACCCTCGCATGCGCCGTCCTCTCGCCCGTCTTCAAGGTGCGCGAGTTCAGCATCCACGACGCCACCCCTTACTCTATCAAGGTCACCTGGGACAAGGCCGCCGACGTCCCCGACGAGGACACCGAGCTCGTCGTCTTCCAGCCCAACAACCCCATCCCTTCCACCAAGATCCTCACCTTCTACCGCAAGGAGAACTTTGACCTCCAGGCACACTACGCTTCGCCAGAGCAGATCCCCGAGGGTATCAACCCTTGGATCGGCAAGTTCTCCATCAAGGGCGTCACCCCCAACTCGGAGGGCGACCACTCGATCGTCAAGGTCAAGGCTCGTCTCAATCTCCACGGCGTTCTCAACTTCGAGTCCGCCTACACTGTCGAGGAGGTCGAGAAGGAGGAGGAAGTTCCCGTCGCCGACCCTGCTGCCATGGACACCGACGGCGACAAGGACGCCGCACCCAAGACCGAGGTTCGCAAGGTCAAGAAGCTCCAGCGCAAGGCCGACCTCACCATCGTCTCGGGCTTCACCGGCGGCAAGGACGCCTCGCTCGTGGCCAGCATGAAGGAGACCGAGGGTCAGCTCTACTCGAACGACAAGCTCGTCATCGACACCGAGGACCGCAAGAACGCGCTCGAGGAGATGATCTACGACCAGCGATCAAAGCTCGACGACCGATACAAGCTCTTTGTCACTGCCGAGGAGAAGGAGAAGTACCTCGCCGCTCTCAACTCCCAGGAGGAGTGGCTCTACTCGGACGAGGGTGAGGATGCCACCAAGTCGGCCTACGTCGAGCGCATCGAGTCTCTTCAGAAGATCGGCGGTCCCATCCAGTTCCGTGAATTGGAGTTCCGGGAGCGACCCAAGGCTGCCTCGCAGCTGCGTGAGGCCATCAACAAGTACATGGAGATGGCTCAGGGCGGCGACGAGCAGTACAGCCACATTTCCGAGGACGACAAGCAAAAGGTGATTGAAAAGTGCGCCACCGTAGCCAAGTGGCTCGACGACGGCCTGTACAAGCAGTCCGAGTTGCCCAAGAACGCCGACCCCAAGATCGTGTCCGCTGACATGCTCAAGAAGAAGGACGAGGTGATCTACGCCTGCCACCCACTGTACGTATCACGCCCTCTACCTTTCCCACCCAGTTCCGTTCCCACGCCGACCCCATATGCGACGACGACGACGACGACGACGACAACTGCATCCGAGACGCCGCTCGACACCAGCAGGGCGAGTAGCAGTTGCAGCGCGGATGGTTCCGTCGGAGGGCCTGCTGCTGGCTTCGTTGCGAGTGAGATGCAAGCTCAGCCGAGCGAAGAAGGAGCAGCCAGTCTGTTGGGGCTGACGCCTCCCTCGGTGCTCGAGGTGCCTTCGGAGCTGTCTGATTCCGACGTCGACGCCGAGGGCGAGACGGAGGCGGAATCGGAGCGACTCTCTAGCTCCCCTGGCAGCGTCGATGTCGCTTTCCCGGCTAACGAGCGCATCCATCAGCGATCAGAAACGCCGTCCGGTTCGAGTCAGACCGGTGCTGCATCTTCACCTTCGCGTCGAAGTGGTACTCGACCTCGACGTCAACGTCAGCGAACCTCCGGCCCTGCTCCTGCTTCTGCTCACCACTGTGACCTAGCCTAACAAACGAACCACCTCCCACTGACCACTGATCCACTTTTTTGACTTTTTCGACGCAAAACAGTATGAGCAAGCCCAAGCCTCGCGTCGACACGACCCAGGCACCTACACCTGCCAAGGACGACAAGAAGCAGACCAAGCCCGAGGCTGATGCCGAGGCTGACAAGGCCGACGGTCCTGGCGAGATGGATGTCGACTAAGCAAGCAAGCGAACCGGGGAGAAGGTTTTTTCCTTGTTTGGTTGTCGTTTGTAGAACTTGTGTTTTTCGGTTTTGATGTGAAGAAACAAAATGTATTTGGCACATTGAGATGAATTAGGTTGTGATTCGAGTGAGGAAAGCTAGTGAAGTGATGGGTGAAGGGTTGGGGATGAGATGGTTTGCTCTTTGGGATGAATCACACAGATATGCACTTGAAGACACAGACGCAAGACACTCCTTTACCCGAAGACATGTACATTGCTCTCTTGTCATCGTATCAGCTTACAACGTTGGGTAGGTAGGCTCGATGTCCGTATGACTCCACTTTCTGCCCTCGTTAAACTCGCCCGCTCTCTGAGCACCGCCTTTCTTCCCGCCACTTTTGGCGACGTACTTGTAGATGACCAGTCCGTCCAACCCTACAGGACCTCTAGCGTGGGTTTTGCCGGTGCTGATACCGACCTCGGTACCGAGACCGAATCTAAACCCATCGGCGAAACGGGTAGAGACGTTGACGAATACGTTGGCTGAGTTGATGGATTTGACAAACTTTTCTGCTGCTGGGTTGGGGGTGGTGGGGGAGGTGAGGATGAGATCGGTGTGACCGGAGGAGTGGGTTGTGATGTGGTGGATGGCGTGGTCGAGAGAGGGGACGGTGGCGATGGCCAGGGTGAGGTCGAGAAACTCCGTGTGGAAGTCGGACGGTTGTGCCGCTACGATCCTCGCCCGAGAATCGTGGACTAGCGACGGTTCGAGTTCGTTCAACTTGGAAAGAGAAGCTTCGTCCATCCTCAACTCGACCCCCGCCTCAACCAACGCTTTCACCAGCGGAACCAAGAACTCCTTCGTAAGCAACTTTTCGTTCACCAACAACGTCTCCAACGCATTACACGCCGCCGCGTAATCCGTCTTACCATCCACCACCGTACCCACCACCATATCCAACTCGGCATCCTCATGCACATATCCAATGCACAATCCATCCGCGTGCCCCATCACCGGCATCCTCGCGTCCCTCTGAATCGCTTTCACCAGTTCGTTGCTCCCTCTCGGAATCACCAGATCGATGTAGTCCTCCAGATGCAACAACGACTGGATATCGCTCCTCGTCTCGACCGTTTGGATCAGATCTGCTGGCAACCCCGCTTCTGCCAGAGCGGCGGAGATGATGGAGGAGAGAACGGAGGCGGTGTGTTTGGATTCTTTGCCGCCTTTGAGGATGGCAGCGTTGCCGGATTTGATTGCGAGCGAGGCGATGTTGACCACCACCTCCGGTCTAGCCTCGAAGATGCACAGCAGCACACCGATCGGGCAGGTGATGCGGTACAGATCGATCGCCCCTTGGGTCTCGGTTTCCTCGGCGAGACGTTTGGCCCACTGAACGTGATCGAGTGGGGAGGCGAGTGCCGCGACGTCCGAAACACCATCCAGCAGAGACTGCCACTTGCCAGGTTTGCTGAAGAGGTCGAGACGAGCAGCGAGCGATGCGGAGAGTTTGCCTTGTGCGACTAGCGTGGAAGCGGCTTCCATGTCGAGGGCGTTGGCGGACTGGATGGCGGATTTGGAGGATTCGAGAGCGCGACGGATGGAGAGGAGCGCCGAGGAGCGGGTGGAGTCGGCGGAGGAGGAGGTGGAGAGCAGTTGAGAGGAGGAGTCGAAGGCGGCGCGTGCTCGACGAGCGACGTCCTCGGCGCTCGCTGGAGCCGTCTGTGCTGCAGATTGGCTCATGTTGGTAGAAAAGCGAAGAGGCAGAGATGGTGGTGGCGGTGGTGGTGGAAGGGTACTAATGATCCGAGTCACTTTTCTTCTTGTTTGCAGTGACTTCCTCGGCGTTTTGCACGGAGCCTCTTGGAATGATTTTGTTTTGAAATCGAACGGGGGGTGTAACATTTTGTCGAGAAGCCAGATAATCACGTGCTGCAGCAGGCTGAAAAAAGTGCCGCCGTTGGAAGATTCCTCCTCCTCCATCAGTATCATCATCATCATCATCGTCGTCGTCTTCGACCCTCCGTCGCAAAGGTCTTACTTACAAGGCACACGCCACACACATATCTCTTCAAAATGCCACGCATATCACCATTCAGACCGCTTTTGCGACTCGCATCCTCTAGCACCACCACCACCGCCGCTGCCGTCGTCGTGGCACCCACACCAACCCTCACTCCACTCTCCACACTCTCCCGTCTACCCTCTACCTTCCCCACCACCAGCTCCTCTACACTTCTAACACGGACACCGCCAACACTGTTCTCGTCGTCATCATCAACATCACCACTGCTGCTGCAGCGAACATCCACCCTGCTCTCGCTCCTCCCTTCTCCAACGGCGGGAGGTTCGCTGGGAAGCGTGAGGTGCGTAACCTACGGATCGGAGTACCAGCCTTCGCAGAGGATCCGGAAGCGTAGACATGGGTTTTTGAGCAGGAACAAGACAAGGAATGGAAGGAAGACGATCATGCGCAGGAGGTTTAGGGGGAAGGCCAAGTTGAGTCATTAGCGGAGGAAAGCGAGTTCAGCGAGGGAAGGTTTGGCGGAGAAAGAGAGAGAGAGAGGG